CAATTTCTTGAATGTTTTCAAATTAACTCTTTAAAAATTGTACTGTGCTCTTTATTCTGAACGATCAATCAGCTGGTGATTCAATTAAATTGTCCTTTGATTTTGTTTAAAGCTAACATTACAACCTCTCACTTCCTCTGTTTCTGGGAAGGGTGCCATACAGGTTTGACCGTGACTTTTCCTGTGACTATAAATTACAGTCCTAACCATTTCTCTGTAGCGCTTTGGTGAACCCAAGGTACTCAAAATGGGTGAGCTCTATTAAAACATTGTTAATTATAATCTATCTTCCAGTATCACATTTTTATAAAGTGCTTTTATCTTATAACAAGTTTTAACTATGTTTCATCAAAACCTGGAAGCTGGGAGGGAGGTGGGGAGCACGGGGTGGGGGGGAGCTGGCATGGGAGAAATAGACAAAAAACTGTATTTAAAAAATAACTAAATAAAATTTAAAAAAAAACAAACAAAACCTGGAAGCTGCAGCCCTGGCCAGGTGGCTCAATTGGTTGGAGTGTCGTCTGCACACTAAAAGGTTGCAAGTTCGATACTAGGCCAGGGCTTTGAGGCAACCGATTCATGTTTCTCTCTCTCTCCCCCCTACCTCCTTTCTCTCTCTCTCTAATGAATAAATACATATCCTCAGGTGAGGATTTTTTAAAAAGTGTGAAGCTGCAGATTTGACTTATTTAATTTATGGGAATGTTTGTCATATCATATAATGGAAATGCCGATCTTTTACTATCAGCTAAAACAGGCAACTCGGATTTGTTTTTGTTGGAAAGAGTCTGACTTTATTTTTGAATTTAAGTGAGTATGTTAGAATGCATTCTGATGGCACCCACCTTATTTTTTTATTCTTAATTCTAAGGGAAGTAGAGGCAGGTAGATGCATAGATGTGCGGGGAGACTGGGCAGGTGGATAGATAAAGAGGTGCACAGGCAGGCAGATGAGTGTGGCGTGGATGAAATCAGGTGCTGCTTCCTTCGGTACATGTTTATTATTGGTGCACCTGACATCAGGGCCGTCCTGGACAGTGGCACATTCCCCAAAGGAATAAGGTCATTAAATGACAAGTGTCTCAGCTTCTGCTGCCCTGCTGTACAATCCAGGGCAAAATTCTCTTTTGCTAATGCCTTGTTTTATATGTGCGTGTATGTGTATGCATGTACACACATAAATAAATGATAGGGAAGGCCTGAAGCCCTTCCTTGGATTTATTACGCCTTGATTAAAAGAGGCTGAGGGCACCATTTCAAAGAGTCCCTCTGTTTGATGCTGCAGAGATCTTTCCTCCATAAGGAGATTCAAGAAAGGCAGAGTGAGGGAGCCGAAAATGCCTCCCCCACTGTGCGTTCTTAGGGAGAGAATATTAACAAAGAGACCACCATTCCCTGGAGGCCATCCACTCTCCTAGAGGTCTTGGAAGGCTTTGGGTTGGAGAGGAACAGGGAGGGCTTTGTGTGCCGCGGCATGAAGACTTCACTTAAGACTTCCTTGGCTTTTTCAGTCATTGAAGTCCTGCCTCTGGTTTTAAAAAATAAAACAAAACAAAGAAACAAACAAAAACAAAAAACGAAAAACAACTGTCTTTCTCTTGGAAATCCTTCCTATCACTTTTCTGTAAAGTCTGCATGGCATTCCATTGTATGAAAGTGCCATAGATATTTGTAAAAATTAGTAAAGAGAAGCTTCATTTAAAAAGAAGTAGGGAGCCCACAAAGGGCGCTCTCATGCAGGCTGCACTCGGCCCAGGATGGCTGTGAGTGGGGCCCAACACAAAGTCATCCATGTGCTTAAAACCTGTTTTTCTTTGCTCATCAGTTTTTGTTAGTGTTTGTGTATTGAACGTGTGTCCCAAGACAACTCTTCTTCTTCCAGTGTGGCCCAGAGACACCAAAAGTTTCCAACCCCTGCCAGGGAGATCTCTCTCTATAGCATTCTTCCCAACTTCTCCCCCTGGGAGAGTTTTAGTGGACTTGTACCTGACCTGCCATGGCTGCTGCTTCTGGATGTCAAGTTCTCTGTTGCTCCTGCAAAAACCCATTTTGCTGGCAAAATATCTGGCTGAATATTTGTGCCCATCAATGATATTTAAGTTGTTTCCAATCCTTTTTTGTGGTTACAAATAATGCTACAGTGACTGACTGTGCATACTCTTTGGCACACCTGCAGGAGCGTACCTGGAAGGGGCAGCCTGGCTGTGGGATGCTGGGTCAGAGAGCATGAGCATTGCAATCGTCGTAGGCGGTGTCTGCCGAAAAGGCTGCACCCATTTTCATTTCGAGCAGTGGAGACTGCTTGTTCCCCCCCACTCTGCCCAACCACACCGCGTGCTCTCAAATGCTCACCCTCCAATGGGAGGGTACACAGAGAATTCTATTGTTGGGTAGTTTGATTTTTGCATTTCTCTAAATATGAATAAGGTCCTCATCTTTTCAGAGGTTTATATCCCTCTATAACTCCTTTTCTGAGAAACATCTGTGTGTGCCTTTTGCCTGGTTTTCTACTGGATTAGTCTTTTTCTTGAATTGTATTAACACTTTATTTACTAAGAAAACTAGTGCTCGTTTCTTTGGTCAGAAGTGCTGCAGATATTTGCCCCCAGTTATCACTTGCATTCTGACTTCAGCTATGCATTCTTGTGTGTGTTGTGCAAAAAACCCCTAATTTTTATGTAGTCAAATTTATCAGTGTACGACTTTTGAACTTTATGTTGCACTTAGAAAAGCTCACTCTGAAGTTACTCTTTTTAATTCTACCATGTTTCCTCCCTCTTTCCCCATTTTTGGTTTTTCTTCTCATCATTTTAAAATCCATGATCCATCTGGAATTTATTTTGCTATGGGAGGGAAATAGGGATCTGGCTTTGTGGCCACCTAAGGGTATAACACAAAATATACTTAGTCTTTGTCCCTGGCTCCTGGCATAGAGCTTCTAAAACCCTTGGTGTTCCCTAAGTGAGAGGAGTATCTTTTGTCCTCCTTAAGAAGCCCCTTTGGGTTTACAGTCATGAGATGACCGACTTAGGTGTAGGTCCCCAGACCGACTCAGAGTGGGGCAGGTCGCCAGAAAGACCAAGTGAATAGAGAGCTGGAACTTTCAGCCCCACCTACCGACCTCTGTGAGGGGCTGGGGGTGGGGACTGCAGATTAAGCTCTATAAAACCTCCTGAACAACTGAGATTTAATGAGCTTCAGGGTCGGCAAACGCATCCACTTACTGGGAGTGTGAAGCACCCCAGCACCATGGGGATAGAAGCTCCTGTGCAAGGGACCCTTCTAGACCTCGCCCTTTGTGCCCCCCATCTGGCTGTTCTTCTGTGTCCTTTATCATATCCCTTAATCAACCAGTAAATGTAAGTAAATTGTCTGAGTTCTGTGAGCTGCTCTGGCAAATTAATTGAACCTGAGGAGGGGCTCATGGGAACCTCCAATGTACTGCCCGGTGGCCAGAAGCATAGGTAACAACCTTGACTTTGGGACTGGCCTCTGCAGTGGGGCCAGTCTGGTGGGACCTGGCACCCTCTCCAGTAGATGCGGCCAGAAGTGAATTGAGTGTGTAGGATGTCCATTCAGTATCTGTGGATAATTGGAGAGTTGCTTGGTAGTGCTGGACAAGAGCCCATCGGATTGCTTCATGGTACCAACCCCATTTACAAACTCCCTTTCTCCCCTGGTATCAAATCGTTAGCACAGGCACAGTTTTTAAGTCCGTCCCACTCATGCCTCCAACTGAACCGCCTTTAGTTTAGCTGGTCCTGTTATTACTCTTTTAATTCAGAATTTTCTGACTATTTTTGGATACTTTTTTCTCATAAAAATTTTAGGATTGGCTCCCTAATTATGCCAAAAAAGTAGATGCTTTCCTTGAAATTATCTTAAATGAGTAATTAATTAAGGAGAATAGACAATATTTAATATTCAGTCCCCCTATCTAAGAACAGAGTGTTCTTTCCACTTGTTCGCTTTTTCCGTTCTGCCACTTTGAAATGTTCAGTGGGCAGCTCCTTGTCTGCCCGTGAGCACCCGTAACCTGAAAGTGCCCCTGTTCAAGGGGAGCGGGTCCCACAGCCCCCAGGATCAGGGGACCTTCGTGGAGGCCTGGTTGGACAATGGCAGGGCTGAGGGAGTGACAACTTGCCACTTTTCCCCTCTTTCCTGCACCTGTCCCAGTGGCTGCCCCTTCTCTGTTGCTGGGGCTTTACCACATTTGTGACTTAACCCAGCCTCATCCCCACAGCAGCACCCGAGGACAAACCAACCGCCTCAAACTAACCACCTGGCACTCCCTTGGGGAGGCCTCGTCTGCCATGACCCAATGCCCAGGACCCCACACAGGGGAGCCAGGGGACCATGTGGCTTAGGCCACATATCCACCAAGAAGTGTCCATTCTGTGGACACTTCTCACCCCATCATCAACTGAGGGGAACCATGGAAGCACATCAAGAGAACCGAAAGAAGCTGTTCACCAGCAAACTTGAGTTTGAGTCCCATTACTGGACCTCATGCCAGCAAGGTGCTATAAATTTCATGTCAGTCATGTGACTGACTTGGGAATAGCACAGTAATGCTGTAAGACATTGCTATATACAAAAGAACACTAAGAAAATTAAGCCTGTATGTTCTGACTGACACACAGTTACCACTCAAATCATTATCAGTATAATGCTCTTTTTTAATAAAAATGCTAGTTACATCACTTTACCACCAAAATTCTGAATTTTATGACAGAAATACTTCAAGTATTATGTTTTTTGTATATAGAGAAGTAAAATAATACTATATTCTTTTGAATTTTAGTGCCAAAATAAAGGTTAAGCGTATACCATAATTTCTGCAACTCTGGTTTGGCATAACTTCAGTTTTTGCCGTATGAAGGCCTCCAGAATGGAAAGCGACCCCCAGGTCATCTGAGGACAGCAAAGCTGTCACTGCAGCAGCTCATCGTATGACCCTGGTATAAGAGGATCAGGGTTTAAGCCCTGTCTCAACTCACATAACGATTTCCTTCCGTGTCTGTTCCAGCATCATGTACTGCGTCCAGTCCTGCTGCGAGTCATATGTCTTAGATTGGTCCACGATCTTCTGGAACATTGTTCTCTTCCTACAAGAGACACCAGTTTGTTCCTGGAGCACATCTTAGAATAAGGCCACACCAGAGCTTCTGGTATTGACTGTTTCAGGCAGGGACTTATTAAAACAACATGATTAACAAAACAAGGTCAGAAGAACCAGAGCCTAGGAGTGAAGACCGAGGTTTCTACCCCAGACTCTTTCATGGGCTTATTACCTGATCTCAGCACATTTCTTCCCCTGGGCCCCAATTCCCCATCTACACAATGGGAGTAATAACATCCCACTCACAGAGCTGTAGTGACAGTGAATGGTCCACAGCAAAAGGTCTGTGCCTGTCACACAGTTCGTGTTAATTGATGGGGACTATGGTGTTTGTTACTGTTATAACCATTGCTATTGCTATTCTTCTCAAAATGAGAAGAAATACTAACTTGAAGTACAGGGCGAGGTCTGTGGCAATGATGGCAATGTCCATCATATGGATAGCATGTTCATGTTGCCTGCGATTGAGGTTTTGAAAGATATTCAAGCCCTAAAGAGAAAATCAGAGGAGAGATGTGAGAAGTGATGCTGGTGGTACACTCATCCAGCTACTGTGGTCACCCCAGATGGTAGGAGAGGCAGCCCAGGCCACTGGGAAGAGGGCTGCCTGGCCACACTGGGGCTTCATGTGGCATGGGGGCTCCTTTGCAGGCCCCAAAGCCTGTGCAGAGGGCCCTTACCCTACCTCGTCTCGCAGCAATGTTTTGCCAAACTCCAAGTGGTGCCTTTCCAAGATGGAGGACCCGTGGAGCTTGGCCAGTGGGTTCTGGGATCTGAGTGGGAGAGAAAGAGAGAAACACATGGACAGCATTGGCATGGAATGGCCAAGACGAAAGGTAAAGACATCACCCAGTCCCACCACCTCTAAATTCTGCAGGTAAGGAGGCTGAAGTCCCAAATGAGAGGAGCTTGTCACACAGGGAGAGAGTGGGAGCTGGGACTAGACATCACAGCTCCTGACTCTCAGGCTGTAGTTTTCTCCACCACTGATTCTTCAGGTCTCCTTGGGGTCATGGATTCCTCAGAGAATCTGTTGAATAGTGTGGACTCATCCCCAGAAAAAAATACAAACACACACAATGCCAAATGCAGTGTTAAAGATTCATGGATCTCCCATATCCAACCATGGACATTGGCTCTGGGCCATTCTTTAATGGTCATCCAACTCCCAATCCTCCATACCTGAGTCTTGGGGGAAACCATTACATTCCCCAAAGCAGTGTGTTTATTCTTGCCTTTATTCAATAAATATTTGTCCAGCACTTACTATGTGCCAAGCACTGACCTCTGTACTTAGCTTCTTACAAGATTTAATGCAACCACAGTCACTAGCCTTGGAGCAGCATGCAAGTATTGAGAAGACTCAGAGAGGCATGGTCCAGTGCTCGTTAATGACTTACAGGTTATGGGCCCTGGGCAGAGCCTCAATTCCTCATCTGTACTATGAGTATAACATTGTCTTTGCTCTGCCCAACCCACAAGGTGGTCATGAGCATCCACCAAGATCATAGTTCAAGAACTATGTTTTAGAGGCTGTCTGGAATATAAGCCCTGTGAGGACGAGGACTGTGCTGTTTTGCTCAGCATGGTACCGCCTTTGCCAGGTTTAGGGAATACAACACTTGTATTAGGAGCATTATCAATGCAAGGTGGATGAATAATGATCAGTTAACTAACTTCTTGGCTTAAATCAGCTCAGCAGGTAGGAAGGAAGGAAGAGAGTGAGGAAGTTTAATATATCACTTTCCTGTTGCTGTTATAGCAAATGACCACAAACTCAATGGCTTCGAACAATAAAAATGTATTACTTTACAGCTCTGGAGTTTAGAGTTGAATGAAAATAGCTCTGTAGGGCTGCCTTCCTTTTTAGAGGCTCTAGAATTCATTTCCTTGCTTTTTCTAACTTCTAGAGGCTTCCTGGGTTCCTTGAATTTTTATAACCTATCTTCCACTTTCAAGGTCAGCAGTGTAGTAACTTCTTTCCTCTTGATCTCCCACCTCCCTCTTATAAGACCCTTCTGATTGCATGAGACCACTCAGATAATCCAGAGTAATCCTTACATTTCAAGATCCTTCACTTCATCATATCTTTGAAGTCCCTTTCGAATTTGAGGCAATACATTCCCAGGTGCCAAGCATTGGGGTGTGGACATAGTTGGGGGTCATTATTCTCTCTGTCACAGCAGTTTACCTAGACCAAAAAGGCAAGAGGAAGTGGGAATATGGGGACAGTGGGACTTACCTCTTGGCCTATGAGCCTGCCTGGCAGCTGTTCAGACTTGGGTAATGAATCCTGGGGGTAGGAAGTAGGGAGGGGAATTGCTGGGTAAGGGCTGACTTACTTCATCTGGTACAGGTTGTTGGTGCCTCTGTGGTCGATGTCATGGCAGAAGGCAGCAGTGACCATGGCCAAGGCCTCCAGGTCCGTGAAGTATCGTTTCAGCTTTCCAGTCTGGAAGGGCAATCACAGGTGCCACTCACTCTTCCCTTGTGGGGTTGGAAGCAGAGCTGAGAGGGTAGGGGCAGGGCCCAGAGCTTGGAAACATAAATTTGATCTTGGCTCTACTCCCGTTGCCACAGGGTGAACAGATGTTTGCCTGGGATGCAGGACTTTCCATGCTGGAGCTGGAACAGTCCCTGGCAATGAGGGATGGTTGGTCACCCTCCCTACTCCTGAGTGACCTTAGCTGGTCCTGTCTCTCTCTGGGCCTCAGTCTCCCAGTCTGCATACTGGAGGTGGAGGGCATTGGGCTACTTGATTGTTGAGAAAATTGCAGCCTTCACATCATAAAATCTGGAGGGTTTGGGAACACGGCCAGACTGGTAAAGCTAGCCTTCCAAACCTGGTCTACTGGTTTAAGCACAGCCCAGAAGAATCCCTGAGCCTCCCTCAAACATGTAACTGCTTGTTTATGCTGGGTTTGGGAGCAGAGGTTGGGGCAGAGCCTACAGAGGTGATGCTGAGTCTGTGACTTTTAGGAAATGATTCAAGTCCAAGTGGTGCCGCTGTCACTTTCTTTGGTGACCTGGCCAGAATTTATGCCTCCAAGCTCTAGGGCCAGCTCTGGCCTGACCATTCCAGCCACAAGAAAAAGGAATGAAAAAGTGGTCAGACAGGGGCAGAGATATGCATCATAGTCTGGATGGAAAAACCCCTTTTAATGAAATATAAAGGACTCTGAACCCTGTAAGCCGGAAGTGACGGACACAAATACACAAATACAGGAGTATGTCCATCCAAGGACCTGTAGCATTGTCTGTAGCTGTGAAAGGTCAACAGCAATCCCGTGTCCCACATTAGGGGCCGAGTAAGAAAATTATGTGTATTTCAACAATACAGGATTCTCTGCAACCATTAAATTGTATCATGAACAAGCCTTGAAAATATTATGCTGAGTGAAATGAGCCAGAGACAAAAGTACAAATACTGTATGACTGTACTTATACGAGGTACTCTGAGGACTCAGAGTCGTAAAGACAGGAAGTAGGAATGGCAGTCACGGAGGCTGGGGAGTGTGGGGAGCAGGGAGTTGTTGGGGGTTTTGTTTACTTTGGTGGGGATAGAGTTTCAGTGTGGGGAAGTGAACGTGTTCTAGAGATAGATCACAGTGCTAGCCACGCAACACTGTGCGTGTGCTCCGGGCCTCCGAAGAGGGCATCTAGAATTGGTTAAAATGGTAAATTTTATGTCGTGTCTCTTTTACCACAATTAAAATATATATAAAGAGTGTGATTGGCATATTTATTTTCAAATGAAAAAATAATGTTAGAGAATAATACTATTCAATCTGCTGTAAACAAAATAAGGTGGTTGCGTGTGTGTGTGTACAAATATGTTTCAAAGTTTCCAGAGGAAAATTTGGAAGAAGCTGTGCCAGGGTTATCTCCAAATAACCAGACTGGGGCTGGGGGTAGATGGCAGCTTCCTTCACTTTTTATTTCATGTGCTTCTCTATTCCTGAAATTCATTAGTACTAAGTGTTTACTTCTTTGTGTAATTTTAAAAAGCAATAATAGAGAATAGCGATGCTGCTGCTGTCGCCGCCGTGTTGCAGCTGAACGAGGTCGGTCATCGGGTGTGGTGGGAGCCCCCAGCCACCGCAGCCCCACCGCCGTACCACCAGCAAGGAGAACATGGTCTGTCCCACGTTGAAGCCGTGCCGCCAGTTGTGGTAGGTGATCCTGCGGTAGCCCTTGCTCAGGGAATACATGAACCGCACCAGCGCCTGCAAACCCGTGCACATCGGTAAGTCAGCCTGTACCTGCCGGGCATCCTGCGCGCTGCGCCGGAAGGCAGGAACTCACCACAGATGCAACAATGTTGTGCAAACCCTTCGCAAATGGCTAACCCCTGTGGTAGTGGACCTTATGAAATCAGGTGGATGAGAGTCACTCCACTTATTTCACCAAATGAATTTCATCAGTGATGCCCAAACTGTGCCCCAGGGAGCTACTGGCCTGGGAGAAGCTAACATGAATTTTGCAGAGAAAGAAAACAAAAGGGGTCTTTAAATCAGTGGTTCTCGAACTTGAAGGCACATCAGAGTCACCCAGTGGGCTTGTTAGAACACAGTTGTGATTCATTAGAACTGGGAGAGAGTCAGAGAGAGAGAGAGAAAATCTGCATTTCTGATATATTCTAAGGTTGTGCTGATGTAGCTTAGGGTAACACTTTGCATTGAACAGACCTGGGAAATTCTGCAAAAATACACCTCCACCTTCTTTGTCCATCTCCATCCTGCTAGTCTGACAGTTAGAAATTCTGCAGGAAAAAATCCTCTTTAAACTGATTCGATCCACATTTCCCACCCTTCTTTGACCATAAGACCCTCTTTTTGCATTCCATGTGCTCACAGCCTCCAGAACCCAGTGCCTGAGAACCTACCTCAAGAAGCTAATGCACCCAAAATGCCACAGTGCAAAGGAACTGTGTGTTTCTTTTTTGATAAATGACTCCTGTGTGCAACAGGGCTAATGCTTTCAATCCTGAAAGCCAAAGGCATATTCTTTTTAAGTATTGATTAAGTTTAAGTTTACAGATTGCATTTTAAAAGGGAGAAAAGCAAGCAAGCAAGAAGCTTGGACCCTACCTCCTGGGGAATGTGAAATTTATCCACCACTTTGAGCTCATAATACATCTGTATCCCACATTTCACCAGCTCCAGTTCTGTCAGGGGCAAGTCGCTGAAGTGGAATTTGTTAATTTCATATTTCTCTGCATCTGGAAGCTCTTCTTGCTGTGCAAAGATCAGAGTCAAATGGTTAAGGCAAAGGGAGTGCCCCTGGGTCTCTCCATGTCTCCCCTCAGGCCCTGTGTTGGGCCTGGGAGTGCTGGGAGGACCAAGGCAGAGCGGGAAGGGTTACTCTTTGCAGAGACCCCCCCTCCCCACACACACCATGCTCTGGAGGGCACTCTGTGCTCATTCTGTGTCAGGGCCAGTGCTCACCAGGATCTCAGCCAGCTCCTCTTCCTCGCACTCCCACGGCTCCTTCCCATACACCTCTCTGGTTTTCTACACAACGTAGCAAAGGAAAAAAACAGTTAATGTGCTACATCTAAGATCTAAATATGCCTTCCTGTTCACATTTTTATTGTTCTCCTTCCTCTAAAGCCCTTGCAACAGAACCACAAACTCAGAGAAGTTGCTCAGATAAGCAAATTCAAGGTCATGGGCTTTGGAACTGGCAGCCAAATTGAGCTCTGCCACTTATGAGCAGGGTTATTGAATGCCTCTAATCCTCCATGACCTTACCTATAAAGTGGGGTTAATAAAAGTACTTAGCTGGTGGATTAAAACTAGATTATGCAAGGTCGTATTATAAAATCCTGTATACAACTGAATGAAATCTGACATGAACATAAATCAGTGCAGTGCTTGGCACATTGTAAGCACTAGAATTAAGTAATATTATTGTTGGCATTGTTGTTATTATTGACTGAGGGTCAAGAGGCCTTGCTCAAGGCCCTGGTTCCTCCTCTTGCTTCTGTGTGACTTGAGGCAAGTTCCCTCCCTCTCTGGGCCCATTCTCCTGTGTACCAAAGGAGAGGAGAACCTGGCCCCAGGCACTTGTTTTTGATTTCTTGACCCAGAGGATAGTCTATTAACTTTTAACTGCTCCACTGAGGCTAGGCCTCCACAGGGTTCACGGGTTCATTTTTTGGCTGAAATTATGGACAGAGACAAGCAAACCATTTATCCAGACTTGACTTTTTCCCCTTTCAGTGCATCAGTTACTGTGATGAAAGGGTCAAATTTGTTGGGATATCTCTCCAGCTTAAGAAATCACATCTGAAAACACTGTGCATGTTGTTTCAACTTGCGAGGCCTCTAAGCAAAGTTTTAGGAACTCAACTAGACATCATATCCAATTCCACTTCACTAACTCAGCTTACTTCTAAATTCTTGGTCTCTTTGAGACCCAAATCCCAAGAACAATGAATCACTAATTCTCTCAAATCTTGTTCAATTTCTCACACCAAATAGGACTCTCCTCTATAGTATCCCTGACATATAATTATCCAGCCTCTGCTTGGATACTTCTCTTTGGGGGGGGGGTCACTACCTTGTGAGGGAGCCCATTTGTAAGCATGGTAGAGAATTTGCTCATAATCCTCATAGAGTGAGACCAATTTAACCAACTGGATGATTCCAGGATAAGTTACTCCCCCATTCTGGGCCTCAATTTCTTCATTTCTACAATGGAAATAGAAATCTTTACATTGTCCACCTTACTGGGCCACTGTAAGTATCAAACAATATAGAGTGAAATTGCCTTCTAAACTGTAAAGTAATGGTATTATGTGACGGCTCCCTACTAACATCTACCTCCCTCTTTGCTCACTAAGCTTCTCTCTGACCTGACTGGCTCTTCTAAATCAGCCGACCCCATGGAGAGAGTCTGAGAAACTGCCTGCTGTCCACAGGTCAGTCTGATAGAGCTTTCTCTCCACAGAGGTTGTGTTTGGATGACTCCATCCAAGGTGCCAAGTCAGCCCTGAGCACAGTGAAAAATGGAGCTTCTAGAGCTGGTGAGCCAAGGTCTGGCCCCAAGACTGAAATAACCCCTCATGGGACAAATGTCCCCAGGCCACACAGAGCAGCCATTATGTACAACCCTCTGGCACTTGTCGCTCCATCTATCCGTCCGTCCCACCAGAGGGCCTGGAACACCCTGTGCAGAGCAGGGGAGCAGAGCAGTGAACAAGCTTGCCCTCATCTCTTGGGGTTTTAAGTCCCACCTAACTCTGGCACGCCTCCAGGGCAAAGTCTCCACTAGAGAAGGAACAAGAAAAGAACATGACCCACCAGAATTTTCTGGATTTCTTCATTGTCACACTTCACATGATATTTTACCATGTCCTGGAAAATATCCTTCCTGTTTTCAAGTTTGTTCATTGACTCATAGGTGTCAGGATTTAAGACGGACCAGCCTAGGAACTGAGTCAAAGACTGAAGAAAAAGAAAAAAAGAGAGAGAGAGAAAAAAGAAGAAATTAATTAATTAATTAAGAAAGAAAGAAATTAAGGATCATAGGCAGAACAGCCAGGTTCGATCCCACTTCTGTAACTTTGGGCAAGACTCTCTGAGCCTCCGTTTTCTCAGCTATAAACTGGGTTTGATAAGCCACGCACTGCCCTTCTCAAAGAGATGTTATGGTGGTAAAATAATGCATGGAAATGCACTTTCAGTAAAGCACTAACTTACATGAACCATCATTCATGTGTATAAAAATGTCACAAAAGGAAATGTGTTGTGTGTATGTGGGGACAGGCGGTAGACAGGAACTCTGTACCTTTTGCTCTCAATTTTGCTGTGAACCTGAAGCTGCTCTAAAAGATAAAGTTTATTACCTTTTCAAAAAGGGAATGTGGATTTCTCTGACAATATGTGGCAGTGCAGAAGTGAGGGCACAGAAGGGGGTCCTGGAAGGGAGTAAAAGTAACATTGACGAGGCGAGCTCCCCACCCTCCACAGGACAGGGCAGCAGTACCCTGGGGTCCTCACCACGCAGCTCCAGAAGCCATGCTTATAGCAAGCTGGCTCTGAATCTCAACATCAGAAGTCCTCCCTGCAAACTGTACCTCCATGAGGGTCTCATCCATTTCATCAAAGGGTTTCCCGTCTTTGCGATTGTAAAACGTGGCCACCCCAACAATTTCTTCCTTCTTGTTCACAATGGGCATAGAAAGGACATTTTTAATCATCCATCCAGATTCGTCCAGAGGCTCTTTCTACAAGAGAAGAACCAGAAAGGGTTTCCTTGAGTGCTGGGCCGCAGGGGCAACTGTGGCGAACTTTACACTGCATCATGACCTTGATTGGATGAGGTGACAGCAAGCGCACAGACCTTGCTGGATTTCACATGGTTTCAACCACCAAGCAAATGTCATGAGCCCGTAGCCAATCTGATTGCGGCTCCTTAAGCCAATCGTCAGATTGTTTTCATTCCTAAAATGTCAGGGCCGTTATATGCCGGGCTGTGCATTGTGCTGGAGATAGAATGATGTGCACAGATAGTTCAGGGCTCAGTGTTTCTGATACAGGCACTGACCACAAGTGACTGGCCTAGAAGGAGCTATGTTGGAGGTTCTCGTAACTTTGAATTAATTAAGTAGATAGAAACCTGTGCCTTTGCCTCTCAATCTGACTTTCTGTATTACTTTGGCATGTCATTGCATCTCCCGGGCCTGTATAGGCTCATGTATATGCCGCAGTCCAGCCGCAGCAGGGTCCAGGGGTTCCTGAAAGGTGCGTAAGGCGTCAGTGATGGGTAACAGATGACAACATGCCCAAAGGACAGTGAAGCTCTGTTCCGTTTATTGCAAGTACAAGCAGGTTTTTATATTTTCATTTTTGGTAGTGATTAACATTTGCAGGTGCATAGCATGATCAGTTTAGCAGAAAAAATCAACACAAAGGTAACCAGGAAAAGTACAAGAATTTCCATAGTTTCAGTTATGTTAAACAAAAGTTGTTTTGACCAGGAGAACCATTAATCAGACAATTTGAACTAGCTCTATATGCAGAGTTTGAATGTCTTATTGTTTATTAAAGGTCTTAGAATTTGACATGGGGCAAAAAGGTACGCTAGACCGAGCAGAGGTTAGGAAACTCATTATAAGCCTTTGTGATGTCTAACTTACCTATCTATCCTTTTCTGTCTAAAATGTTTCTCTGTGTACTATAAACTCTGACTCTCTAGTAACTGTTTCTATGTGTTTAATAGCTAACCAGCTTCTCTTATTTCTTTGGCAGTTTAATTGATATATATTCCTATTCAAGGTAAAGGAGGGGCTGTTACTCCAACAACTTTTAGACATACAGGGACTTTGTTCTCTGGTCAAGAAATTATTTTATACAACTTCATTGGAATTATGCTAATCAATGAACCTGAAATACAAGTGTCTAACAATCCCACCACCTTTTGATCACCAAAACAAACATGTAAGGAGAGGTAGACAGGAAATCCAGCCACAGTTGCCTCTGCCTTGCAGATGCATCTTAACCGTCCTGACCTTGTCAAGGGCCGCTGCTGGCCGGCTCCCGACAGGTAGAGATGGGGACTGTAGTAAGAGAATGTGCCTCGTGGAGCCAATGAGGAAGTAGAGGTGAAATTTCTTGGTCGATCAAAGGTGCCCCTTGTGATTCACTTCTCATCTGTATGAGCCTCACTTTCTTCACTTATAAAATGGGAATCACTAGACTATATAGTTTCTAGACTCTGCCCACTGATTCATCAAACATTTATTTACCAAACATTTTACAATGTGCTGAGCTAGAAGGAACTGAGCTAGAAGCTGGGGAAACCAAGGCAAGTAAGGCACAGACGGTTCCCTCAGGTAGCTCACAATCCGAAAGGTAAATGAGCAATTACACTCCATGTGGGAGGTTCTTTATGGTGCTGAGGGAGCCGAGAAGGAAAGAAAGTCAAGGAAGGCTTCTTGGATTTGGAGACTCTTCTGGCTCAAAAGTTTTAAGATTCTTAAGGTGGTGAGATGATGGTTGTTATTAAGTAACACTGGAACCCAGTACCTCGTGGGAGAGTGTCCCAGGGGAATAGAGAACATCCCCAGAGAGCTCAGGGCTGTGGTCAGGAAATGAATTTAAGACCTGCCTTCCCCCAACTCTTAACCTAGACTTCAGAAAATTCCATGATGAGGAAACAGATTATATTGAAAGTGAAATGGGAAAACATTAAAGATTTTGAAGCAGGGAAGTTACCTGGTATAACCTATGTTTAAAAAAAATCATTCATGCTACTTTATGGAGGATAAGTGGGAGGGAAAAGACTAGAATGTAAAAACAAGATTAAATTTGATTTACTAATGTTGGTAAACTGTAATTCATGGGATGACTTGCGTAAAGACCAAGCGCTGTTGTGGTTACAATCAGGGTAACAACTTTTGGCAGGAGTTTAGGCTGGTCACACTGATATGGTCAAAATCATGGCACAAGACATGCAATTTTAACTTTGGAAGTATGTTCTCCCCAAGCTCTTTTATAATGGTCTTTTTTAAAAGATTTTAATTATTTATTTTTAGAGAGAGGGGCAGGGAGGGAGAAAGAGAAGGAAAGAAACATCAGTGTGGGGTTGCCTCTCCTATGCCCCCTGCTGGGGACCTGGCCCAAACCAGGCAGGTGACCCTTTGGTTCACAGGCCAGCACTCAGCCCACTGAGCCACACCAGCCAGGGCTCACAATGTTCTTTAAGGAGTAAAAAATAATTTGCTAATTTTCTTGGCCCTGTTTTTGTTCCTTTCCCTTGTAATTACTTCCTGGTTGTTGGTGACTTGTTTTTCTTATGCCTAGTATGGGAAACCCAAATACTGAGAGGACACCTAGAGCTAAAGAAGTCAAAAAAGATAAGTCCCAACATTTAACCAAAAGAAGATAATATTTTACTGGGAGAAATTACTCTAAAAGCAAAGGAGGGTTCATAAAAGATGAGGGCAGATACACTGACAGAGAGAAACATTCCTTGGCGTGGCCTTCAGGCCCTGCAAGATCTGACCACACCCCCGCCCCCATCTGCGCTCCGCCTCCTCCTCTCCCCATCATTCTCTCTCTTGCTCAGCTCCCCTGGCCTATCTAGTTTCTCCTAGTAAGGCTTCTCTTTCTTGAAACCTTTCCTTTCTTTACTGTCGAACATAATTTCTCAGGGACACACTCCTTGATTCTTCTCTGATGAAGTCAGCCCCGCCCCTGTCCCGAGAGATTTCCTCCTCGGTCCCTAGGAGTTGTAGACCGCTCTGCCTAGTTCTAGGAATTATAACTCTACGCCCTGTGGCTAAGGAGGAGTCAGTGACCTCTGGAATGCGAGCCACAGGAGACAAGGCTCGTCTCTGGTAGCAAATGCTGCCTCAGTTTTCTCTCCCTGCCCCCAAAGCATGGTCGGGAGTCCATGATGGGCAAGACCCCTCACAGTGGGGGGCAACCTAGGCCAGACATGACCACTTGGGAGGCCATTATGGAAGGACTAGGGGGGGCCTGCAACAAAGAGCAATGAACTCTTGCCCCCCCACCTCCCCATCCCCTACCCCTCCACCCCCAGGTTTGACATAGCCCGAGTCCCCATATTCTCTGGGAGAAGCACTTCCTGGCTCTAATCCCCTTAAGCCTGAATACCTGTTCCAGAGAGGTGCAGCTCCTTGCCTTGCTAGAGTGTGTCCTGGGGAAAATCTGGCATCACAAAGAATTCCTGAAAAACCTGTGAAATCTGCTCTGCTAAGAGTACTTTCATTCATATGTTAAGGGTTTGAGCAGGAAACTCTAAAACTCTCTTCCTGACAGACTCCGACTCAGACTATCTACTGTTTGATCCTTGCTGCCCTGTGTTCCTGTGTATTACAACCCAATAAAAGCCCCTGTAGGAAGGGGCTTGAGGCCTTTTTTTCTCAGAGAAACTGGCTGCTCCTGGCCTTTTTTCCCCTGAGAAAATGGCCACTGATCGAGGCCTTTTTCCTCTGGGAAACTGGCCACCTCTCTTCACCAAGCAGATCACATCATCTCAGTCATGTTTACTCTCATCCGTGGCACACAGGGGGCACTTGTGAGGAAAGTCGCCCGCACACCTAGGCCCTTCTCCTGACCAGCTTCTTTCCCTAAATGATCAGAGCTCCCTGGAGACAAAGACCTCACCGGTCTGGTCCACCGCTGTACCCAGGGCAGCACTGTGTCTATATGCCTGGCACAGAGGCTACCCTTCACAAACATCTGTGGAAAAGACAAATACAATCTCCCTGGAATACTCCCCAATATTTCACGAAAATGCCAAGGAGGCAGAGATGATATTCGGCCAGGGAAAACGGAGTAAAGCTTTATCAAATTTCATAGCAGCTGAGGCAGTCGTTGAAGGGCGGGGGCTTGGGGCAGAACATGATGGGTAGGGGGAGACCAGCCCACGCAGAGGTCCTCCAGCCAGAGCACAAAGGGTGTGGATGTTAAACCTGAATGAGACCTTGGAATCTGCCAAAGTAACTCCCTTTTCTTACCTCCACAGGCACATGACATTTTCCCCCATTCATGCAGTCACTTGGTTGAAACTGCTTCCCAATAAAATAGATGTATTCTAATCCTCTCTTGGGGAAGAAAATAACAGGTGACCAAATAGAGAAAATAAAAATGTCTCACCTGGAATTCGAAAAAGTCCTCTGCGGGTGCATTCATGATGTTGCAAATCTGAAAGCCATGAAGGGGAATAAGGGAATAAGGGGAATAAGGCATTAGACTTGACCAGGTGCTGGGCAAAGCGATGCGTGTGTTTCAGAAACACTGCATCCTGGCCCATGGTGTTCACAGACCTTTCATCAGGTAGACACGCTAGAGGTGGTTGAGAATTATTAACTGAGGCTACTGGGCAGAAAAGCTACCTTAGAAATGCTACTTCTTAGCATTTGCTTTGCTCTCAAGTCATTCCCAAGCTTTGAAAAGGTAAAGACTATAATTTGTCATCTTTAAGAGCTATATAGTATCCTGCTTTGTTACCTCCCTTGGGCATAGTTGGGCTGTGTCCTATGTTTTGTTTTTATTAATATAAATAATGCTACTCCAAGCATCTCTAAATCAATTACACTTGGGTTCCATTTTGTTTGTTTTGTCAGGAAAGAGTTTTTCCTTGGGGTATAAACTGCAAAATGGAATAAAAAGTGTGTGGCTCTTCTGTACACAGCCAATCCCTCTCCTGGAACTGGACCATCTTGCCCAACCACGCAGAGGCCCTTACCTGGTCCCTCTGGACCCCGCCCTGGGGCTGTGGTGTGCGGCGGTGTGTTGTGTGCACTGCACAAAGGCATATGGCCGAGGGGGTGACTGGGAGTTGAAATCCTGTCTGGTCTCGACTTGCAGAGCCAAGCTCCTAGCCTTTCTCTTTTGGGCTATTGAGAAGGGACAGCTTTTTCTAGTTCTTAAAAAGACGCCATATGGGCTTGCAGTGATCCTGCCTGTCCCAATGGGCCTGACCTTCCTGTGGTCTCAGAGGCTGAGCTGTCCCTGTTCTTTGAGAACTGCCCACCCACGGCACCATCCCTCTGGCCTCTCCTTGGACCACTTCTGCCGGTTGTCACCATTCTCTCCTGATCTCTGCCCTCTCCAGGGGCTCTGTCCCTCCGCCAAGAGCACGCTCGAGTCTTTCCCATCTTTGATGGCGGAATCCTCCCTTGAGCCACCATGGTCCCCATTACCGCCCCCCAGACTTACTCCCCTTTCTCTCGCAGGCTCTACCTCCTCACTTCCCACCCACATCTCAGCAGACTACATGCTGGCTTCTCTCTTCACCTTGACACCAAATCTGCTCCCAATGGGCATGCTGATGTCCTTCTAATTGCCAGATCCAACCAGGTTCTGTTCTCATCCCACAGATCACTTTTATTGCATTTGGTTGTCTCCCTTGTTGAAACTATTTACTTCCTTGGTTTCCATTTTACTTTCTATGCTCTCCTGGGTCTTCAGACACCTCTGAAACCTCCTTCTGTTTCTGCGTGTGCCTGGGGGATGACACCGGGGAAACTAGGTTCAAATACAGGGGGGATGTGCAGCTAATAGACGTGACCCTTCTCTCTGGAGCAGGGGATGCTGTCACTCCACCCTTGACCTGAGGGGGTGGGGCACAGTGGGAGACAGAGCATCTGAGCTCTGCTATCCGTGGTACGGTATGGCCAGGTATAGGGCAGAGATGAGGGGATAGGGGTGGCAGCCAAGTCTCTGGTATGAGAGGTTGAGATTTAGTCTGTGGTGAGCCCTGAAGACCAGCCAGTCATGACTTTGTCCCTGACACATGCATAAGTATCCTTATTGGCCAGTGAGACTATGTACCTATCCATCTACAGGTTCTTTCCGTGTATCTCATGTCTTCTCAACTGTCAATTTTCTGTTCTTCTCCTTGGACCAACCCTCAAGTGAATAGAAAAATTGGAGAATCTGGCTTTTAGACATCCACACTTCTCAACATTTCGTCCACTCTCTTGATATGAACTCTTTTTACTCTTCCACCTGATTTAAAACTCTCCCCTTCAAAGTTGTTGTGTTACTCACCAGGCCGTTTTGGGCAACATAAGTGGGGAGACCACTGACTAGAGCCCAGTGGTCAGGAGGCGGATTCCTGTAAAGGCCAAGGACAAATGGTAACTTTTGTTGTAGGGACAGTTGGACTGCAAACTTGAATCTGGGTCTTTGCTCTCCCTCCCCTATCTGGCGGCTCCCAGCAGCTGCTTTCACTCATCACTATACTAGAACGAGTCCCAGATCTTCACTAAGCATCTTAATGTCCAAATTTAGATACTGGGGCAAGAGTGAAACTACATTCTACTCATTGCAACCTGAGTTTGACTAGCCAGCAAAAGCAAAACTTTCATTCAATAGATTGTTATCAACCAACTGCTGAGCACAAACAGACACCAGCGCTCCCCTCCGTTAATGCAGAGAGAGTTAGTCCCACAGAGACAGTGGGAAACACACCCACGGTGAGCTCCCACCACATACAAGCACTAAGCTAAGTGCTTTACAGGTTATTTATCCCTCACAACAATATCACAATTTTTGGAATTATCTTTTACTTGTTCCTTGTGAGAAAAAATACAGACACAGAAGAATGCATTAAACATTCTTAAACATCAAACAAAAGTGAACATCCTAGAAACCACGCTCACATCAAGAACAACCTTGTCCGCGCCTTGGAAGCCCCTGACCTGCCTTTCCGACGGCAGCCCTTTCTCTAACCTCAAAGACATTGCTGGTCTGACATTGTAAGCGACTTCTTCCTTTTCTGCATTTTTACCGCCTAAGTGTGCTTTCCAGTACACTCTAGTTTATTTTTGCCTGTTTTTTAACTTCGTTTGCGTGGAATTGTCCAATATGTATTGTTTCATTTGGCTTCCTTTTCATGTTGCTGTAATTCACTCTTTTTATCTACTTTAAGTTTTCCCTTGTATGAATGTAGCACAATTTATCCATTTAACTGCTGGCGGATATACCCCCTCAATTTGGGGCTTATCTAAACAGTGATGCTATGACCAATCTGATGTGTATGTGCCCTCAGTTCCACATGGTACATACCTGGGAGTAGAAATGCTGGGTCAGAAGATGTGTACACCTTCAGCTTTACTAGTTAAGGCCAAGCTGTCTTCTAAAGTGGTTGTACCCATTTACACTCCCATCAGCAGTATATTAGAGTCTCCTTTGCTCCACATCTCTGTCAATACTTAGTATTTTCAGGCATTTAAACAATTTTTTAAAAGATTAAGAAAGTTCTCTTCTATGAGGATAATTATGTTGTGTTTCTCTTAATGTGGCAAATTATATTCATTGATGTTTTAAAATGTTAAACCAACCTTTCATTCCTGGAATAAACCCAATTGGGTCATGATGTATAATTCTTTTTAGTGATTGCTTGCTAAAACTTTTATTTAGGATATTTTTATCTGTTTATTCAGGATTGAGCTTGGTCTGCATTTTCCTTTTTCATATAGCCTCTGTTGGGTTTGGGTAGCAAGTTTATAACAGTCACTTTTTTTCTACTCTCTTAGATAATTAGTTCAGGAATTATTTTGTTTTCTCTTTAAGTATTTAGTAAAACTCACCCCTGAATCCATCTGGGCCTGTAGCATCTTTGTGGGAAAGTTTTGATTTATTTTATTGCTATAAGACTATTATGGTTTTCTATTTTTTCTTGATTTGTGTTCAGTAGATTTTATTTTTCTAGAAATTTGCCTATTTCATGTAGTTTTAAAATATTTTTGGCCTAATGTCCCTTTGTTATCTTTTTAATATCTGTGTGGCTATAGTTTTCCCTCCTTTTCATTCCTGATATAGCTCATTTGATTTTCTGTTTTTCTTGTTTGGCCTTGCCAGAAATTTGTCAATTTTTTAATCTCTTCAAGGAACCAACTTTTGGCATTTGCTCATCATTTACCTTTTTCTAGTTCATTAATTTCTGGGCTTATTTTTATTATTTTCTTTGGTTTTATTTTTCTGTTTGTCTGTTGTTAATTTTCTGAGCTGATGTGATGAATAGCTTCTGCTTGCCCCTCTAGATCTGTTTGCCTTCTGCTGCCCCCTGTCCCAGGAGGCCAGTCTCCACGGGCGACTCAAGCAGGACTCCTGGCCTTCCAGCTTTTGGCTGAGTGTGGCCCAATGGGGAGACGTGGCCAGAGACCACGGAGGGTAGAACAGTGAGGTCAGGTTGTTTACTTCCCTGTGTCCCCGCAGCAAGGTTGCTTTGGCTCATTATGTCCTTGACTGAAGGGCAATGCTTTTTCTCAAGATGGCCTGCTCTACAAGACTCCTTCTCCTTCCGAGTCCCAGGAACATCCTGTTGGGCCCGGAAGTGGCGACAGCACCACCACAGCTAGCACATTCTCTAGGGCTGCCCTTCACTCCACCCACATCTCTGTAATTCATTCTTTTGTAGATAATCCCTCCTTGAGGCATCCTAATTAGAAGGTGACACCTATTATCTGTTGAGACCAAGACTGATACAGGTAGGTACATTGTTCATTATTTCTCAGCTTCTACTCTTTTCTGATATGTATATTTAAGGCTCCATGTTTCACCTTAAGCACAATTCCTCTTGATCACATAGGTTTTGACATGCACTACCTTCATTATTTTTAGTTCGGAATATATCCTAACTTCCATTGATTTATTCTTTTACTCATGGGTTATTAGGGAGTACATTCCTTTTTTTTTCCAGAAGAGTATTTCTTGGTTATTTATTTTATATGAGCATTTCAGATGAGCTTTTTATTATTGTTTAATTATGATTTAAATATTCTACATTTCATATTTTTCCAGTCTATTCCTCCTATAAATTAACAAACATGAATTTGTCCATATCTTACATTTTGTCAGCTTTTGCTTTTTCTTTTGAAGCCATCTTTTTTAGTCTATGCAAATTAAGAATTATAATATCTCCCTATAATATCAAGACAAATTGACCCCTTTATCTTTAAGGAGTGACTATCTTTATCTCCACTAATTCTCTTTGACATAATATCTATTTTTATCTGCTACTAATATAGTTACATCAGATTTCTTTTGATGGTATTTGTGTGGTATATCTTTTTTCATTCTTTTACTGTCAACTTGTTTCTTCATTTCTAGAAAGTTATCAGTTCTTTGACAAACTTGTTTATATGCAATACAGAAAGATAAAATGCTTACAATTAATTTGTAATGCAATGCTTTATGAACTTACAGTTATTACTTTATTAATATCAACATAGATTTTTTAAAATTTGGACATAGATTTTGATCATAGTTTGTACATTTTTCCTGTCTTTTGGTGCCATTCAAAGCAACCTTTGGTTTCAATGGTGCATCGTAGTATAATCTCCTGAAGTTCCCTTATATGGCAGTTAAATTCGATATCAACATGGATACAACCAACAATGCACGTAACTCAGATGAAGTCATAGCACTGCGAATGGTTATGGCCATTCTCTCATAGTCAGCCAATGGCAGCTACATCTGACTATTGTCTGAGTGACAACAATGGTACAGCGTCATTGATTTTATGTCATAAATGTTGAAAGTCAAAAACTGTACATCTTATGATCAATAAAATGGGAGAGATTTCTTTCTTATCCAACTCGGCAACCTTTGTCATTTAACTGGAACATTCAGTTGATTAGTACTTAAAGTAATCCATGATATATGTGGATTGAAATATCATCTGAATGTTCACTTTGTATTTTTTTGTACCTGCTTTACGTCCTTTCTAAACTTTTATTTTGCCTTCTTTTGGTTTGATAAAGCATTTATTTACCGTTCAGTGTCCTCCTTGATCAATTTAGATGGCATAAACTGGTGGTCATTCAGGATGTTTACAAATATTCTGATTCTCACTTCATTTTGGGAACATGATAAGGCAGCGTATGGCCATGTGACTTACGGGATCACTTTGATGTCTTCCTTGCCATGCAGGATGTAGTCGATGACCTTGTAAAAGTTGATTTCCTAGGCAAAAGAGATGGAGAAACATATTCATTTTACAGTCTGAGACAGAACTTCAGCAGGAGTGCGTCCAGGAGATAGGCCTTGTTTTTGACTCCGTGCCCACGGTTTTCCAGAAGCACCAGTCTGACTCTCTAAGGGTGTATCATTGCTGCCTTGCAGCTCACTGTCCTCAGCTGACTCTTAGGATTTAATGTGCTCCTCCATGGTCCCAGCTCACAGTGGCCGTGCAAGGGCTGGGATCTGGGGCTGGAAAGGAGAATGGAAAGTGTTCCAGGGGGATCTGGAAGTTGAGCCCTAGGAGAAAGAGAGAGAGAGGAACTGCTGCTGGAGTTGAGGAAGAAAGGGAGGTTGAAAGGAGGCTCCTGTTTCACTTAGAGTCGTTGAAAACCCAGCTATCCTCCATGCAGGGCTCAGCTCTGCATGGCCCCTTTTCTCATTCATTCCCACCACCCATCTTCTCTCTTTGCTATGTCAGCTCTTCTGGGTCCACCTTCTCCATCACACCTCATGCCTCCTAACTCACTTTCCACCTCGTTCATCCTTCCACTCCCCCATTATCTTAGAATAGATCTGTTCAATTACGTGACCCCCTAACCTATAGGTGCATACTGGCACATGGCTCCCTCCCCTCAGCTCTCCAGGGAAAATTCCATGACCTTATCAGGCCCTTTGAACTTCCTGATATAGCAGGCAAGTTAGCAAGTATTCAAAAAATGGAAAGAATGAGACTCGGAGAGAGGAAAGAACTCGTTTATAATGAACCAGGACCAGGACTTTGACTTTCATTTCAGTGCTCATGCTGCTATGTCACTTAAGGTGAATAACTTAAAACAGTGTTTTACCCTCCTTATCACTCTCACTTTTAGAACAGGGTGGTTCGAAGCATGGTCCCTGGACTGACACTTGTCTGCAGAGAGTTCATTGCTATTCCTTGATGACATGAAAACCAAAACTGAGAGTCTGCATTTAGAAAGGTTTATAGAAGTTTGACTGAGTTAAGTTAGATCCCTTGAAACTAATAAAAAATGGGGGGACTTGGTTTTTGTATCTCTTTTTTAATTTTTATTTTTATACTTATATATTTCACCACATTTAGAAAAAGGTTCAGTCCAAAACGAATTAGAATTTTTCAAAGTTAACTGTTGTTCCTTTACTCCAGGTATTTTGAGAATACTGCTCTAGACATTCACATGTAGATACCTGGGCCCCACCCAGGTCTCCTGACTTAGAACCTCCACAGAGAAAAATTCCTGATCCAGTAAAAGGTGTCTGAAGGTCCATTTGGTTGACAAGTGATCATGACCTTCTTCAGGCCATGTGGGAAAGGCTCTGCTCTTCAGTGACCAGCATTAGCAGCTCCTAGGAGGCACACTCTGGCCAATCAGGAGGCAGAAGGTAGAGCCCTTCCAAGGATGCCGCTGCCCAGGGTAGACGAGAGCTCCTCCCTCAAGTAGGAAATATCCAAGGGAAAACTAAACAAGCCTCACAGCTTGATGTGATGGAACTAAGAATAGCTCTACAGTGAAGACTGGTGCTCTGCTCTTGGTTTTACTCTGTGTACTCTCCAGGCCTCAGTTTCCCCAGCTGCAAAAATTAGTGGTATGTGTTTGTTGTTGCTGTTATTCACTAGAACTCTTTTCCCAAACAAAGCGTGGGACCGAGTCATAAAAAGCAGAAGTGAGTGGAGCTGCCCTAATGGCAGCACAGCTGAGGACAGAGATCCTCATCTTTATTCTCTCTCTTTCCCTTCCTGCCCTCCTCCCCCATTAGCCCCTGGCCAAGGCAGCCGCTGTAGAAGTCGAGGGTTCTAAGACAATCAGAAATTGGAAAACAGGACTAGGTTATCACTAAAGCCCCTCCCAGTTATGATTCTGAGATGGTGGTTGGCTAGTTAGCAATATATTCCTCCAAGATTAAAATGCACATATCCTTTGACCCAGTAGTTCCACACATACAATAGGAATGAATCCTATAGATAGTGGGTAGAAGTGCTGTTTGCCCCATCCAGGGGTCTCAATCAGATTGTTGTAAAAAGCCTGGAGACAGGTGATGGCCATCATTCCATGTGCGATTCTATTACGCTTATTAAATAATTGATTTCCATACATTTTGTTAATAACCCAGGAAAGGGGAGAAGGGAGAGGATAACACAGTTGGAGTGGAGATCCCTCCTCCCTGATACGTAACTAGTTATATTTCAGCAACTGGAAAATGCTGGCTCAGAAAGAGGCAGCAAGAATCTGGAAAAGGTAGAGGTAGAGGCCCCAGGAAAATGAACCACAAGACCTATTTCCCCCCTCACTCCATTCTCTGCAAACAAGTTGAGTTCCTACATACAGTAGCTACTTTGCATGTTCCAGATGATGGAGCTCTATGTGACTGAAAGAAAAAGATACCAAAATATGGTAAAATAAAAAAAATAAGGCACAAAAAATCATCATATGTGTAGAAGGTAGTAATGGTAATGGTGGAACACAACACACACATCCAGGAATATCTGGATATCCACACACATTCCTACAAAGACAGACTCTCTGCCTCAGGAGGCTAGATTTCTGTGGTGTTCCCTTTTGTACATGTGAGCTTTTCACTGTGAATATAAGCAAATTGTGCTAAGACCTTTTTAAAAAAGTAAAGTTGTACTGTGTAGGCCATTCTAGAAAGCAAAGGTGGCTGCATTAGCTGCTGAGACTTTGATGAGCAAGCTTTCTACCTGGGAGGAGAAGGAGGAGGCTGGCTTTTATGACCTTCTCGACCTTATGCAGGTCTTAGCTTTAGGGCCCTTTCTCCTTGGGCCTGGGCCACTCACTGTGCTCCTGAGCAAGCTGCTGGCTCCCTGGGCTCGCAGGCTGCCTATCGAGGGTGTTCAGAGAGTCCTTTAGAAAGGTTGCAAATGGACTTGTTGTTTTGAAACCTACAGGAGAATTCATTTGCTTTCACAGAAATCAACAAAAAGATCAGTGTGCCCTAGGTAAATATGGCTTTTTCCATACACTCTATCTCAGCCAAGTTGCCTTCAAGGCCATATTCATGTAGAAATTTGCCAGCCTTTGGAAAATCAAACTTAGCCATCAATGAGCACCTTTGTTACCTTCCACCCGAGCTGCTAAGGCTGTAACACAAGGGTCTTTGAAAAGAGCCACAGACACAGCCAGAACCAAGTCAGCATGCATGGAAATGTACCAGTTTTTAAATAAGTGCTATTTTTTCCTTTTTTCCAATAAAGCCTAATCAGCCTGTATAACTTCTCAATAATTAAAATACAGACATGAACAATGTTTTGTTTTTAAAAGGAGATGAAGCAAAGAGTAGCTGCCATTGGGGAGCTTTAGACCCAAGATCTGGGGAGGTTAATTAGTCAAAATCCAGACAAAAGCTGTATTTTGAGTGTGAATATGGCAGATAAAGTGAGGGAACGATGTCAAAAACAAAAGGGAATGTTAAAAAGCATGCCTGTAAGGTTAGTTCTCAGGAAAAAAAAGCATCCTGGGCTTGGATTGGGGCAAATTATTGGACCCTCTCCAGACCTCCCTCTCTTCAACTGCCAAACTGGGAAAGTGAGGGGCCTCTTCCATAAACTCGTTGAGAAGAGTAAATGGCATGATTCAGGTTAAGTGCCCGGCAGAGTGTGAGATTCAACTCAAGTGGCCATGACAACTGGAGTGCCTACTGTGTGTCAGAGCATGATCTATTTTAGTTACTACAGCCCTATGAAGTCAGCTTGATTGCCCAGGCAGTATCGATGGGGAAGGTGAGGCTTAGAGAGGATCCTCGAGGCCACAAAACGAGCTGGTGGAGCAGGGACGTGGACTCGGAAGTGTCCCTCCAAGCCCATGCTCTGCCCAGAAGGTCCACTTTTGGCCTATCCTGACAGGCTGGGCCTGGGCCCCAGCTCAGGCCCCTGTGTGCTTTCCTCACCAGCCGTGGCCCAGGCCTGCAGCTGACTTTGGAGATGGGTTCAATGACCCCTCCCCATAGCTGGGAAAATGGAAGGCCCAAGGAATTATTTGGCCAAGCTCACCTAACAAGTTAGCTGCCAACCAAATCCAAAGTCCTTTGCCTTCTGGCCTTTTCCATTTCAATGTAATGACATATTCTTGTGAGGACCAACTGAGGCCCTTGCTATCTGAGATGGAGAAGGGTTTGGGGAAAGACAGTTCTTGACCATGAATGTGCTAGTTACCTCAGTGAAACCAAGACTTCTTGAATTAATCACACAATGGGCAGCTCTTCCCGGAATGGTGCTCAGTGAGAAAAAGTCCTGTTCAGTTGAATCTAAAAGACTGGGGTGCTCGAGGACAAAGAGCCACACAAGTTAGAGCCTGACATTTCTCTGGCCATCCTGGAGTTAGAGGTGACTCCTGAGCTCAGGGCTTAGCCCAGAGAGCTGGATGTCAAAGCAGCCAAGGAAACTGAAGCTGGCTGAAGTTAGTGGTGTCTGAAAGCTATGGTGATGTCTATTCCAGTTCCTCCCCTTCTAAATTTCCAGAAGATGAAAATCCAGCTCAGATTTTGGAGAAAAAAACCTCAGAGGTAACATGTCAGCTATGCCAACATAAAAAGCTAAACTTAAAAAAGGGAAAGCGCACCCAAGTCATTTTGACAGTGGTACACGATGCCATCCTTGAAGACTCAGTCTTCCTAAATGGAATCATGAACTTGCGTGGGTAAGACTAGTTTGAAACTGGACACCAGCTGGTCACAAGGTCCTTTTGGACAAAGCACAGCATACAATGCAGATTACAAAGCTGAAGTCTCTTCTGGTGTGTATATGAAGCTCATGGGCAAGGGTGTTCATTCTGAATTCCCAGAGTTTGAATGAAAACTAAATTAAGTCTATCTCACATGCACACATGCACATACACAACCCTGTATTTTGGGTAGGGTCAGGGTTAGCTGTGTGGGATTAAGTCTCCATCAGAAAGTGATATCCATTTGACTCCCATTCACGAAAGGGCTTATTCGAAGAGCATGGGATTAAAGCTCAGTTCTTGCTCTGGCAAGACAGCTGCTTACTCATCCTGTGTGGCCTCAGCTAAGGCCCTTCAGTCCGTCTACAGGTTTGATAGGCAGTTTGAACGCCTGGGCTATGGACCCTGCTTCATCTCCGCATCCCCACACATACCACTCCAGCTTCTCTAGAGTGTTTGGGCCTCATCTGAAAAATGAAGCAGTGGTATGAGTCCAGTGGTCACAAACTCAAATGCCCGGAGGCCCGACAGAAACAAAAATGTGAGCAGGGGGCCAGGTATTCACAGGAGGCAAACTGGAGAGCTCAGGCCGCGTTCCAAGGAGGCAGTTGCCACTCAGCTCCAATCGAATTTCCCCTGTGGGATTGTGGGCCAGATTTTGATGGATCTGCTCTCCCAAAGAAATGGAGAATATGGATATTTATGGGAAATATCTTGATTTTTAAGTGCTAAGCTACCAATTTCATTTTTTAAGTAAAAAGATTTTTTTTTAAATGTATGCAGCCAAGCAAGTTTATCTATTCACTGGAATTGACCTCTGGCTACCAATTTATATGCTCTCAACTAGATATTAAGGATATTTCCAGGTCTAATAGTCTATAATTGGGACTCTTGCTGGGCCAATTCTTGAGCAAGTTGCTTCACTTTTCTGAGGCTATTTTCTCTTTTTTGGAAAGAGAATGTTGATTCCTTCTTGGTCACCCCCCATAGGTTTCTGTGAAACTCCAACAAGATATCAAAAACCCTCCCTGGCTGGTGCGGCTCAGTTGGTTGGAGTGTTGTCCCATAACCAAAAGGTTGCAGGCTCAATTCCCAGTCAGGGCACATGCCTAGGTTGTGGGTTTGATCCTCATTCCAGGTAAGTAGGTTGCCTGGCCTGGGTCCTACAGGAAGCAACCAATTGATGTTTCTCTCTCACTTTGATGTTTCTCTCTCTCCCTTCCTCTCTCTCTTAAAGCAATAAAAGTAAAAATGTCCTCAGGTGAGGATTTAAAAAAAGAAGTTAAAACACCTTGTAAATTACAGGCTTGGCAATAGTGAGAATTTATAACTTCAAGGGAGACGACTCAACCAAGAGAAGATAAATACTCAAGTGATAAAAAGAGTCAGCAGTTTTCATAGTGCTATATGTTTGCATTTCATTAAACATTTTATCAGATTGAGCAGGACAGAGAGAGACCTACCCTTCCATCTGGAGTCCTGGGACCAGTATAGGGCGGAACCTCACCCATCAGGACTGGCCACACATCAAAAAACTCCTAGGAATGAGAAAAACAACAATTACATGTGTTGAAAATACACGCTGGGAAATGCATGAAAACAATAATTACATATCTTGAAAATACATGTTGGAAAATACAATATCCCTTGCAGTATCATTTATAAGAGCAAACACTTAGAAACAACCTTAGTGTCCAATAAGAGGGGGCTTAAGACAGTAAATCAATTATAGTACATCTAGTAACAATGATGCTGCAGAGGTGTATGTATTAATTAAAAAGGTGCCTATGATACACTGATGAGTGAAAAATGCGGGGACAAAAAATATAGATCATGTGACCCAATGGTCAGTGATATTTAGAAAATGCTCAAAGAATTTACAACAAAGCATTAACAACTGGTCTTCCCTGGGTGATTGGAATGAGACTATAATTTATTTAGCAATTGTTCCGTTTTTTCCAGATAAGAATGAAAAAAACAAGGGTGGCAAATATGGATAGATAGCCTCGTATCCGAGAGTCAACAAGAAAGATGGCCTCTGAGACATCTGGCAAAGACAGGGGCAGGAAGAAGAGGAAGAAGGGCCAACACAGGCTTTGCCCCGCCACTCAGACTTGGGGGAAGAAACCGACTGGGATGCTGCAACAGGCGCTTTCCTGATGCCCTCAGCCGGTTTCCAGTCGTATACAAAGCTGTACAGCTTGGGTGGGGCCAACCCTGGGCCTCACAGAGGAGGCCTCTGTCCTCCAGTGCCCTCTCTGTTCATTTATTTGTTGATTTTTAGGGACAATGATAGAGTAGTGTTGGGTTATGGTGGGCTGAATGCTAAGCACTCAGTTCTTAGCCTCTCTCTTATTTAAACAATTTTGTCATGGTGTTTGCCAAATATCATCCAGAGGACAAGCAGAAGGGAGCCAGGTTTTTCTTGCCAGCTGACAACAGAGTGAAGCTCAGTTCTGGGTAAAACGTGAACTGGAATCCTACCTGAGCCCCACAGTGTGCTTGCTACCCAGATGGACAAGGCCCGGGGTGTGCCCTGGAGGAGCTGCCCATCTCAAGGAAGAAATAATCAAGTACTCCAGTGACTATAACAGGGTGGCTGGGGCAAGAACTGAAAGCATAATGGAAGGAGAACCTCTTTCATATAGAGAACCTCCTCTAAGTTAGAGGAGCCCAGAAGAAGGGCCAGTATTGTACTTGGGGCTGAGCTGTCTGTGTCAAACACTCAGCGTCTCTGAAGATTGTCCCAAGGAGAAGCGGAAGATGTCAGCAAGGGGTTGGTAGAAAGTGGGGCACATTTATGCCCGTCTTCCTCCCTCTCCTTCTCTCTCTTCTTCTCCCTCTCCCTCTCCTTCTTTTTTTTTTTATGCTTTTCTTCCACCTTGCTCTTCTCTTTCTCCTCCTTCTTCCTCGTTTTCTTCCTCTTATTTTTAAATAGTTTGGTTGAGGGATAATTCACCTATCAAACAATCTACCCAATTAAAGTTTAATTCAATGGATTTTATTGACTTCTTTCATAATGTCAATAGCTCAGGTAAGAGCTTAGCCACCTGGGGGATAGGTTCTTGGAGTGATGTAGGCAGCCCAGCCCACCTCTAATTGCTAGGTAGTCCCATCTTTTGGGGATGACTAAATTAGACTATTCCTGCTGAAATGAGACTTCCCCTTTTGAGAGGGAGTTCAAAAGAAACAGAGGGCAGAACCCTGTGGCACAGAAAAGCCTGCACCTGGGGGCAGATCCTTTAAGGTGCAAACCGGACACCTTAACATGGAGTTTCTTTAATTCAACTATTCAGAAATTCTTCTGATGTAAAACAGAGCCATTCATTTGTATGAATGCATCCATATGCTACCTTATGAGGGACCATCAAAGGGTTTATTGCCACACTAGATCTAAGGTCTTTTCCAGCCTCTGGTTCTGTGACTCATTTATTCATTCAACCAAATATCTGGAGAGTCTCCCTCGGTCTGTGCGCTGTGCTCAGCATGACAAGACAGAAAGATGAAACCAACAGGAACCTGCACTTTGAACCTTTGGGATAGGAAATCACAAATCTTAAATAACTCTGGAAATCCATTCCAAGGCAGAAAATGATTAGGCTTGGGAGGCAGAGACAAAGAGAGAAAGAGCAACATGAGAGTCAGTTCGGGGAAACCTGGCTGAAAAACAATGCTAGGAGCTTTATCAATAAGTGTTCTCCTCAGCCAGTGTATCTGGGACAAACCTGGCCCTTTAGCATCCTAAGGGACCAGACCTAAGCCTCCACCTCAATTGCACGAGTCAGCCCAGGGCTCTCCAAACCATAGGAAAGGCTCTTGTCCACCTCTGAGTGCGTTTTCTGAGAGTTCCTGAAACTGACAACGTTCCTCTCTCTGGACCTTCACCCTGCATTGAAATTTCTTATCATTCATCTACATCAACCCTTCAAGCCTTCTGCTCACATACGCTTTCTTTTCTAGTTGGCTGGGGAAGATATGGGTCCTTTTTACTCACCTGTGCCCTAGGCTGACTTTTCCCCTTTAAGTATGGATGTTCCTCTCTTCAGTATAAAACTACGACAAACTTTCTGCACCCTCCCACCGTCTTCCCTGTGTGACTGAATGGGTGACCCAAATCTGGGCTCCTCTCTGTGTGTATTTAACCTGTTCTTGCAAAGGTCCCCTTCTTCCTCACCTTCTGCTTGGTCATGTCTAAGAGCCCCACAGAGTATCTGTCGCAGTTGAGGAAGGCTCGGACTGTGTACAGGGCTTTGTGGAACTGTCTCTCGATGTCCGTGAGCTCTTCAAAGACTTTGCTCCCAGACCACAGCAGTATCTAAAGAAACATCAAAACATAGAGTTTTTTGAGGCACAAAGTAGCAGCTCCCTGAGCTAGAGAATAATAGCAACTCTGGAAAGTTCTCTGTAGGGTTTATCTCATTTAACCCTCAAAAGAACATGGAAATAGAAACATTATCCCCATTTTATAGACAGAGAAAGTGAAGTTCAGGAAGGTGAAATGACTGGCCAGCTTACAACTCTTCCCATTTATTCCCTTTCATAGGTTGTTTAGGAAAATAATAACAACACCCTCAATTGGGCACAAGCGCTCTACACACATCACCTTACTTACTATTTAATAATCTTTTGAGGGGGGAACCATAATTATCCTCATTTTTCAAATGGGGATACTGAAACTTGTAGAGAATAAGTGATTTGCTTAGGGTCTTAGAGGTAATAAGTGGTTTAGCAGGGATTCAAATGCAAGCCATCTGACTTGAAAGCTTGTGCGTACAGTCACTCTGGAATATGGTTTTATAAACACGCACTACCTCATAGCCCCAGGGGCGCTTTGTTGCAGAGATAGTTCTCGGGTACTTTTGTTACCACCTGCCTTTCTAGCATGATCTCGTCCATGCTTCAGGGGAAAAAAAGTGTGCCCAGTCCATCCCCTGGAGCCAAACCCCTTACCTGGCCACGCCGAGTCTCACAGTTGTGCAGGTAACTCAGGTGGAATACCTTCATGATCAGATTTGCAAAACTGAGATACTTGAGAAGAATCTGAAAATCAAAGAGCATAAGGGGAAATAGATGAGAAGGACAAACCCCTCCTCTGGCCAGTTCCACCATCAGCAAAATATCCCTGAATACATTAAAGCTTCATCAGAGGCAATCTGAGCGGGTGGACCATGGAATGCTGACTCATAACATGTTGCATGGTGAGAGTGTAAAACTCACAGAATGTTGAATGTCCATACTGGTAGAGGTGTGCTAATGAAGAACAGCCACTAGTCATTGAGTTTGCAGTCCTGTGATAAGTCGTTTATGTATGCTGCCTTATCTGATCACCACAAGCACCCTAAGAGATGAAGACTGTAAAAGGATTCCCATTTTAAAACTGTTTAAGCCCCAGAAATTAGACACCCTGCTAGGGAATGCCCACCATCATTATTCCTTACAAATAATATAAAGTAAAAACAACAGAGGTCCAGGAAAATTAAGTAACTTGCCCAAGTCAAATAGCTAGATATTAGCAAAGCCAGAACAATCGTCCCTGAATTCCTGGCTCCAAAGCTCAAAGTCTTACCCATTATCCTGCCCTGCCTCCCTCACAGAGCATGAGATTAACCACCCTGTCTTACTGATGGAGGACTGGGGCCAGGCCAAATAGCAAGGCTCGGGAGACTTCATGAGTGGGAAGGAAGGGCTAGCATAAGCGCCCCAGCAGTTCCTAATGCATTCTTACCTCTTCATCTCTCTTGGTGAAGTGAGGCCCATCCACTTTATTCACAGCCATGATTACAGCTACCACATCCTTGCCATTCATTATGGGGGAAGCCAAGATGTTCTTGGTGTGGTACTCGGTGAGGGTGTCCACGAAGTCACAGAAATGTTCATTCTGAAAGAAGGCAGAGAGACGAGAATGTGTGGGCAGATGAAGAGCAAAGGCCATAAAATACCCAGATCCCCAGGTGCCCATCGCAGGGGATGGGATGAGGGGGCTCCCTATCCCGTAGTGACGAGAGATGAAGACATTTCTGTTTTCGCCTCTTCGGCAGGGCAAGGCAATTGGAGATGATTTCTGCCCTAGAAGCCTCCAGAGTTGAGGAGAAGGAGAACATCTGAGGTCCACCCAACCGGGGGCTGTGGAGGGAATGTGAGCAGAGCTCTCGGGAGCCCTGGGACAGGGGCATGGAGGGGCTGGCTTTGCCTGGTTTAGAGAAGGCTTGCTTAAAGTGGTGATAGTTAGGCCCAAAATAGAAACTAGAAAAAGACCTTCATGAGTATAATAACCCCAGTTGTTAGCAGGTGTTGTGCCTGTCACTTTACCTGTATCATCTCACTTCAATCCTCCCAATCACCTGTGAGAAAGGGACCACTAGTGCCCATCTTACACAAGGGAGAACTGAAACTCAAGCTTAATTTTACTTGTTACTTGTGAGGTGATTCCCAAACCTGCCCTTGGCTCTGCTGCCTTTTGGGAAAACCCAGACGAGGTTAGACCTGAGTCTAGGGCATTGGACCAAAGAATATGTTGCTTTCAGCCTTTTTAACATTCCAGTTCTAGCACTACATAGCCAGCCCAATGGATATCCCCACTCTACCAATCTTGATGAGAGCCACACTATGCATCAGGCCTCATGCTAAACACTGGAGATACAGGGGAGACTAAGTTTCAGGCTTGTTGATAAATCAATAACAGTAATACAGGACCCAGTGGCTGGCTCAAAGCTGTGACCACACAGAGGAGCACACACTCCCACACCCTGCCCCTAAACCAGCCCGGGAGACCAGTAAAGGACAGTGTAGTCTGTGTGCTCAGAAAGAGGAGACAAATCCTGAATTGTTGTCTTAAATTCAAAAGAATCCACCTTTCTGTTTCCTGGTAGCACAGTGGGGTTTAACAACTGTCAGCATTGCCTGGGACACAAGCCCGGCCAGACGTGCACAGCTCATGCTTCTCTGGGAATGGAAATGTACCTCAAAGAGGCAATTCAGAGAGCTTTGCAAGAAATGGACATGTGGAATCTTTTGCACAATTCTGAAATTCAGAGTGTGTTGCTCTGCATCTTCGGATTTCTTCCAGAAAGGGTCGAATTAAATAAACTGGCAAGGGCATGGTTGTCGATGACGCTGTCTCAAACCTGGTGAAGGGGAAGGAATTAAGAGAAGCCTGTCATGCTGTACTTGAATTAGCATTGGCGGATTAAGCAAAGTCCATCAATGCTAATCCTACAGCAAATTTTCCGGGTCATTTTCAAAGGACACTGACAAAGTCCCTGAACCCAGGTCTGGGCAGGGCATGCTCAGAAGGTCAGTTCAGTCTTGCAGTATTCACTGCTCCTCTACCAGGGAATGCAAAGCGTGGGCCTCACCTGCATCTGAGGCAGATATTACTAAATCCACCAGAACCCTCTTTCCCTCTGAGTTCTCAGCCCTAAAACTCCCCTCACAAGTAACATAGCCACTAGTTGACTGGCACTCAGACATTCATTGCTGTCCTTATATTTTCAGCATACGAAGTATTCTAAGCCATATCATAGAACCTCATATTATCACAGGCAAAGCGGAGCTTAGAAGCATTTAGTTTAGACTGTTTATTTTAAAGCTCAGGAATCAGACGCCCAGCTCGGGAAAGTCATTCATTCATGCAGTTAACATTAACAGAACTCCTTCTGTAAGTAGGGTAGGTCTGTTCTAGACCCTGGGGCTACAAGATGGGTAACCTTCTCTCTGGTGAAATGGGGAAGGTAGACAGAAGGGGTGGGCAGACAAAAAGGAGTAAACACTATCATTCTCCCTCCAGTCTGTGTAACTGCTTTGAAGGAGAAAAAGAGGATGGTGCTTGAGAAGTGTTGGAAGGGATGGACGGATGAAGCTGCTTTAGTTATCCAAGGTGGGCAGGGAGGCTTCTCTGAGAAGCGATCCTGAGAGCCAAAGAATCCAAGGAACAGGGCAAGTGAAGCACATTCCAAGCAGAGATACGGAGAAGGCAAAGCCCAGCGTGGACAATGATCTGAGAAACAGAGAGAAGTTTCTGTGTGGATGGAGCAAAGGGAGGGAGAGGAAGAGCGGAGGGCAAGGAAGTTAGAGACGTGGGCAGGGCTCATCTGGCAGGGCCTTGCAGGCCACTGTACGGGGTTTGGGTTTTTCTTCCAGTGCAACGCAACACTGCTTCTCACTCCCATATTCCTCAACATCTGTTCACTTACACTCACGGGCCAAGGTCTGTTGTGTCTTCTGAGGAGATCTACTATTTATTGAATAATGACAACGTACTAGGCCCAGAGCCCAACAACTCACTTGTCTCCTTCACTCTCACATCAACCTGTCCCCTAGAACTGTCACTTTCCCTGTTCTATAGACAATTCCCTTGCCGGCAAGTGGTCTAGCCACTTCATTCACTGGCACACTGATTCATTCGTTCATTCACTCATATTTCCTGAGCACTAGCTGTGTGAGAGGCACTGGCCATGCCAAGACTGCTGGGAAAGATGAGGTTATCCTTACTGGGCTCTCACAGCAGCGTGGGGACATCATGTAACAGATGAACCCACAATTCAAACCATATTGTAGAATGCTTCCATGGAACGAGTGGTACCTGGAGCCCCAGGGAGGGAGAGACTTGTTCTCTGAGTGGCTTCAGGGACCGGTCAGCACATTGTCAGTAGTCCAAACCTCTCCAAGCCTCAGTTTCCCCTTTGGTAGAAACAGGGTGTTGGACCAAGTTCTTCTGGAGGTTTCTGTCTGGTCCAGAGGCTGGGTTCCCAGCCTCATAGGAAGAGAAGCAGAGCAGGAAAGCAGGACGACAGATACGAGAGTCTTTGAAACGACCGTTTTTTCAGGCTCAGTCTTCAGAAATGGGATTTGCTGGTGTCTAAGAAAAGCTCACTGTTTTACTCTCACGTTACCACTACGTTCCTTACACCACTTCTGACACCAGAGGTGTGGGTGTTTTCTCCAACGCTGACCAATTCTCTGATGCCAGCGGAGTGTCCTACAACTCAATTCAGTTTTGACACTACCTACCTGGAGCTAGCATCAGATCCCACAAGTTAAGGGCTCAGTCCCATAAATGGCCCCCACACAGACCCCAGTAACAAGTCCCAGGTTGTCATCTGTGCTTCTGACCAACCAACTGTACTGGAGTTCCCACAACCTGCTCTTGGGGTTGGGTAATTTGCTAGAACAGCTCACAGAGCTCTGGGAAACATGTACTTACATTGATGTATTTATTATCTAATAAAGGATCCTGATGAGCATCTACATGAAGAGATACGCAGGGCAAGGTCTGGGAGGGTCTTGAGCACAAAAGCTTCTGTCCACACGAAGCTGGGGTGGGCCACCCTTCTGGCATGTGGATGTATGTGTTCACCAACTCAGAAGCTTTCTAAACCTAGTACTTTTAGGATTTTTATGGAGGCTTTGGTATGTAGGTGTGACTGATTATACTCCATTTGTAACCCCTCTCCCCTTTCTGGATAATGGGGCGTGGGGATATAAGCACCTAATTCAAGCATCTGATTGAAAGCTTCAAACACAGCTTGGTCTTTCTGGCGACCAGTCCCCATCCTGGAGCCCACCAAGACTTGCCTCATTAGAAGAAAAGCACACTGCCCACCCAGCAAATTCCAAGAGATTTAGGAGCTCGGTGCCAGATGTTCCTATCACTCAGGAACCAGGACAAACACCAAATGTATCTTTCTGATTGTAGAGCACAATAGCACAGTCAATGAGGGAAGAGCCATCATCTGTTCATTCACTGAGTACCCACCATGTCCCAGGCCCTGGACTAGATGCCAGAAACCAGTGGTAAATAAGACAAGAAGAAACAGTCCCCATGCTTTCCAAATAGGAGAAGGGTAAGAAGGAACATGCAAACAAATATTGAATGGCAAAGAGGCTTGCTAGATTTAGCAGATAAACACCAAGGCCTAGTTACATTTGCATTTCAAGTAAGTAAATAGTTTTTTAGTATAAGGGTGCCCTAAATATTGCACAGGACATACTTACACTGAAATATTATTCTTTGTTTACATAACGGATTTAATGGGGCATCCTGTATTTTATCTGGCCATGCTAATGGCAAGTGTTCCCAAGGAGATCCCAAGGATGAGTAGGAATGGAATACACTAGAGGATGAGGAACTACATCGCGAACCTGAGAAATGTCTCCACTCATGGCTTCACATTTCACGAGTTCCATGATTGTACCCATTTCCTAGGTTTATGAGTGTACTGAAGGTTCAGAGTGGCATTTGCTGTTGGTTAGGGACAACAAGACCCCGTCTATACCATCTTCCTCCTCCTTCTCCATCCAATCCCCAGTCACAGTCAGAGCCCCATGTTGAGTATGATTTCCCAAGGAGGAACAAGAGGAGAAGCAAACACACGCAAATGTCAAGTACACAAGGACAGCCGGCCTGGAGCGACTTCACCCCCAGGCTTGCATCACCAGGCAGGGAGACTAACCAAGGCTGGAAAACTGCCACAGAAACACAGGTGCCACTTCCAGAGTGACCCCTGAGCTTGAACAGGAAATGGCAGGCTGTCCCTTAGCACAGGGCTTGGCAAACTCATAGCCTGGGATCTTTAAAATCAGAGAACTCCCCTAAATCTTCAGTCCTGCAGCACCAGGGTCCAGAGGAGCTCCAGCACCTATGTTCCCTGTTTTACCTACAAATAGAATCTATAGTGAGAGCTCCAGAAGGGCAAGACTGGCTTCTTCTCCAAATCCTATGCAGGTCTGGCACAGCATCCACTTCACCACCAACAAAACAGTTATAATAGAAACAAGAAGCGGGACCTGCCATTAGGACCCACTATAGCGTACCCAGGACCCTGCTAGAAGATAAATTCTCTCATCTAATTCTACAAGCACACTGAGAAGCAGGTATTCTCACCCCATTTAGTAAATCAGGAAGTGAGCCCAGACAAGGTAAACAGTTTGCCACAGCCATGTTCTTAGAGAATGACTGAGTCGTAATTCGCACCCAGATCTGACCTCAAAGCTTAACAAATTTCTGGCATACAGGTAAGGGGGGGGGTACAGAATAGCAGAGCAGAGGAGAGCGTGGACACAGGCCAGAGGACTTGGGGTTACATCCCCAGTCTGCCGCTTTCTATCAGCATGACTCTGAGCCAATTACCTAACTAACCTTTTGGGGTTTCAGTTTCATCATCTGTAAAATAGGTACAATCAAAGTATGTCATAAAACTGTGATGATCCCTGTGGCTACAGTCAAAGTCTAGGGAGACCTGAAAGGAGAACAGACTCCAATCTGGGTGTAGATCAGTCTCCAGGAAAACTCTCTGGGTGCAGAACCATTTCGCCTACCCCAGGATGTCCAAGAGGAGATGAGGGAGACAGGAATTCCATGGGAGTCCAGCCTAGTGTGTTTCAAAGAAAACCATCTCCGCCCTGTCTGGTGTGGTTCAGTGGATTGAGCACAGGCCTGTGAACCACATGATCGTGGTTCAGTTCCCAGTCAGGGCACATGCCTGAGTTGCAGGCCAGTTCCCAGAAGGGGACCCATGAGGGGCAGCCATACATTGATGTTTCTCTCCTTCTCTCCTTCCCTTCCCCTCTAAAGATAAATAAATAAAATCTTAAAAAAAAAAACCATTTCCCACGCAGGCCAAGGTCTGCACTTCCTAACTTGCCAAAAAACCCAAGTCAAAGGGGTGACCCGTCTGAATTCTGCATCCATGGATGTGAAGTCCTGGCTCTGTCCTAACTCCTCAGTGACTTTGAGCCAGTCCTTCTCAGGCTCTCCTGAGCCTGGCTTGTTTCATTAAATAAAGCCAGCTGGATGAGATGATCTCTGAAGCCCCCTCCTTTTAGCCTTACAACTCTTAATTTGAAATGAGGTCAGAGGTAAGGTGAGCATGAAGACACAGCTATCCAGTCTGGGTGTTGGAAGTGACCAAACACGGGCTGCTGTTTCAGCCAGTACAGTAATCAGTGAGACCTAAATGGGCCTTGCCGTCATGGGACAGACATTCTTCCAGGTGAGACGGGTGTTCAAGGAATAGAGTTGACCCTTGAGCAACACAGGTTTGAACAGCATGGGTCCACTTACACGTGGATTTCTTAAACCCATGCAGATCCAGTCGTGTTGTTCAAGGCCCAACTGTATGGCATAATTACTTGGTTGTGAGTCTTGTGCCAAGTATTTGATGAGCATCTGCTTTGAGCCAGACATTTGCTAGATTCTGGGTCTAACAAATGGAGTGGAGAACGAGGCAGGCAGAGTCCCTGGTCTCTAGGACTTATTTATGGTGAGCACTGGTGTTGGGAAGGGGACTGACTGTAACAGAGGCCTCTGGGCTGGCCTCCCTGAGGAAGTGGCCTTTAAACCGAGATCTCAAGGATCAGTAGGAGTGGGCCCTGGCAGAGGGCTTTCACAGAGCTGCATGAAGTGACTGGCCCCAAGAGGTCAAAGAGGTCTTTGTCAGGGCTGCCAGTAGACACCCACGGAACGCCAGACTCTTAGAAGAAAAAGCCAAGTGCTCAACCAAGTGATCGACTTTGGCATTTCCTGGACAGAATGGGACAGGCTGCCATCCCATGTCCCCTGATGTAATGCCCCAAGAAGAACACCATGTCACTTCCGTAATGTCGCTGCCAGAAACACAGAATCTGAATATAATCATGAAGACATGTCGGACAAGCCCACACGGAGGGACATTTCTGCATAATATTTGTCTTGTCCCCTTCAAAAACATCCGCATCAGAGAAAACAGACAGGCTGAGGACTCCTTGTGATTCAAGGAAGCTATAGAGACAGCACCATGTGGGTGCAGCTGAGACAACTGGCAAAATTGAATATTGACCGTTGATTAGATCATACTATTGTATCAATGTGACATTTCCTGAATTCGATCGTCGTGCTGTGGGTGGGTAAGCTCTGTCCTCATTCTGGAAATACAGAGCAGAGTACTTAGGGTTAAAGGGCTTGTGGTCTGCAACTGACTCCCAGGCAGATCAGAAAAAATGGAGACAGAAAGCAAATGTGGCAACTCAGAGGAAAGTGGTTTTAGCGAATTTAGATGAAAGATACACAGTTCTTTGTGCTATTTTAAAACTCAACTAAGTTTTTTTTTTTAAATAAAAAGACATAAGTAAAAAAGCAATGAAATAAAGACAAGCACCAGGCCATCACCAGCCCGGTCCGGCAACCAGCAGCTCCCTACCCCACTAGTGCCCCAGGACCCCATGGAATAATGCCCCCTGCCCTCCCTCTTATGGGGAAGGGATACCTCTTCTGTGTTGGGGACATTGACGAGCTTTTTAGAGTGTGCGACGTGTCCCACCACGCCCATGTCCAGGGGGAATACGATCTCCGAGTCGGGCATCACCAGACACTCCTCAAGGACGGCATCTTTGTGGACATTGAAGAGCCGGGTGGCTAGCTCTGCACTGCCATTTCGGGCCCTGTACATGAACAGGCTCATGCGGTCTGCCTGCAGGAGGAAGCACAGCTTCTTCGTGACATTGAAGATGCATTTCTCGGCCTGCAAGTTCTCCCGAAAGTCCCGCAAGAGGTCAAAGATGATTTCGCTCTCCTCCACGCTGCTCAGCGAGTGGTAGTTGCTAAAGTCCACGGCGGCCTCCTTGGCCCCCAGCAGGTCTGAAATGACCTTAGCCCGGTAGCGGAGGTTGTAATACTGTTTGGCAAAGCCGATGTTCGAGTCCAGGAACTTCTTCACCTCCTCTGTGGTCACCTCTCCCATGGCTGGGAAGTCCAGTGGTTACTTCTGTGGAGGGGCTGAGACTGGCCCTGGGGGGCGTTTTGCCGCGTGTGGCAGGCCTGAGTCGGGATGCGTTCTGCCCCGCCAGCACTTCGCTAGGTCTTATCTGTAAATCTCACAGATATTGCTGCATAGGACAGGGAGTGAGTTTGGGAGATTAAATCATTAATATTCCCCAAGAACAGGGATTATGAGGATCAGAGCGTTCCAGATGCTGCTGGGGCCCGGGGGGGAGAAGGCGAGGCTTCTCTTTTCACCTTGGCCCACTAACAGCTGAGGAGAGATTTCTGCACAGAACCGGAAGTGAGCTCAACTAAAAACAAAATGAAGCAAAACAAAAACACTAAAGCAGAGGGTGCAAAAGTGGTGGCACGAGGACCACCTACACTTGACACAGAACCCTACGTTAACTGCATGCAGAATTGTGTGGCTTCTCGTGGGGAATCGGAAGATCTAATGGCTGTGTTCACTTTCCTCCACGGCAGGACAGGTCAGAACCAAGAGGGGCTGCCCACCCAGCCCTTGGCCCTCACCCTACCCTCTCTGCCCCCTTCCCCGGGGCCTCCCCAGTTTGGGGCTTCGCCTTGCATGCTCACCCCTCAGTTGGCTTCTTCCGTGTACATTATGTGTGTGGCTCCCACAGACCCCTATCTCACAATCTCTGTATTAAAGTCTTCCCCAGCTTTAGATTTCAAAGATTCTCTCGTTTCAGAATTTGAAGGGCCTCCATAACTGCAATATCTTTCGTACTTTTTCTTTTATTACAAAATACATGTTCACTGTGGGAAATAAGCAAAGAAGACTATTAGTTGCCCATAATCCTGCTATTCAGGGGTGATCCCTAGTTAACATTTCAGTTTCTGTCCTTTTTATAGAGGCTTAACTTTATTTAAAATCTATCGAGCCCCCGATCATTCCCTTGGCTCTTTAACGTGCTTTTCCTGGCATAGTGCCTCCCTCTGGGGTAGTCAGTCAGTCAGAAGTGCACACAACAGTCTAGATGCTATCAGCTCCGGTAAATCTCGAAACACCAGATTCCTCACTGAAGTGCCGCTCCGACACACAAGGGGAGGAGGACACTTTCTTTGTGGGTGACCTGCACTTGTGAGCCTCCCTGAATGAATCTGCTGGAGCCCAGCATCGCTGAGTTGTAAACACTGAGGAATGAAGGATTATAGACTGGCTGGTACTTTGAACTTAGTAGATGAACTTTAATGCAAAGTGACTGCTTCCTTTGTTGTAGAGTATAACGAATTCTTAGGGTACTGTACCCATTCAGCGCTGCCCCCGGTCTGGGCAGGCCATGCAGCATCGTGAACGTCTCCAAACACACCCACCATAGACAACATGAGCCCTCTGTCCGAATGCTCTTCCCCAGCTTTTCACACACCAGCTCTGCCTCAGCCGTAAGGTCTCAGCGTGTCAGCTCATGCTGGTCATGCCCAGCTGTCTTATCCCAAGGAGCTCCCAGCTGCCCTCGCCCTGGTTCCTGCCTGCCATGCCATCTATTCGTTTCCTTTTCTGCATTTACTACTATTAGAAATTATCTTGTTTGCTTTTTGTTTCCTTGTATGTCTTCACCTGTACACTGTGAGTTCCATGAAGCAGGGCTGTTATATCCAGGGGGGCCACCTCCTAACAGGCCTGTGGGATGGTCCTGATTTTAAACATCAGTAGGAAGATATCAGGCTTCTTTCGTTGGGAGCAGGGCTGACAGTAGGGTTGGGAGAGATCATTTTGTGCAATCAGTCTAGGAAAGCCCATGTCCTGCTAGATAGAGGAAAACAGGATTGTAGGCCCAGCTCATTCTGTGACCTTATTGAGTCTTGTCGTCTCTCAAGGCTGTGCCTTTCCCTATTACCTAAATAGGGGGGTTGAACGATGTGTCTCTAACACTCCTAGACCCCGGACCCCAAATGGACCTAGAGTGACAGAAGGTTGGCCAGGAATGGCTGACCTCTCCGTTTCTGACCATGAGCCTCACTAAAGGATTCTCTTGGAAGAATAGTCAGGACTATTTATTCAGAATTATCGTTACTCTGAATTTCACAGGTGAGGAAACAAAAAAGCTTTGAAAAGTTAGCGTACTCAAATCACAGGTGATTTTTTTAGAATTCTTTTTATCGAGATATAATTCACAAAACATAAGATCCCCATTTTAAAGTGTGCGGGTCAATGGTTTTTGTATATTTGCTACACTGTGGCCAAAGAATCTATTATCTCTCTCTGGGTTTGCCTGTTCTGGATGTTTCACATAAATTAAATCATACAATACATGGCTTTTTGTGTCTGACTACTTTCACTTAATGCTTTCAAGGTTCATCCGCACCGTTTCATGTATTAGTACTTCATCCCTCCCTTTTAATGGCCATACAATATTCCATTTTTATCTGTTTATTAGTTAATGGACATTTGGGTTATTTTCGCTTTTTGGCTGTTATGAGCATTCGTATGCAAGTCCGTGTGAGCATGGTTTCAGTTCTCTTGGGTGTATATCCAGGAGTGGACTTGCTGGGTCCAAAGGTGACTTTAAGATGCTGAGCTTCAGAGCAGACTGAAGTCATATAGGGAGAGCCTGGGGTGGTGTGGTTTCAATTTCAGTGCGAGGTCTGGAGGGACAGCCACCAAGGTCCCTGTGCTGAGTCCCTCTCCCACAAGGTCCATAGATACCTTTTTTCCTAGGTCCAGATGACATCAGCCTAGGGGAATGTACTAGCCCCACCCCCCACCTCCCTGTGGCCCCACCTGGCCGAGGTCACGCCCTGCAGAGGAGTCCAGCCTGAGCCCATGATGCAGACTCTCCTGCAGGGCTCTGGAAGGGGTCCGGACCAGACTCAGGGGGTAGCAGAGACACACAGGGAACCCTCTTTCCACATAGCCAAATGAACTCTGTTTTAGCCTGATGAACTCTGTTGGCCTCACCCTGATGCCTTCCTGAGACCCTACCTGACCAAAAAGGTCTGCGTGGCCTGGTGGTGGAGGCTGCCCTAGGGGTACTCAGAGACTTTTGCTAAGTGGCTTCAGACTGTGAATCTCTACCAACCTGCTAAACACCACCCACTCCTACCTGGTGACTCACTGAGAATGAAACTCTCACACTGCCAGAGGCTCTTTCAGTAACTGCACCAATAGGCAGCTGGCAGCTGGAGGCAGATCTTGGGGATGCTGTGAGCCTTTTGCTGACCTGCCCCCAGGCTCTGCCAGACTTGGCCTGCAGCGTGGCCCCTCCCATGTGCACCCAGGCCCAGCAGAGGCAACCAAAACCTGTGGGCCACTTTGTACCTCCGAACAGGTAGCTCAGGGCCAGTCACAGCCAGGGCCTGACATGGCTATTGTGGATATTAAATAAGATAACATACTGTACAGTGCGGTATGTGTAGTGCAAAGCTATGCATCCAGTGCCTGTTAAGTTGACCTATGTGAAATTGCCCCGTTGGACTTTTTTGTCCTACATGAATGGCAATTTCATACTGTTCAATTTAATAGGAGTTATCCAGTCGTTATTAGTTATTATAACTATCAAAGATGAACAGGATTACCCTAAAGATAGTGAGATCTATGTCACTGAAAGTGGAGGACATGGCAAAGAAAATTCAGACATCAGTATTTAAATAAGAAGATGAATCTGGTGATAGCAAGTTAGTAAGGAGGCTGTTGCAATCTTTCCAGAAAATCTGAGGAACTAGCAAGAAGCAGGAAGAGTGTGAGAGACATTGGCTGACTGGGACAAGGAGGCCTGAGAAACAGCAGTGCTGGCCTGGGTGATCTGTGTGTCAAGGCCTCGGCAGGAGCTTCGGCACTGACTGTCCCCCTTCAGCAAATTTTAGTGGCGTTAAATGTGGATTTGGCCTCCGTTTCCCAGTCAGTGGCCTTTTCCCTCCTGGTGCTCCAAACCGCATGGCCTCTGGCCCCATCAGCTAGCCCTTAGACCAGCTGGAACAGCCTGGTTGGTCCCCACCCTCACTTTATGCTGTGCTGGTGCACTCCCATATTTCATTGGCTTTTACCCTTAATCTAGAGTTGACAGCAGTTCCTAATTGTCCGGCCACCTGTTGACTTAGTGACTTTATTCAGTTACCCGGGTTTCCTATTGGCTCTGTTCCAGGAGCTTGGCTATTCCGTGAAGTTCTGTTTGCTTTACCTTGGGAGTCTAACCTAAGCCAATGGGTGAGCCATGTAAAAGTGTCTTTATATGCAATTTTCAAAAGCTCTCATTCTGAAAGGGATCTGTAACTCAAAAGCAGTTAGGAACTTTGGGGAATCCTGAAAAGTCAGGTAAAATTATGCCCTAAAAACAAGCTTTGTGACCATACTAGTAGAAAAGGAACAGGTATAAGGATATACTTGGGCTTTTAGAACTGGAAGAGCTGAGTTTGACCTCTCCTGTAATTTATAAACTTTGACACTGGGCAAATTACTTAATCTCTGGTCTCAGTTTTCTCATTTGCAAATTGTGGGTAACGAGGATACTTATTTTGGAGAGTCATACTGAGCATTAGAGTCAGTGTACGGACCAAACTTGGTTGATGGACAGTTCTCAATAAAGGTAGCCATTAACAATGATAAGCCGAATTTGAGGCAGTGATGTTCAGTAAAAAGCAGAAGTAATACAAATGTATCTGTTTTCCTATTCTTTTTAAACCAAAATTTTTATTGTTCTCCTTAGAAAGTAATACATCTCTGTATTGTAGAAAATCAGGTAAATAAAAAGAATAGTTCCCACCCAGAGAAACATTTTGATATACATCCTTCTTTCCTAATCATATAAATATAATTTTTTAAACAAAACTGTGATTGTACAATATATATATTTTTGTCAAACAACATATGTAAACATCTTTACGTGCATTAAATATTTTTTGCTATGTGATTAATCGCATCATAGATTCCCATTGGGTGGCTATAGTACAGTTTATTTAACATACTTCACCTGTTAGTTATTTAGGCTGTTTCTAATCTTTTGACATTGTTAATAAACATTTGTGTTGTTAAATCTTTACACACTTGCTTGATTATATTCTGATATTCTTAATTTAAAAAAACTTATTCAAAAAGACAAAGCAATTTAACTACTAATTCTTTAAGAAGTTGTCTGGCTATTCAAAAACTGTGAGAGTTTTGTAAGTTAAAAAAATAACGGGAGAGTCAATATTGTATTGCAGAGACCGTGTTCCATTGGGAATGGCCACCTGCCCCAGCACCGAGCACATGTCCCTGAAAACAGATCCGGGTGCTGGGGCTTGTGGTCACCGTGAAACGTCAAATAATGGGTCACTTGCTGTATCTCAATATTTGTGGCAAGCGTGAATTCTGCTCTACCCCAGGTATGAGAGTCACATTTCTTTTCCAAATCAAATGTTATATGTTCCAATCCCTATCCCACAGTACTGGCAGGATATTCGATCCTAATAATCATGGTGACCGCTACCTCACCATAGGCTCAAGTGAACACCTCTTGGTCTAAGCAGGGGAAAGGCCCTTTGGCCATCAGGCCATACTGCTACCACGGATGTGCCTGTCATCCTAGCTGGTGTGGAGCCTAAAAGGCCAACCTTTCGGTTCTTTGCCTGGGATCAGCGGCTGTTGCTATGGCTCCAGCCCTCGGGGGGCAGAGAAAGGCCCAGATCCTTGCCACTAAAGGATCCTGCAAAGCCTCGGCCTTTGAAAGTCCTGGGAAGACTTTCAAAAATCTCCTCCCTCCCTGATTACATGACTCTCCATCCTTTTCTCCTCCAGGACAGTTCAGCCTAATTTCCCTCAAAGGTCCAAAGCAGGACGGGATCTCTTTTTGAGCCCAAGAATGGTAGCTTCCTGCTCTGCCACAGAGTAGCTCTGAGAGGCAAGAGATACAGAAGGGCCGGCCAAGCCCCTTCTGGGGACTGGGGCAGAGGGAGCAGAAAAAAATACCTGTAATCATTCAAAGTACTGTTTGTAAAATTTAAAAAAAGGAACAACACAAATTCCCTCAATGTTTAAATAAATGACAGCACACCGAAACAACAGAACACCACGCAGCTGCTGTAGCCAAAGACAGCTACTCCAGTATTTCCCATCCCACATGTTCTTCTTACAATTCATTTTGACACTTCACCCTTTGAGGCTTGGGGTCTATTGGCCTCCCCTTGAAACTGGACAGGCTTTTTATAACTTTCAACCAATAAAGTGCAACAGGAGTAAGGCTATGTGACTCCGGAGGCTGGATCATAAAAAGCTACACAACATCCACTTTGCTTGCAGGAATGCTGGCTCTTGAAGCCTTTAGCTGTCATGTAAGCACAGACTGCCCTGAAACTTCGTGGTATGAGGAAGCCCTAACTAGCCCATGCAGAGATGCAAGAAGCTACAGGAAATGTCCAGATGGCCCTCAGCTGCTTCATCCCCCACTCCCTCCCCAGCTGCAGCCACTGTCTCACCGTAGCTCTGTGAGACACCCCCAGACAAGCTTTCACCAGACTCCTGACCCGCAGAAAGCTTGGACAATAACAAAACGATTGTTGTTCTTAGAAGCCACTAAGTTTTGGAGTGATCTGTGACTCAGCAATATGTAGTCAGATATCTGTATACGCTGATGTGGGATAATCTTCAAAGAATATTATTAATTTTTTGAAGTGCAGAGTAGTGTATATTGTGTGTCCACTTGTTCAAAAAATATGTATATTTGTCGTCTGGTATATGCATAGATCGCTGGTTTGGCCAACCATGGGTATTCAGTAGAATCTCATGGGAGGGGAAACTCTAAAAATTAAATACATGCCTGATCCTACTCTACACCAATTCAATCATAACGTCTGGGAATAGGACCTGAACATTGTTATCTTTTAAAAGTTCTCCAAGAGATTCTGATGTGCAGCCAGAATCGAGAATTGCTGATCTAGAACAACCTGGAAGGAAGCACAGGAAACTGTCGCTGAGTCTGTTGCCACAAAGGGACCCTGAGGTAAGAATGGGGAGTGTGGGAGGGAGATTTACTTTTCGTCGTAAACTCTGATTTTAAAACTTGTTTATTCTACTTGTACATGTTACCTATTTCCAAGAACAATCAAACACCTATAGCAGTGAGAATGAATCAGAATAGCAAATTAGGAATAACCCACTCAATAATGGGAGTCAGTTTGGGGCCCACTATTCGGGGGCCTCAGAGGAAGTGACCTGTCCTTCCCGGGTCACTTCCCAGGGGGTGTCCAGAAGTGTGGAGGAGGTGAACCTTGAAGTGGCCTCTGACGTGAAATGACTTATTTGCTGGACCAAACACCCCCACTTACTATATCATTAGTTACTCTTTGGGAAGCTGCTCAAGACAGAGTAATGGCTATAGTTTGTGATGGTCACCTCGTGAACCTTAGACCAACAGGAGGACAAATGCCCAGGCTTAGGTGGGAGGGGTAAAAAGATCTGAGTTCTGGCTGGGCTACTGACCCGCTGTTATCAGGGAAGAGTAGATTATTAGCCAGCTCTCCATTAGCAGGGATTTGGTTATCTGTTTCAGCTCTTGGATTCCCACTGCAGAGAACTTCTGCATTGGTCTAGGTGAGATAGGAATGGCAGACCACAAGTGAGCTCCATGAGACACTCATGGAGATTGGGGAACCACGACACTAAATAGCAGCCTGGGATTCTGAACTGGAAGGGAGAGAGGCTCCAACCGCTGACCTAAATCTTCCTCTCTAGAACCACCCCCTTGCCAATGTCAATTGTCATTGACATATGTTCTCGGGTTTTGGCATCTGAAGACTCCCAGTTGGAAAGCCCACCTCAAAATCTACTATTTGTCAGTTGCATTACCGTGTTAAGTAATTTAATATTTTGAGCCTCAGTTTCCTCATCTGTAATGTAGAGTAAAATGTATGGGATAAGAAAAAGAAAATTGTAACTGTTATAAAATTGAGTCCATCTTTATTGGTGTCTATCCCCTGCAAACATGGGGTTGGATTCTTACACTTGACTAACACAGTGCATGACATGGCGAAGAGAGGCTTTGCAGTCAGATGTAACTGGATTAAACCCGTGCTGTTATGACTTACTAACTGTGGGACTGAGGGCGAGCCACCTAATATCTCTCAGTCCCCATTCCCTCACCTATAAAGGAAGAATAATAATATAGCACCTCCTTTTGTGAAAAGCTGCTGTGAGAATTAAATAATATAATAAATGTGAAGAGTTGGTGCATCCATAAATAAATACCTAGAAACTGGCAGCTGTTGCCAATCTGCTTGTCTTGCAGCCTAGGAACTGAAAAAGTACTTGACATCGACTGCCTTACTTGACCCTCTCCCAGACTCTGGGGACAGGTCATTGACTATCCTTTAAAGGGTGAGAACTTTGACACCCACTGAGATGAAGTGATCGTCTCCTGTCATAAGGGGTAGAATCAGGAGTAGAACCCAGATGCTTTAGTTTCCTGGAATAACTTGTGACTCTGGAAGCTCTGAATCTGGTGGGTGACAGAAACTTGAGGATCATCTCCAGATAGGACTGGGAGTTCCTTAAATGACTGTGAAGAGGTTCCCTGGAAAGGGAAGGAAAGGAAGTTAACCATTTTGCTTCCTTCACAAGTCTTCTCCCATTACTACCCAGTGGGCCTCCGAAGGCTTCATACAAGGAGAATAAACAACTTAACATGTACTCAACATCAAAATGAAGTTAAAGACATGTTTTTGAGCCCCAAATTAAGAATACCGTATCTATTTTTAAATTTTAGAAGGAGATACACTGGTGAAAATATAAAGATTCTTCAAAGAAAAAAAACCAAACCCACTCTAGTGCATTCTTGACTAAACATGGAAACAGAAGTCTGTTCTTAGCTCATTTTCAAAAGCATCGAAGTAATTCTGTAGTCTCCTGGTAAATTGTCACATCTGCCTGGAATTATTGTTAGATTCGAGTCATATCTATCTATTCATGAAAAGTTAAAAAACAAAAAGCTACCAATTAACTTTGGCCTTTGAATTTCAGTTCTCACAAAAAATAATAAAATATCAGAAAACCGACAGTTTGGGCTGATAATTCAATTGAGAAGTCATACCTCATAGGATGTGACTGGCAGGGAATGTGTCGCTGAAGATAGGGAGGGCCTTTAGGCTGAGACCTGAGACACCAGAAGACACCAAAAGCCGAAAGTCAGGCCCCTGGCAGAGGCCGGGATGGGTGGAGAGTGTTGAGGGAGGGATGCGAGGTGAGGAGGAAGGGGGTCAGGGCCTAGAGCTTTCAGCGCCTTGGAAGCATTGGGACCATTTGAGTTTTATCTACAATACACAGGTCAAGGAAAGCCACTGTGGGTTTTAAAGGAGGACTGGAAAGACATTTTGTATTCTTTACATTTTAATTTACATTTAAAGAGAGCCTCTGGCTCTTGGGCATTTCGATGGAGAATAAATCACACCCGGTTAGAAGCCTCTAATTTTCTAACTGGCCTTTTCCTTTCGGGGCCTCTATTTCCCTCAACGGTAAGGGGGAGGGCGGCAAGGAACCACATCGAAGAATCAGAGTTAATGATGATGTACGTGGCAAACGCAGAGCACTTCACAGCCCTATGCAGGGCGCTTCCGCATCGTTCTGGACACTTTTTTCCCTCGCTACACTCTTGGGATTACGGTGGACATCCCTTGAACCTCCACTTGATGATTCGCCGCCTCACTAGGAGGAGGAAGGACCTCCCGAAGAATCCGCGGGGTGTGGCCTTTTCGACCCAGGACAGCCAATCGCAAGGAGGAAAGCGGCCAACCGCGTCCAGTCCCGCCCAATCATTGGCTGGCGGCCACAGCTCACGCCCGCCGTGCTACGTGACAGCCCAGACCCCGGCTGTAGCTCAGAATTAGCTTTCCGCACACTTCCAGCGTATCTTGTCCAAGCGCCCTGTGCTCCCAACCGGCCGGGCCCCGCCTCCTCGGGGGCCGGGAGATGGGCGGGGCGGGGAGCGAGCTGGTAAAAGGAAGGTTGGCTCCAGACCAACCAGTCTCCGCCCGCGCGGTCCTGTTCTCTCATCCTCGCACGGCAGAGGACTCACGCGCGCGGGGTCTCATCGAGCGGGATAGCCCAGGTGAGAATTGGAGGGGGGGACAGTGCTGGCCTCCACGCGGTCAGCGGGCCGCTCCTAGGGTCGTCCTGGCCTCTGTTCTGGGCGTGCTGGGCGGAAACCCGGACCAACGGTCGCTGTGGGCGTCGCGGCCCTGGGGTGGTCGAGGTTATTTCCTGGGTAGGCAGAGGTGGAGGCAGGGCTAGTGTCAAAGCCCCCACTCCCCTACTTCGTCATCCCGGCCCCGCTCGTCGGGCTGAGGGCTTCCCTCCGCCCTCCAGCCCACACCACACACGGAGTGCCACCGCGCCTCGCAGATAAGAGTGTTGTCGTTGGGACCTAGATATCTGGGAGCATATATTTGAGAGCCATCTCGAACCCAGATATCTGCGAGCAGAACCCAGGAGCATGAGTTGCCACCACTACCTTCTCCCCCTGCCCCACAGTGGAGAAACTAGCCTGGACACTGAAGAGGACTTGATTATCTCGGTTTTTAAAAACCACACACCTGGTTAAGTACAAATCAGGACCTTCTTGGAGACTCAGAGACTAAGTTGAAATTCTTTCCCTGGATGGATGAAGACACTGAAAGGGCACTGGGAGGACCAGGGCCTTGCGCAAATTTACACAGCAAGCCGTTTGCAGAGCTAGATCTTACTCCCAAACTCCTATTAGACTGGCCCTTTCCTCGCACGGAGTGGGGACAGCGGTGAGTTAGAAACATTCAGGACTTAAACTCCTTTCTGGTTGCTAGACTAGTCCCCTCCCCCGCCCCACCCCACCGCCACCGGCCCTTGTCCCCAGAGCTTTTTATGTGAAGTCTGGAGCTAATGTAATATCCAATATTAGGTTAAGCAGAAGTTCTTGTTTTTGAAAATTCAGTCAATAAGAAAATGGAGAGCTAAACCTATTGGAAAGAAATGAGCACCCCCCACCCCTTTTCCTTCAGGATCCTCAAGGGGCAGAGACTAGCAGCTATAATTTATTGAGCAACAGCTGTATGTCAGGCACTGTGTTAGGTACTTCAGTTGTGTTAGCTTTACAACAACCCTGCAAGTTAGGTGATGCTATTCCCACGTTACAGGTGAGAAATCGATGTGGAGAAAATGAACTTTTTAATCCATGCCATACAGCTGTTGAACAGTACAGCTGGGATCTGTGTGACTCCACATCATTCCCAATATTTCTCCAAGTTCAGCCTTCAGCTCACTGGCTCAGAATTATCCAGGATGCAGTCTTCGATCACATCCCTAGACTTGCCTGAAAACTTGCATTTTAATAGGTCTCTGGTTTAATATCATTGTACGCAATATAATGTGCTGCCTTCTAGGGAGAAGATCTAGAAATGACACATTCAGGGCACTGCTGAGATCTAGATTAAATTTATTAGGGGCAGTTTTTGAGCATCGACATAACTTGTAGTGAACACAAACCCCCAGACAGACACTTACCAAACTGTCTAATTTCTTGACACAAACCTGGTTATTGTGTGTGTGTTTGGGGGGGGGAGGTGGAGAGAGAGGGGTAACTCCTTTTTCTTTAACACATAGCTGTTACAAACTATCATTTAATCCATTTACTCAGATTAAATGCTAAGAATAAATTACTCAAATAAATTGCTAAGAATTTATTTGGGGGTATTGATACAGTTGTGAATAAAATAGAGAAGGTTATTGCTCTCGTGGGAAAGACAATGATGGAAAAGTAGATGCTTAGTAGGAGATGATGAGAGGGTCAGGGAGAAAAATAGAGCAAAGTGAAGGAGACAGGAGTACGAGGCAGGGATGAGCTCAGGAGGGAGGCATGGTGGTGGCGGTGGTGCTCTTTGACACATACCGGGTTGAGGAAGGAACTGATTAAGGCAGCATTTGAGAAAAAAAATCCTAGCAGTCCAGTTAGGGCGCCGGCAACAGTGGATGGAGGCAAGAGCTGGCCTGGCTTGTTTGACTATTATCTGGGATACACCTTATTCTAATCAAAATGTAGCTCCAAATGTAAATTGTACATCATTGCTCCTAATAGAAAAAGAAAATGCAAATATTACCAATGCATGTGTATAGTATGAAAGATAAAAGTAACTTCATTTCTAATTCTTTTACCAAACCTGCTTCCAGCAGTTTGTCCCCATCACTAATTAAAATTAATAACTCAGAAATGACTTGGCCACAGAGCATTGCTTTGAACTATCTCCCGAGACCTCTTAGGAGTAAAATAAATTTGGGGGCCATATGGTATTTTTAGAGAGAGAGCTCGGCTTGGAAATTAGAAGATGAGGTTTGGGAACCTGGTTCTACCAGTTGAACAAGTGACTAAAGTTTGAGTTTTTCCCATATTAGACACAGGAATTCATATGTTGTTCTCAGATTTGTCGAGGAGGGCAATGGGAGGTATATATGAGATCTTTTTGAAAGCAGCAAATTACTGTGCAAGGAACTATTTAATTTTTTGATTATGATTGTACATCATTATTTTCTTCTTGAGTATTATTTTGCCTTCTGTTGTGCTTTATACTAGAATCAGTATAAGGAATCAGTATGTCATAGTGCTTGTACTGATACAAGCCTTATGGTGGGTCTCCTTGTTTCATCACGGACTTAAATGAACATTGCTAATAATTTGCGATAACAGAAAATAAGGAAGAGTTATTGTCTTCATTATATTTACTTGAAATTTCACCTGTATGTTCATTTCAACATAGATATATAGCCATTCACACCAAGTGTGAGGCATCGCATTGGTGCTCGGGTATGTGGAAATGAGAATGGCTTCGCGTCTGCCCTGAAGTGTGTACTCTAGTGTTCTACGAAAAGTTCAGCACTGAATAGTTATTTGTAACACATTGGGGAAGCACAGCCGGAGAAGTTTCAGCCCCTTGGTCCTCATTTGGACATCTCATAGAAATCTCAAACCTATGAAACCGAAAACCAAACTTTTTGTTGTCTCCTGTCTTCCTATTTCCTCCTCTATCCTTCCTTTTGTGTGGTCCACCTCAGAATCCATCTGAGATTTGTCCATTTCCTTTAAACACCAGAAGATGTAATAATAAATAATTATTTATCAAATGAATGACATAGTAAGCAATTTGTTTCAAAAACCTTCAGAGCCTATGCGCTACCTGCAGATTAAAGTCTGCTTTTCTGCACCTGCCACAAAGCCCTTCGGAATCTCCCCCAGGTAGCTCCCCTCCCACCAATCTCCCATGTGCTTTGGTACTTGAAACAAGCCATCCTAATCTCTGATTCCTTTCCTCCAACCTCAGAATTGTTGCTGTTTGTGCTTTCTTCTCCCTAATCAATTTCCCACGTTCTTATCTTTTCAACTCTGGCCTGACTTCAGAGTGCAGGTGAGATACGTTCTTCCCTTGAGGCTTTGTACAGAAAATCACAGCTCTTTGCAGATTGCTCCCGGCTCAGATGCTATGATCGTAGTCATTGGCAGCTTCGGTTTTATTCAACAGTGAGTCTGTAGCACACACACACACAATTCGAGCAAACCATTGTGTTTCAGAGGCAGACTTTACCATTCTACTCTGAAAACTGTTGTCCTCTGGAAAGGCATTTCAATTTTACAAATTGCAAAACTATTGGGTAAGATTATATGCTGTAATTATTTACCAAAAGCAGCCATTGTGTCACTTAAACATCTGCACATTTTCCGAAAGCAGTTGTCTGGCCCCATTGGGCTTACATAGCAGAGATGTCCCTCTCTTCTAGTCCAGGGCTCTGGGATGGTCAGTAATTCACATGGGAAATTGCACTGCTGCTGCTGTTTAGTCACCTGGACAAGACCGCCTTCTAGGCCGTCAAGTGCTCATTAAAGAAAAAAAGACAGATGTGTCTTTAGTGTCACCTAACCTGCCATTATACTTTAATATGTAAATCAATCTTTCGGGTATTTTATTGGTTTTTTTTTTCTCCTATTCCTAGAGGGTAACATGGAAGGTTCAAATGTTTTCCTCTTGAGTTAGCCCACTCTCAATTATTGATGATAATAGAGGGGGAAATTAGCCTTGATGATACAGTAGAATCCTGTTTTATTGAACTTCATGGAGTATATAGTTTGTATTCCAACCTTCTTAAGATAGGAGGGAGTCTGGCTGTAGACTGTATTCTAAGGGTAAACACTAATTTCTTAATTTTTATTAGCAGTTGGTGAATACTATAATTGAAAGCAGTAACAGGCTTGGGGAAGTGAGAGGATTTTTGTACAAAGGAATATTTGAAAGCTATGTCCTAAAGTAGGTATTTCCACTTGCAAATCAATATTGCTTTGCACCCGCCTTTCTCTGTATTTGAGTCGTGTATTTAGTGATCATTTTAGTTCCTATTTTGGAAAGCATAGTGTGGACACTTTTAAAGATGAACCAGAATGGAGCTTGTTCTCAAGGAGTTTAATTTGTATGGAGGGCATACCCACCATTTAGTTTAAGGTAATTTTTAATGTAGTTTCATATTGTTTGGGTTTTAAAAATACATTTGAAATGGCAATAAATATAATTTCAAGGGCAATTTTGGGGGGTAAGTGGGTAGGTAAGGAGACTATAGACAGTTTCTGGATCGAGACTGATGGCAGAATCGGGTCCACTTCTAGGGCCGTTTGTGAGTAAATGCCTATGTTTTCCAGAGCTAGAGATGGAAGAGGACTGCAGCCATGAGCTGTGGAGCAGGAGCTCAGTAAAGGTTTATGGATTATTCAGGGTAGCGGGTAAGTGGACCTAGGTTGTGTCAAGTAGCTAAATCCTAAAGTGCCAGCACTTAGAGAAAACTTGTTAGATAGGTTGTAGGAGTTAGTAGGTGCTGTGCTCAGAAGAGAGCTATTCTTGGAGTTCTGAAATCAGTACTTCATTACCTGGCTGAGTCACTTATATGTTAATATAAGTCAAATAATTTATTTCATAATTATGAAATTTATTATGAAAGTTCTTTTTCATCAAATAAATTTCATCAAATTTATTATGACAAGTTCTTTTACTTTATAATCTATGTATGTATTTAAAGTGGGCTTATACACAGAATGTAATTGGGTCTGATTGTTTTTATCCAATCTGAGAGCCTCTGTCTTTTCATTGGAATTTTTACACCATTCATATTTAATATGCTTATTCATTATATGTTTGGATTAAACTCAACCATCTTACTAGCTGTTTCCATCTAGTTTTGGTCTCTCTTTTTCTGCTTTATCTTGGGTTGATTGAGAGTTTTTTATGATTCCATTTTATCTATGCAATTATGGATAAAATAACATTTGACATTATGTATATTTTTTAAAAATTGAGTGGTTACAATATATATCTTTGATTAGAGCCTACTTTCAAATAATATTATATCACTGCACATTTAATGTAAGACATTACCATTCCCAATCCCCCCTCCCATTTTTCATGCTATTATTTTTATACATTTTATTTTGTAAGCTGTAAACAAAATGCATTCTTATTTTTGCTTTGAAAGTTATCTTTTAACCTTGGCTGGTGTAGCTCAGTGGATTGAGTGCTGGCCTGCAAACCAAAGGGTCCCCAGTTCGATTCCCAGTCAGGGCGCATACTTGGGTTGCGGACCAGGTCCCCAGTTGGGGGCGCACGAGAGGCAACCACACACTGATGTTTCCCTCTCTTTCTCCCTCCCTTCCCTGCTCTCTAAAAATAAACAAATAAAATGTTTTTTAAAAAAGAAAGTTATCTTTTAGAACAATTAAAGACTTTTAAAATTAAAAATGGATTTTATTTTCTCTTCACATGTTCCATTTTTGTTTTATATTGTGTAGACCCAAGTTTCTTCTCTTTGGTATATGTTTATATAGTGGTCCTGGTCTGCTGCCATTAAGTCCCCTTACTATTTGTTTGAGTTTCTCCTTCATTTTTTGAAAGCTATTTTTTCTGGGTATGGGATTCCGGGTTGACAGGTATAGTTCTATGATAAAGATATCTTCTGGGCTGTATGATTTCCAGTAAGAAGTTTGTTTATATTCTTATATCTGTTCCTGTGTATGTAATGTATGTTTCTTTTCTTTGGCTCTCTTTAGGATTTTATCTTTGTCTTTTGTTTTTAATAGCTTGAATACAAAATGTATGAAGTTTTATTTTATGTATTTATTTAGTTTTATTTGACCTTCTTGGTATTCTCTTGAGATTCTTGGATGTATAGTTTGCTGTCTGTCATTAATTTTGGAAGATTCTTGGCCATTTTGTCTTCAAATATTTCTTCTACCCACTTTCTGTTTTCTCCTTTTGAGATTCTAATTGTCCATATGTTAGATTGTTAATATGTACCACAGCTCTTACATGTTCTTTTACATTATCGTTATTGATTTTTGTTGTTGTTGTTGTTTTCTCTCTGTGTTCCAGTTTAGACAATTTCTATTGATATGGCTTCAATTTCATTGAATCTTTCTTCGGCTTGGTCAAGTTTACTGATGATTTCTCATTACTGTTACAGTGTTTTTTACTTTTAGCATTTCAGTTAATTCTTTCTTATATTTTCCATCACCCGGTTGCAGTTTCTGGTATTAATTTTTTATCTTTTTTCTTCCCAGAGGGCAGGGCAAAATGTGGATTTTTCTTTTTTTAGTTTTTCTTATGTTTCTTTTGCATATCTTAGGTTTATAAGAACCTTTTGGCCCAGAAATCACTAAGAGCTATTCCAGAGCAGAATGACAGGACGTGAGAAGTGCACTCGGAGTGGGCTGGCCTGATGGTGGGAAGTGAGGAGAGAGTTACACACAGGTTTCATTGAGGAATGAAGACCTACTGTGTGTATCCACCATTCTGATTGGCTTATTCAGGGTAAGTGCCCATCTAAATCTATTCATTTTTTCCTTATCTGCTAAACAAGGCCATGAAAGTAACTATTATTTACTCTAGTTTAGTGAGATGATGCTTCATCTTAAATAAAATTAATGTGGGTCACTTTTCTGTATCTTGGACATGTTGGTCATGTTTGGGTCACAGAACTTCACAAGGGCCTATTTTTCTGTCAGTTCCAAAACAGGAAACTTCCTGAGTCCTCAACATACTATATTTTATCTCTCTGGCTAGAGTCATAAATTCGTATATTCATTTATTCTTTCATTCATTCATTTTACAAGCCTGGTGCCTTAGAGTTACTAGAAGACATTCACTGATGATTACAGTGATGAACAAGATGTCCTTTCCTCCAGGGGCTGGAGAGACACCCACTTCACAATACAGAAGTGAGGTTAGCCCTACAAGGGAGGGGCAGATTGCTGTGGGATGTTTTAAAGGGTGTAATGATTCATTCGGGCTTGCAGAGCTTGGTCAGGACTTTGTGTACAAGGTTGCATTTTAACTGGGTTTTAAAAATGATTAGGATCTTGACAGGTGGAGAAAGGTGGATGGCCACTCGAAGTTATGCAAGCAGCTAACACAAATACACTGTTTTGTGAAGTATTTGATAAACAGTCTATTGCTTTGAGAGCCTGTTGCTTTTTCCTCCTCTTTTATGCTTATTATTACGATTTTTGTTGTTGTTGCTTCTTCTTTCTTTTGAGTTAACTTTACCTTCTTCCTTTCCCTATGGTTGTTAGTGGAAGGTCACAGGGCAGTAGTTCTGTAGTTTCGGGCCCAGTGATGCAGGGTCACCTGGTTACTGCCCAAGCGGAAGTGCAGGCCAACAGCATACTTCTGTTTAGAGCGTGCACATAGAATATGCAGTGAATCTGTATTTGCATGAACAGGGCAGATGTGGCTCTGTACTAGAAGAGAGGAGAACAGACCAAGACTTTCCAGAGCATATGATGGAGCACTTGCCCCATCAGCCCACCCCATGCTCTCGACATTTGTTTGCTTCACCTATCTCTTACCATCTTCCCTCTCCTCCTTCCTACTGAGCAAAGGAGTATTGTTCAAAGACCTAAATGCATTCTGCCCTAGTTTCTTTCTTTTTCCAAAAGTCTTATTTTTACTCTTTCACTTGCTTAATCTTCTTTATATTTATTTTCAACAATTAGAGAGTTACTTCAGCCTTACCTGCCCCCACCTCCAAGGCCATTTTTCTTGTTTAAGGGACTTGCAGGTAAGGCTGGAAGTTTGGGACCAGATTCTATTTTGCAGTATATCTGGGAGTGAAAAATCTGAAAATAAGACAGTTGATAGCGTGTAGAAAGAAAGAAACAGGCCACCCTGATACCTTTTCTGGAGAAAAAACTGCAGGGGGATCCAGGCGGACATGCAGAAGAATTTGTGAACAGTTTATACTCTGGGATGTCCTGTATCCAGTGAATTATTGGCTTTGACTTGGCTTTTTATGGTCTATTTTTTTTCCTGACCAAGACAAGTGAGGCTCAATTAAGGAAAAGAAGTATAAGATAACTACCCCAAACTGGACTCCTCTCAACTCTCATGAATGATAGGTAGGGCTGTCAAAATGTTGAGCACTGAGAATTATTTAATCAGTTGATTCTGTTCCTTTCTCTGGGGCAGGAGGCTAACGCAGCTGTCTCCAGAAATGTCTTCGGGGAGTGCAGAGCAACATGGCCTCACGCCCAACGACTCGGTTGAAGGAAATGACCAGTACAGCCCTCTGTCTAAGATCCATATGGAGCCTGAAAAGGAGTCAAGTACTGACTTCCAGCAATTTAAGACCACTGATCTGTGCAGACATTATTCTAGGATCCACATGGAATCTCAAGAAAAATCAAACGCCAGCTTTAAACAGTTCTTCATCAAGAAACTACAGAAGACTTGCCAGTGCAACCCAACCAAAGCAAAAGATACGATTTTTGGCTTCCTTCCTGTCTTGCGGTGGCTCCCAAAGTATGATCTGAAGAAAAACATTATAGGAGATGTGATGTCTGGCTTGATTGTGGGCATCTTATTGGTGCCCCAGTCCATTGCGTATTCCCTTTTAGCTGGCCAGGAGCCAATCTACGGCCTGTATACCTCTTTTTTTGCCAGCCTAATTTATTTTCTATTGGGGACTTCTCGTCACATCTCTGTGGGCATTTTTGGAATACTGTGCCTTATGATTGGTGAGGTAGTTGACCGAGAGCTGAACAAAGCTGGCTATGACACAGCCCATAGTGCCCCATCTTTAGGGACGATTTCAAATGGGAGCACCGCATTGGACCCGTCGTCAGATAGCATATGTGGCAGAAGCTGCTATGCAATTACAGTCGGCAGCACCGTAACTTTTATGGCTGGAGTTTATCAGGTAAGAAGCAGTGGCACGAGTGGTTGTTTCTAGCAAAAGAAATCACTATGCATGAAATCTCAGATCTGTAAGGGGTCTTAGATATCACAGTAATCAAACTAGCACTTGAATGCTCAGGATATGTGAGGGGTGGATCCAAGGTTCAAACTCTGGGTGGACTCTCTGAGTAAGATAAGGCTACTTCTATTTTCTCAACCCTGGGCTGCAGCTGCCTCTTAACCGATGAATGTTAGGCAGACTTTAATTATTTGGTTGTACAAATTTAGACCAGAAAGACTCCAGATCACCTAGCACAACTCCTTGATTTTCTATGTCAAGAAACATTGCTTTGCCTGAGGTTACGTGTGGTTGGTTATTGGCGGAGACAGCACACAGTTCAGCCAGAAAGGTAACAGGATGTGGGCGGTGCGAGGACATGTGCAGGGATTTTTCAAGCTGTAATCAGTGGTGTCCAACCTTTTGGTGTCTCTGGGCCACGCTGGAAGAAGAAGAGTTGTCTTAGGCCACACATTAAATGCACAAACACTAATGAAAACTGATAGGCAAAAAAAAAAGTTTTAAGTAAATTTACGATAGCCATCCTGGGCCACCTGAAGCCCGAGAGCCACGGGTTGGACACCTCTGCTAGATAATCACCTCCTTTTTCCTTTAGAATTTCTAAAGGTAGTAGTGTTCTTGGCCTGTTGAAGAGGGAAAACATTGAAGAATGCTATTTTATATTGTCAGCCAGGAGAAAGGATTAGAAATGAAATCCTTCTTGGGTCTCCCATAGAACCCACTAACCTGCTATTCCCATCATGCCCCTGTCTTTTAGCATGCAAGAGTCAGTAACATCATTACGTCTCCTTTACAGGCACTTGGGTCCAATAAGGAAAGGGGAAGAGTAGCTCGCTTTATCTGGTGCTTGGGTGGGGAGGAGCTAAGGTAGGGGGGTGTACAGAGTTGTTTTAAGAGCTTGAGAAGGTAGGAATCCTAAGGTCTTGTTCCATTTGGGCAAATGAGATATAGTGTGCTTAGCCCTCTGAATGTCAGCCTTGTCTCTAAAATGAGAGGTTTGATACATGATTGCATCCAGGTCTGACAGTCTGTGACGCTCTGCTTCCATGGAAAGTGTGCCTCCATGGAAAAACAGCCAGGGTAATACAGGGGTTAGAGGCTCTTTTCTACTTGTATTTAACGCTTATATTTCCTCCCTTCCAGGTAGCAATGGGCTTCTTTCAAGTGGGCTTTGTTTCTGTCTACCTCTCAGATGCCTTGTTGAGTGGATTTGTCACTGGTGCCTCCTTCACTATTCTTACGTCTCAGGCCAAGTATCTCCTTGGGCTTAGCCTTCCTCGGAGTAATGGTGTGGGCTCACTCATCACTACTTGGATACATATCTTCAGAAACATCCATAAGACCAATATCTGTGATCTCATCACCAGCCTTTTGTGCCTTTTGGTTCTTTTGCCAACCAAAGAACTCAATGAGCACTTCAAGTCCAAGCTCAAGGCACCCATTCCTACTGAACTCATTGTCGTCGTGGCAGCCACATTAGCCTCTCACTTTGGAAAACTGAATGAGAAATACAATACCAGTATTGCTGGACATATTCCCACTGGGTTCATGCCCCCCAAAGCACCGGACTGGAACTTAATTCCTAGTGTGGCTACAGATGCAATAGCTATTTCTATCATTGGTTTTGCTATCACTGTATCACTTTCTGAGATGTTTGCCAAAAAACATGGCTACACAGTCAAAGCCAACCAGGAAATGTATGCCATTGGCTTTTGCAATATCATTCCTTCCTTCTTCCAGTGCTTTACTACTAGCGCAGCTCTTGCAAAGACGTTGGTTAAAGAATCAACGGGCTGCCAGACTCAGCTTTCTGGTGTGGTGACAGCTCTGGTTCTTTTGTTGGTCCTCCTGGTAATAGCCCCTTTATTCTATTCCCTTCAGAAGAGTGTCCTTGGTGTGATCACTATTGTAAATCTCCGAGGAGCTCTACGTAAATTTAAGGATCTGCCCAAGATGTGGAGGGTTAACAGAATGGATACGGTTATCTGGTTTGTGACTATGCTGTCCTCTGCACTGATAAGTACTGAAATTGGCCTGCTTATTGGAGTTTGTTTTTCTATGTTTTGTGTCATCCTCCGGACTCAGAAGCCAAAGAGTTCATTGCTTGGCCTGGTGGAAGAGTCTGACATTTTTGAATCCATGTCTGCTTACAAAAACCTGCAGACTAAGCCAGGCATCAAGATTTTCCGCTTTGTAGCCCCTCTCTACTACATAAATAAAGAATGTTTCAAATCTGCTTTATACAAAAAAACTCTCAATCCAATCTTAGTAAAGGCAGCTCAGAAAAAGGCAGCAAAGAGAAAGACCAAAAAGGAAGCAGTGAGTCTTGGTGCAAAACAGGATGAAGTTTCAGTGCAACTTTCCCATGATCCCTTGGAACTCCACACCATAGTGATTGACTGCAGTGCAATCCAATTTCTAGACACAGCAGGAATCCATACACTGAAAGAAGTTCGCAGAGATTATGAAGCCATTGGCATCCAAGTTCTGCTGGCTCAGTGCAATCCCTCCGTGAGGGACTCCCTGGACCGGGGAGAGTACTGCCAGAAGGAAGACGAAAACCTTTTTTATAGTATACACGAAGCGATAGCTTTTGCAGAAGAATCTCAAACTCAGAAAGGAATGTGTATTCCCAATGGTCTGAGTCTAGTGATCAATTGAGTAAGTAGGTGGAAGGAAGAAGAATGTCCAGCCAGGAGCAACTCGCGTACTTGAAATTGTAACTTATTGGCTAGGCATTATTCTTCCTTCAAAGCTGATGGCCGTTGTAGATACACAAATGCAGCAGAGCTTATAGTTAGGCAGGATCAAGAAGAAACTATTGTGGCGTCAAGCTGTCTTGCAGAGAGCTGGTATTCTTGTACTTAAATATCTGTTGAATTGGACTGTGAAGTAGCCCTAAAATTTAACAACCATCCTCTCTTAGGAGATATACTTTTGGACTTTTCCTTCTCCAGAAGTGAAGGGGTAAAGTTGATGTTTACCTGAGACATGCCGGAGCCAACATGATTCAGCTCTTTGGAGAGAGTGGAAAGGAGGCAGGGAAAGGGTATGGTGCTGGCTTTTGTACCAGCAGATCAAGAGACCTCTGGAGCTCAAGGTAATAACTACACAAGTTCTTTCCTTATTTGTGCTTCTCTGTACCCAGTTATTTGCTCCCCAGACAGCAATAGGATCTCTAGCTTTTAATGGGAAAGCACTGTTCCTCACCTTAAGGCAGGGAACCACGGGCACCGGCCTGTCAGGAGCCTGATGGCTAGGCATGGTTGTGACATCCTGCCAGCCGACTTCCCATTACATAGAAGGCTCTGTCATACGTCTGATGTTTTGAGCCTTTTTGTTTATTGGAAGCAGGGAAGCAGAGAGCTCTTCCTAATCAGCAAAAATGAGGGGAATCTTCCCTGTCTTTCTGTGCTCTCTGTCTCTGTTTTTCAGTATTTCTCTTCCATTCAGCACTGTTTGCACTTTCAGTAATTTAGGGTGTTTGTCCTGGAATCTGTCCTGAACGGCTATGTCTGATTGGCAGTGACAGGCTTGCCAATAAAAGGCAGAATGCCGAGCCTGCGGTACTATACAGCATTTTAAAGGAACTGGAGGAAAACCCTTGTGGACAGATTGTAAATAGGAAATGCCCGGAAGCAGTCCCCTTCAAATGTGTGTACTTAGCAGTGATTTTTTTTGCCTTCTCATGGCATTTTAGCTAGGGCCAGTTGGGGATGGACAGTCTCAAGTAGAAGTTACTGTCCATCTCTCCTTGGCAAGAAAAATTATTGTAACCCACAGAAAAGAGTGTACAAAGCTGCCAAAGGAACATCAGTAATTAACTTGTAGATGTTTTAGTGAAGACTAAGATGCTTACTGCCATGGACTGTATTGATTTACAATGAATTTTGATGACAGTGACAGCTTTTCACTCTGGGCCACCTAAAACTAGGATGCAGGAGGATTTAGAAGCATCACATTCCTACAGCCCAATTATTTGTGATAGCCGGCCACAGGTTGTGGCTATAGGAGGAGTTGCTTTTGAAAAGCAAGAATGTCTGACATTGAAAGCTTATAGGTCTGGACCTTGATAGGTGGTGGAAAAAAAACCCCTGAGGTTTTTCAAAATTAGGACTAGCAGGCTAATTTATGTGAGGTTGAAACACTTAGCTACACCATTGAAAACAGACAAAATAATATTTACAAAAGTGCAAAATTATTTTTTAGCCTACCCCTACATTCTAAACAACTTAAATATTTATGAGAAGTAAACGCTAAGTGTTGGGCATCCGTAACCTGCAAGTGTGACTTTTCTATTGGTAGAGCTGTGCCCATCTGTTTACATGGAAAATACCTTTCCGTTGTTAAAGCACTTTCTCTGCAGAAAAGCTGGCTATCTGTCTTTGAGGTGACTGACATCATTATTAAATGTAATAGTGTCCTGAATTTTGACATCCTTTTAGAATGTAAGTCTAGAATTTCAGAAATGTTATCTCTTCTTTGTATTTTTGTTTGTTTGTTTTAAGCTAATATTCACCCATTCTATCCAGTCTTATGAATGGTAATAGTAAAATCACAGTATCTTGGTCTATCGTCTGTTTTTAATCCTTTTGCCTTCCTCTCCCAAGCCAGGTTTGAATCCACACCATTATAAATGTCCAGCAGGGGTGTCCAGCCTGCAGCCCAGGATGGCTGTGAATGTGGTCAGCACAAAATCATAAATTTACTTAAAACATTAGATTTCGTGTGTGTGTGTGTGATTACATGTCACAGTGTATTTAATGTGTGGTCCAAGACAACTCTTCTTCCAGTGTGGCTCAGAGATGCCAAAAGGCTGTACACCCTGGATGCTATGTGAGAGGAGAGTACGTGTTTACATGTTTGAGACAACTCTGTGACAAACACTGGCACAGAGGGAAAAAAAGAGTCCAGAGGGTTTGAAAAACCCTTTAGAAGAATGGAGTAACAGAATTTGACCTTTACCTAACATTTTTCTCTGTTTGTGGATATAGACAGTTCTGGAGCTTTGTGTAATTAGCTAATTCTCGAATTGTGCTCTGGTCTATATCTCTCCCATCCAAACAAACAAGAGACTCTGCTTATGGCAGCCAGTTATAAAAACAGTTAATATTTCCCTAAAATTTGCAGGGAATAGGCCATTGAAAAGACGGTCTCTGATGAAACAAGGGAGAGGACAAACGGATTCAGTTGAATGGAACCCAATCCCTGGTGAGCCCCACCCAACAGTAGGGAAGCCAGGAGTAGGAACCCCACCTTAGTTTGAGAGTGAGGTCAAAAACACTGTTTCTAGGAGGAGAGGGAGAGAGGGGCACAGATTCACCAAAGATGAAAGCTGAGGATCACGCAGCAGCCAGGGTTGGGACAAAAGCCCAGGCTGATCTACCCTGAAGCACTCGTAACTACAGTACTATGTGTGCCTCTGATGGTTGGTAAAATTGACAGACGTCTAGTTGACAATTACTTTTAAAAAATTTTAATACGGACCTTTGAAAGGATAACAAGATTTGGGTAGTCTAACTTAGCTTTTAAACAGCAGTAGACACTGAAGCCGAATTTGTTGCTAAATTTGCACTGTGGTAAATGGTGATCTTTATTGCACTCTCGGTAATTTGTCATTTAAGAACACATTGGGTGTTTGATCTTAATATGAAACTGAGAAAAAGGCTGCAGTGAATTTCTTGGGAACTTAAAATTGAGTATGGGAGTTATAATGACAAATTCAAGGTCTGTGATCCTTGTTAATTAATGTTTTGAATGAATTGTTTTCCTCTGTGTAGTGCTATAGATGAGCTATAGGTTCTTTTTGCAGTGATGCAGATAATTCCTGAAACACTTCCTGGGGACCTGTGCTGGAGTCTAGGGCTGGAGTGCCAGGTGCTGGGACTAGGATAGTAAATCCAGGAAGGCAGGTTGTATGGTAACTTTAGTGGGTGACACCCAGTGGCACTTGGAGGTATTTTATGGAGGAGCTGAGCCCGGACTGAGTTCTGAACAGGACGCAGGCAACTGAGGCAAATAAGGAGGCATGGATGCCCCTGGTATATTCAGGGAAAGATTTCACAGTGACATGACAAAAAACCAATTGATAGGATTTAGACTTTATTTAGTTTCTCTGCTCTTTAATGTTTCTCTCTTCTTCCTTCTTCTAATGGTTTCTTTATCCATTAGAGGAATGGATAGTGATGCCTTATTTGAAACTGGGCTTAAAAAACTGCAAAAGGAAATAATTGGGTCTAGAAAGCTTTTAGGCTCTGAAGTAATCTGGCTTTTTTCTTTGTATAAAGATTTTTGATAATCATGGATGTAATCATTAATATGAGTGCTAATAACATGAATGAAAATGATAATGGATCAGGCCAAAATAACACACCAGCTGATTTATCATAGCCTATTAGTAAAGTAAAATTCTATTGACATACTTTAAGTTAAAAGTATATTTTAGTTTTTAAAAAAATATAGTAGTAACTGGGGATGGAGAATTTAGATGTGGGAGTTGGGGAGATTTATTTTTATAAGGTAATTTTTATCCTGACATGGACTATTTTTAGAAGGGTTTTGCACTTCAAAGTAAACCTGTTAAATACAGTTAGAAAAGTTAAATAAGCATTATACTAAATCATGAGGTTTATTTGTTGTGTATTTTCTTTTTCTCTTAGTGATGTAAAGTGGGAAGGAGATACTTAATTTTGAAAACTTAAATAATGAAGGACACCAAATGCCTTCCTCGGAGATACCATGTGTATAAGTCTGGAACCATGCGTAAAACCTTTCTTGGACTTAGATTATGAGTCTGAAAAAGGCTGAATAATTACAATCTTATTACAAATCACCAGTGATTACATTTCTAACTGAAAGCTTTTCAGTTGGCAAACAGACGAGCAACCTAAGCCAGAAAGGATTTTTAACTGCAGGTTTAATAAATTTATTTTAAGGTTTTCTCTTCCCCCACCACCAAATTCCCCATCCCTAGAATAATAACATAATAGTTGAAGTCAAACAGCTGTTGCCTTTTAATTCAAATCAGTTGGGAAGTTATTGTTTGAATTCTAATGCTGCCATGATTTCTCAAAAATTAGTGTGACAGATCTATATAAAATGCTACCCTTTTTTGTCTCTTCTGAAATTTTATATACAAATTGAAACAATATCAGGGTAACACATGAATGAACTCAAATTCTGAGTCTTGTCTATTCACTAAAAATGTATACTGCCTTTTTTTTTTCAATTGTTCAAGACCAATGACTTTTAGGAACATGTTTTATACCACATGTAACTTTTTTAATCAAAGCAAGTGCCTTGATGCTATTCCACACAAATCATGCTTCACCCTCTGTAGGGTGAGGATGGCTTGTTGCCGATTGCAGACGGGTACAGGAGAGGGAGGGTTGGTTGTAGCAGATCCCTTTCTTCTGGAAGAACCTGTTCATGCTGCTTATTACCTAAGATCCTGTATGTGTTGAGATCTGGAGATGTTATTTCATTTGTTTGCTAATAAATTGTTATGCTGATAAAATATTCTGTGTTTAAATTATTTAACTGCAAGGGGCATTCTAACTAAGAAATACATTTAGATCACCAGTGAGCTTTAAAATACCATCTTTACCTTTGGAGAGTGATTCAGTCATTAATTTTTCCCATCTGTAACCAGAGGATCTACCCTTGTAGAAAGACAGAAAGTCTAAAGAAACCCAGTTCTTTCCTTTTTTTGCTCGTGGTCCTGAGGAGTAGGTTAACCCTTCGGGGACTCACTTTTCCCATCAGTGAAGAGGGAAGACCTAGATTGCATGGTCTTCCACTTTTCATGCTGCAAGACTTCCATTACATACTGTGTTGGAATCAGAAATCTAATGTTTTACTGCTGCCCAACCTTTTGAATTTTGTAAGTGAGTTTTGAGTCACATTCTTTTCATCAGTCTATTGAGGCTATATGGACTAAGAGCTGGGAGTGGAATTCCTAACTGGAGTACAACATTGTGAGAAATAATTGCCAGAGTGCCCCCACCATCTCCCCATACCTGCAGTGAAGCCTCTTCCCAAATGTCCTCCCCTTTCTGCATCTTAGCTTTGTGGAAGAAGTGGAAGAAGTGTGGGTACAGGGGGGAGGACAGTTTTCAGTCTTCCTTTTGTAGTACTTTCCCTCAGACTCTATGGTGTCAGAGAAGTTACAAGTGGCTGCTCCTAAGGTTCCTTCCAGTGGCTGGAATTGTCTCCCTTGTGGAGTTGTCCTCTGCCCTCTGGTGGCCAGAACATGCTACCACATTTCCATTTCAAAGAACTGGTCTCAGGTAGCAAGAATAGTTCTTTTATAGGTCTACAAATTTGGAATTACATTATCGGAGCCTATTTGTCCTTTTATATTATGATTTTCTGGAAATAGTAATAAGTGAAAGTGTTTGATATATAATAGGCAATCAATAACTCCTAGCTTCCTTTTTTTTTTTTTTTTTTTTGCTGTGAAGAACTCAATTGTTGACATTTGGTCCAAAGCATAGGAGAGGACTCTGGGATGGTTGAAAGGATGCGTAGTGGTTTCAGGGATTGGCTCAGGCAGAAGGCAGACACAGGTGGATGCAGAGGGGCCCCTCACAGGCCTCTGGGCTCCAAAGGCTCCTAGTCGTACCTGAAGGTGAACCTTTGTAAGAGATACTGAGGGTGAGCCAGCCTGCAGAGGTCAGTCAGGTGGTCACCCATCTCCTTCATGAGTTTTGCCTGCTCCTCCAGGAAGTCACAGAGGCGAGGGTCTGTATGGATGGAACCCAGGGCATGCAGATCCAAAAGGGCCTGGCTCAGGTTCTTCTCCAGGGCAATGGCAGTTTCCATGGCATCCTGAGTTGTACCCCACTCATCTGGGGAAGGCTTTGCCACATCCTGGAAGAGGGCTTGACCACCACACCGGTTTTGCATCTTCAAGAGCCACTGGGCTCCCTCTTGCTTCATCTCAGCCAACTCTTGGAAAACGTGGCCCATGCCCTCCAGAGCCCGTCTTGGCAGTGGAAATAGAAGCCCAGACAGAGGTAGGTGTGGGAGGCCTGCAGGATGAAACCTCCACCGAGGGGGAGTGATTCTGGCAAATTTGGGAGCTCGTGATTACATGGCAATAAAAAGTTCAGTTCAAAAATGATGTTTGCTGGTCTCAAGGATGGCTGAGATGGTTCCAAAGGTGGTGACTGGGAAAGAAGTTGGAGGCTGGTCAGAGGCTGGAAGAAGGGGTGTCCCTAGGTCTGTTCTGTCCAAATAACTATTGAAGCAAGAAACAAATCCAGGGGACCCTGAGGGCACTGCCAGCTTCTTTCCTTTTTAATTAAAGAGCCCTTCTTAGGTAAGACAAAGAAAACTCCCTGGAGTTTTATCTATTATCAGCCTGGGTGGTTGAAAGTGGAAGAAAGGGCTGGTAAGACAGGTCCCTATCTCTAGATGGTACTCGGTAAAATTCTAAACAGGGATGGGTAGTGATGACAATAGCGTTTATAGAACACTTAGTCTGTGTCAGGTGTACCTTTTTATTCTCATGACAGCGCAGGTGAGGTAGGTGTCTACTTCTGGAATATTGGCCTATGGAGTAGATTGGTGAACTGGTGCAAAACTAAGCTCTCAAGTGGGGTTGGAGGGATCCGAGAGGCAGGGAGAAGCCAGAGAGGGCATGAGGAAGAAAGCAGACTAAATGTGCATATCAACCTGTTTGAGTTTAAAAAACAAAGCATCAAATAACCCTAATGCCTAAAAGAAATAAGAGGTTTAGCCAATGTCAACCAGACTGCAAAAGCTCTTTTGGATATGATTCCCATCTACTGGGTTCAAATTCATATATGTTAAATGAGTCAAGAATGTGAGCTTCCTGTAATTTTTTTTACTGGATACTACTAATATAAGGCACTTAGACAAACCTTTCATACTAAAGTCTCGTGTGTTTAATTAGAGAACCCCTCAATGATGTTCAGTGGAGGGAAACAGGTTTAATTATATATTAGAATTATTCATTATCAAAGAGCAGGCTGTAATCTGGATTGCAATACTAGTCTAGGCAATGATATTCATGAAAACTTCTTGCTAATCCTTTTAAATAAAGGACAACTCTACCGTATCTCCAAGTTATTTCTTAGAATCAATGCTTCATGTACCTTAAAAAGGTGGCTTCAACACATTAGATGTTTATTAATTTACACTCAAGTGTTGATTGAAGTGCTTATTATGTGTCCAGCACAGTGCTAGGCATCATTGAGATCACACAAGACTGACTGAACCCTGCTCGCATGGAGCTTACTGTCTAGTTAAAGAGTCCCAGGACATTAATAAAAACTTTAAGTGCTGAACTCAAAAGTGAAGAATGGTATAGACAAGAAGTACTGAGGAGCTGAGGGTAAATAGGGTGGAGCAGGTAATGGAGTCTTCAAGAAAGGCTGGAAGAAAGAAGACTCAAGTGAGTTCTTGAAGAACGTGTGGGGCCTCGCGTGGCAGAAAGCAGGACTAGCGTTCAAGCCCTGGCAAGCTAGCCGACATGGGAGTGGAGTGAAGGAAGACAATGGCCTGTTGGGGCAGCACACACTCTAGAAATGCAGACTGCAGTCACTTCCAGAGGGTGCTAAAATTCAGCCAAATAATCTAGTCTTGTATTTTTTAATTTTTCATTGGTCACAAATTTATTAATAGAATTTTAAGCCTTTAATCAAATGCAGCAGATTGCCTTAAATGCTTTATTTTTTTAATTTATTGAATTTATTGGGGTGACATTGATTCACAAAATCATACAGCTTTCAAGTGTACAATTCAACAAAAGATCTGGATACTGTATTGTGCACCCATCACCCCAAGCAAGGTCTCTTTCTGCCCTCATCTGCTCACCCGCTTTGCCCACCTCCACCTACCTGACCCCTCTTTCCCTCTGGCCATCACCGCACTGTTTTCTGTGTCTATGTGTAAGCATCTGAGAACTACCACAGTCAGCTGGGCACAGGAAATGGCATGATGCCAGTAGATCTAACATTATGTGCAAAACAGATGTCAGGAAAAAGGTGAGAGAAGAAATGAGAAACTGAGTCAGTCATCCTGACACAAGATGATGAAGGCAGTTGAGGTACTGACCATGAGACAGAAACACAGGACTCAGCCAGAAGACAGTTTTCCTCTCCTAAGTGTTGCAAGTTGTAAATATACATAGTACCTTTAATTCAAATTATACTAGTTAAAAGGAAAAATAGCCAAAATAAGCTTTCGAAAACATCCATTTAAACATCTGCTGTTTTTTCTGATTGTTGTTGTTTTGTCCAATGTGGAAGCTGTATTTTCCATAATTAATCTTGCTTATACATGTTTGAACAGAAAGAATAACTAAATTGCTGTGTGTTTCTGAAACAGCCACAAAATTAACCTGAAGGGGGAAAAAACTATACTTTAACAGTAACAGGTACTGTGTATACCTTCTAAAAGATGAAACTGACACCTATCTGACTTATGGGGAATAGAAACTCATGTTACAAAGTATATTCAGAATGCCTTCTCTATAGGACAAAAGCTTTAATATAAATTTATGAATTTATAGTTTTAAATCATTTAAAATCAGCTCTGCTCTAGTGGACTTCTGTGAAGAACAAACACCAAAGGAATAAAGGTTATTTACCAGGTAATTTTAGTGAGTGAAGGCAAACACAATGTGCCCTCATCTTAATTATGTGGTCCAGCCTGGATTACAGGTATGGGAAGGAACAGTGTGAATAATCCAAATAGGGAACCATCCAAACACTCTCACACAGCTGTCTCATGCCGAACTTTCCTCTCACCTTGCCGATTAACAGGATTCTCTGAGAATATACCTGCCACCCAGATTGTATCATGCCTCTTCTTTAAGAGGTACAGGCACCTTATTCCCTGTACCTCAGCTCCCTATTCATAATAAGTCTGAAGCACCATAAGACATTTCAATAGCCTAGATGGCACCTGTTAATTCTCTGGGCACAGATGAACGTAACTCGACTGAATTCTCAGTTAACTGGCAGAGCAGTCAGAAGAGCAGCTATGAAGGTTCTAAAGTTACCAAATTAGCATGCAGAAGTTAACAGTCCTGTAGTAAGAACAGATTTTTTTTTTTTGACAGTGGTGGGGAGTATTCAGGTGGCCAACCTAAGAGGAAAGTGCTAGAATCTAGCTAGACCAGTGGTTCTGAAAGTATGGATCCTGGACCACATCAGCATCAGCATCACCTGGGAGCTTGTTAGAAATACAGATTCACGGGTCCCACCTAAAACCCACCGAATCACAAACTCTGGGGGTAGAACCCAGCAATCTGGGTTTTAGAAAGCCTTCCAAGTGATTCTGAAGTGAGCTAAAATTTGGAAACCACTGAGCTAAATTTACTAGGAAGAAGTTGGCTCCAGGCCCACAGTGTGCTCGGTTTTCCTATGGGTTATCTGGTAGTTCCCGAACTTTTCTGTACATTGGGAGTGCCTGGGAAGGTTCAAAAGCTGCTGCTTATGACCCGTTACCACAAATCACGATTTAATTGGTCTGTGAGAAGGTCTGGGCCTTGGAAAATTTTAAAAGATCCTCAAGTGGTCCTAATGTTCAGACAAGTTTGGGAGCCACTAGATAAATCGAGGGAACACACATCTTAGTCAAGTTTTATTTCCAAATTCCATTCAAAGAAGTTTCCTGAGGATTTCAGAAGACTGGAATGTCATTACAATAGTATAGCTTAAAACTTAAGTTCAATATCCTATCTAAAGAAATCTAAAGATTTATAGATTTTTATAAGCTACATCTTCCAAAATAGGATGTAGAATAATGCCTACATTATTTTGTCTGGAGGAAATCTGTAATTTTGGAATCAACAAATTTGTGTCACTGTTCTTATTAAATAGTCATCTATGTCATTTAGCTGTCCAAAAACAGCACCAGGGACGCCTACATCTAAGTTTTTACACTTGAGATGGCATTTGTGATGACTATTGGTAGCTGTGATGACTATCTGGCTGCTGTGGTAGCGATGCCCCTGCCCATATTCACTTCCAGCTTCATCAGCATTTTTGCCAGCCCCTGTGCCTAGACGACCTGTGTCAATCAGCTCCCGCAAGACAATGAGGTCATCATCTGTAATGACAAAGTCCTGGAAATTTACTTAATTTGGGACACGGGTGGCAATAACCCCCGAATGCCACAACTTTTCAATGGCAACATCTGGTTCATGGGCTGCTGCGTCTTTGTCAGAATCGGCCAAGTCCATCGGGACAATGCCTGCCTTCTGCCAGCATCACCACTGTGGACTGCGTGACTGACCACCATGCTGCAGTAATCATGTTGATGGCCTGCTTGATGTCCTTTTCCTTCACCCTCACTGCTGTTGAGCTTGAGGAAGAAGGATCTGTTTTAGAAGGTGGCTCCTGTACATCACTTTCATGGGGTGAATTATGCCAGCATTCAGTGGCTGCAGGATGGCAGCATAATTTGACTCCTTTCCAAGCACGGAAGCATGTTGTGAGCAGAGCAGTTGTCTATCAACAGGAGGATCCAGCGTTCTGCCTCCTTCATCCTGGCATCCATTTGCATCAGCCATGCATTAAACAGATCCTGTGTCATCCATGCCCACTGGTTGGCTCAATAATCACAAGGGAGGGAATGATGTTCTTATGGCAGTGTGGGTTGGCTGACCTACCATCAGTGGTCTCATTTTTTTCAGTCCCTGAAGCATTGCAACAAGAGTACCGCCAATAACTTTTTTGCTTTCTTGTCCCCTCTATAATGGTCCAGTTTAGCAGCCAGCATGTTTTGGGGAAGCACCTGGAAAAATACTCGTCTCGTCAGCATTAAAGATATCATCTGCAGTCAGCAATCGGTTTTATAATTTCCCCTGCATGCCACTCGTTAACCTTAGCTATTCCTAGACCATTCATTAATCTGCCACTATCCTCTCTACAGACTGTTTTTGAAGCAGTTCCGTGGCAATCCCTAAATCTGTTCAGCCAGCCTGCACCTGCTTGAAAATTATCATAGCCAAATATGTTGGCCAACTTTAGTGCTTTTTTTCAAGTGACAGAACCAGTCATGAGAATGTTTCTGGTATGGATTTCTTGAAACCAAACAAAAACATCCCTACTGATGTCAGAGCACATCCTCATCCTTTTCCGTTGGGGTCCCACAGACGCCTCCTCACCATTTCTTCCAATTTGGCACGATCCTTTAATATAGATAAAGCAGGAGTGATATGGAACTCTTTTGCCATATCACCTTTCCTCTTGCCCGAGTCTCCAGCTTTTACAAATTGTATTTTCTCCTCTAGGGAGAACTGCTGGCATTTCTTGTTCCCCTTGTTTGCCATATTTGCAGTATGAGGGCTGGTTTACAACTACCAGGGCAGTATCTGTCTCCTCATGGTTTGTTTTGCCACAAGTGTGGAAAACTGAGAAGACAAAAGAAATACCTATCAGGAACCTGAGATAATGAATTCCCTTTAAAATTTGGGTTTGGATTTTTAAAAATCCCATTAGGAAATGGTCATATAAGGCCAAACTCTAGAGAAGATAGGGTTCACGCTACTGACTTTTTGTAGACATTACTTACACTTCCTGAGCCTATATAGAAATAGTAACAATGTCTGCACCATCTACTATAAGAAAAGGTTGAAACAGTAGATGCTAAGACTGCTTTGCACATAGCAGTGCACTGTATAAATTCAAGGGATTATTATATGACTTGTTTCATAAATACAGACACAGAGGCCCAGGGAAGGGGCCTATCCAGGTTCATACAGCTCAGATTTCTTGACTCATGTAAGCGCTATTTCTACCACTCCACGGTCCTGCTTGAAATTCCACCAAAAGGGGATCTTCAAAGCTCTATCACCATTTGGCTGGGAAGGATGTTCACTGCAGGAAGCTGCTTCTAGTAGCCATACATTCATTTAATGAATATGTACACATGCCAAATGGTAATGACACAGTAAACAACATAGTCAAGGTCTTTGTCCTTATGAAATATATCATCTGGTGGGGGTGGGTAAACAGTAAGTAAACAGATAAACTAGAGTGTGATGTGTGCTACGAAGGAAACAAATACAATCGAGCAGTAGCGGTTTTGGTAATTGCCTACCCTAGCCCCTTTATTCTGAGAATCCTCAAAGGACAAGAGAAGCTGCCGTGACCTTATGCTCTGACTGCTTCTTCCTGAGGAATAACTTCTCCCTCCACCTCCACACATCCGTCTATACATTCATGGCATCCTCAATGTGCTAAGCATTGATGCCAGCCATACAGAGACAAATGGTGCATTTGAGGAGCTTACCAAGGAAGACAGGAAGTGCTGGGGTGTATGGAATACTGTAAGAGGTTACAAAGTACTTTGACTAGATGTAGAAGCAGGGATGATCGACTGGGAACACATGCATTGAAAGTACACTTAAAGGGGAAATGATGTTAGGCCTTAAAGTACAAATAGGAGTTCATGAGACAGAAATATGTGCAAAGGCAATGAAGTACTAGAGAAAATAAAATGGCATGGTGGGGAAAAACATGTCTTTGGACATAGAAATCATGGAAAAGCCTAGTAAGGATTCTAGCTTATTCTTGGGAAAATAAGAGCCCTTCAGAGGTTGATTTTGTTTGTTTGTTTGTTTGTTTGTTTTTGAATGACATGATCAAAGTCCTTTGGTTGCAAAGTGGAGAACCTAATGGGTAAAGTCCAGTGTCCTAAGAGGTGGCCCTAAATATAAAAATAAATGCAGGCTAGTCTAGTAGGCCACATACAGTTTGGACATGTTAATTTGAGTCAACAGGAAACTACTGAAGGATCTTAAGCAAGGAGAAAGATGACTGTTGTGTGAAGAACAGAACTGAAGGCATCAGAGAAAAAGCAACACTTGTTAGGAGGCTGTCGCAGGAATCCAGATGGGGAATAATGATGGCCTGGATGAGAGTAATAGTGGAGATGGTAAGAAGCAGTCTGTTCAGGGCTGTTTTTGCAAATCTTGCTGATGGACTGGATGTGAGGTGCAGGAGGGTAACTCTCAGATTTCTGGCCTGAGCACTATGTAATCGGGTGGCTGTTGGTGCTATTTACTGAGATGAGAATCAATGATTGAGGATCTACTGCTAAAACAATCTACATGTGGCGGGACTGGAATCCAAACCCAGTAAAGCTCACCATAAAGCCAGTGCTCTTAATACTGTAGACTGCTATATAGCTTGTTCTGGGAATTGCCAGTTTTGAGTAGAGACAGGGAAAGAGAATGAGGATCCAAATCAAAGTCTTGTAGATCAAGCTAAGAAGTCTGAATGTGTTCTAAATGAAGATTCAGGAGGGTTTTAAGCAGAGAATGAACTAATCAGACTGACAGTGCAAGATCAGTCTGTTGTGTGAACAGACTGCAGAGGGATGAGAGGGGAGGTGGGAAGAAACTGCTTCAGTTCAGGCAGGATATGACGGTGACTAGAAGGTTGGTGACAGTGGTAGCTAAAGAAGAGTAGCCATTCTGGAAATACATTTGCAAAATAGTGAGGGTCATGCGGGGACTTGTACAAATGCGGGACAATCTGTGACATCGGCGGGAAAGGACAATACAAGCCATACTGCTTCCAGAGCCTCTCCGTTCAGTTCGAATCAACCGGAAACTCACTATCATTACTGTGTGGGGGACGGTGGGAAGGGCAGGTCGATGGTAAATCACCGTGATGAGGAGGTCGCCTTGGTGCGCCACTAAGAAGAACCCCATTCTGAACGGGTAGGGACTGAGGAGGGCTGGGGTCAGGCCTTGTTCACGGTGCTGAGGCAGTTCTGGTGCTGGGGCCCCCCAGGGCCGGAGGCGGCTCTGACTGGTGAAGCGGAGCCTCAATCTTCCACGCTCGGCACAGCCCTGCCCCAGTTACCTAAACGCCCTACATCAATGACCCGGGGCGAGTGGTACGGACGTCCCACAACTGGCGTGCGCAGCTTCCCCCGGCTTCCAGAAATTCAGGCCGGAAGTAGTCCGTCGCATTAGCAGTCCCCTTCTCGACGTTGAAAGCAATTCAAAGACCCGCCCCTCAGTTGGGGCTGGGCTGTCGCGCTTGCGCGAGGAGGGTGGGGGGTTTGCACGCAGTCACGCGCCGCGGCCGCTTCCGGTGCGCCGCGAGGGCCGCCGGGACGGGTCTCCCAGGCGATTCGAGGTTACTGTTGCTGCTACTGCTGCTATTACCACTGCTGCTGCCGGTGCCGGTGCTGCTGCTGCCTAGCTAGTGCCGCGGCGACGCCCGTGTTTCAGCTGTCTTCCTCGGGCTCCCCGGGGCTTGACCCCCGGGGCCCTTGGCAGGCGTCCGTGAAGAGCCTACGGAGTGAACCTGTGCTCCCACACCCACCCTTCAAGACCTCTTATCCCGACTCTGAACAGCAGGAGCGAAAGGGGCTGTCGCGACTCCGCGCCGTGTGTCGCCGGGCGGGGCCGCGGGGCCGGGGCTCCTCCAGTCCCCGGGATGCGCGCGCGAGCCCTCGCCTCCACTTCCTTGTTGCCACTGTCACGACTGGAGCCGCCTCTCGCCGACAGCGGGGAGCGCGAGTGCGCGGGCCGGCCCGCTGGTCGAGCCCCCGGGCCCGGTGCCTCCGGGAATGTGAGCCGCGCGGCTTGCACGCTCCTTCGGGTAAGTCCCGCCCTCGAGCGCCTGGCTGTGCTGCTTAGCGACTTGCTTGCTGGGCGACCTGGAGCTGGTTGCTGTGGCTCTCTGAGCCCTGCTGCCTTCTACAAAGTAAAAGCTGTGAGCCTTAGTCTCCTCCAGCGTTTGGTACCTTAGGGACATCTGAGACCAAGGAACTAGCCCAGAGTCAAACTGTGGCCCATAGCTAAGCCGTCAAAGCTGTCAAAGCCATTTTATGAGGTTGGAAGGAGAACCTGATGGGACTGCGAAAGTGTCTTGCAAATATCAAGCGCTGCCTGCCCTTAACTCTGCTTTGCAGATGAGAAAACAGACTCAGAGCAAGTAGATTGCTCAAGGTCACAGAGCTCTGCGGGTGCTGTTAAAATGTGTAACTTAAATTAGAATCCTGATTTTCTGCCCTTCAGAGCCCTTGGTTTTAACCTTTATATTGTCCTGCCCTCTTTTTTCTTTTTTCTTTTTTTTTTTTTGGCATTGCTGTACCAAAGTCTAGGATCTGAAAACAGTCTTGGACTCAGGCTTAAAACAGGGTGGTCTCTTACTGCCCCCCAACCTCCGAGGTGGTTGTAATGAGTAAGTTTCTTAACTCGTTTTGCTCTGGGTGCTAAAACCCTATATTCCGGTTCTTACACCTGCACTCCTGAAGTTATTGCTTCTCTCTGCGACACTCTGAAGGGCTGAGAAGTCAGTTAGTAAGGGCAAAAAACCAAATTCCCCACATAGCCTTGATTTGAACTCTAGCTTTCCTTACCCAGTGAAGGCAACTGTCCTCTAACCCAGTCAAATCGTGGGTTATGTTCTCTTCCAGGGTTGCACTATGACAGTATGGAAGGGTGTGTGTGTGCCTTGTGTGTGTAGTAATGGAAAGGAAAGAACTTAGAGATGACGCAGAACTAGAAATAACTTTGGGAATAGAAAAATGTATTCTTATCCTGGACTATATCTTTAAAATCATAGATGGACTATTTTTTGCCTACGTTTTCTAGGGAAGGGTTTTTAGCTTTCACAACATTCTCAAAGGGATTCTTGCCTCCCAGAAAGCTAGGATCCAAGGATTTGAAGCCTCTTTATCTCACTTGAGGAACAACTGAAAGTTAGGATAGGAAATAGACTTGTCAGCGATGATATGGTCAGAGGTCAGACTTGAATCCGGGTCTCCTGACTCCACATGCTGTGCCATTTTCCTCATTGTACCCTGCAAGATACCTTAACGTTTGTGTAGTCAGGTTCAAGTGAGAAGTGAGTGGGCCTTGAAATACACAGAGCAGTCCTTTGTTTACTACCACAACTCCTTCTTCCCAGAATCCTGTGTTCTCTCAACACATGGACACATTTTTAGGAGCAAGAATATTATTTTCTTCTCATAAAATTCACGGGGATTCTGGGAACCTTTCTCCATCTAAGGATTGAGTCTCATGGGTAAAACTCCAGCTTAGAATGTGACCACAATTAGCTCATTCATCTGTTGAATGCTTTCCTTTTCTGAAAAGCTGTTAGATTTTGTGTTTCTTAGGGCAGTGGCCAAGAACTAAGGTTGGTCTGTCAGATACTGTTTACACCTGTGCTGTCTAAATGCCCTAGCCATATGTGGCTCTTTAAATTAGTTACAATTAAACAAAACTAATTCAATTCCTTAATCACACCAGCCATATTTCAGGTGCTCATTAGCCGTAAGTGGCTGCCGTGTTGGAGAGCACAAAGAATAGAACATTTCCGTCATCGTGAAAGTTGATGGAACTGTGCTGGATTTACAGGGTTGCTGTGGAGAGGGGGAACAGTGTACATTTCAGCCAGAGGTTATTCATCTTTCACAATAATCCTTTTTTCTTTGTATAGCACTTTACTATTCTCAAATAGAGTTCTTGTCTGTAATATCCTTGAGCCTTGCCACTATAAATCTCTGGTAAGATGGGTGAGGCATATCTTTTTTTATACATGAGAAAATTGAACCTACAGCAGCTAAAGGACCTACCCAAAGTCACACCGGTTGGCAATGTAAAGAAATTTCTTATATTTACGCACTTACTGCATGTTTGAATGAATGAATGAGTGAATTAATGAAGCATTTTGTTGAAGGTGATGAAACATGAGGGAGGGAACTTCTGACTTCTGGCCAAATGGGTTTTTTTTTTTTTTTTTTTTTTTTTTTTACCTGTTACCATATGCAATTCTTATAATATGGGATTAAAATCTTTGAGCCAGAGGATTGCTGTGAATATCCCATGAATGACTATAAGCAAAAGGGCTGAGCTGTGTCCCTACATTTGTCTGGTCAAAGGAATCACCTGGGGCACTTGTTAAGCGGGTGTAGATTTCCACACCTTCTGAAGATTCTGACTTAGAAGACCTGAGGGGGAATCCTGAAATCTGTGTGTAATAAGTACCCACCCCCTCAAGTACTTCTTAGGACCTGCAGAGTCCGGGAAATGAGTCAGCATTGCAGCCCTGGCAGAGATAAGGGTCATGTGCAGTTCCCTTCAGGGTGGGTCCTTGAAACACGTTTGTGTTTGACTGTCTTCTAGCCATGGATGCATCATATGATGGTACTGAGGTAACTGTCGTGATGGAGGAAATTGAAGAATCCTACTGTTACACCTCCCCGGGGCCACCCAAGAAGAAGAAAAAGTATAAAATACATGGAGAAAAGGCCAAGAAACCCAGGTTAGTCAGCATGCTGTGGTAACTGGCTTTCTAAGTTTCTAAGCAGTAGCTGCCCGGAGAGCCATGCTGGGAAACACTGGAAGGCTGCATCCAGACCCACTGAGAGTGCCCTGTCAGTAGAAGTCTCCAGGTGGGCATCGGAGGTGGGGGGAGGGAGATGCGGAGCGTAAGTGGGAGATTGATGTCAGCCGTTATCGTTCTTGGCCTCATCTTGGTCATGCGTCCAGGCTATCAGAGGAAATTGTCCCATGCAAATGGTCGAAGCTGTGTACAGCAGGTCCTTGAATAGCAGTGGTTTTTTCAACATCATTTCATTGTAACATTGGTGGGACTCTTATTTATATCTATTAGCCTATGGTAAAACTGGTTTCATTATACGTGTTTTGCTGCAGTTCCAAGAACCTGTCAACAATGTTAAGGACAGACTTACTGTACAAAAGAACTATGTTCTCTATTGTTACCATTGTTAGAATTTAAATATTTAAAATACAGCATTAATGAAAATGTGAAATTATAAATAGTACCAAAGATATCTATAAAGACTATCCAAATTATAGCTCTGTTCTCCCTCTTAACTGCCAGCACTTCAGATTTCTTGCTGTGATGACCAGCTCTGGGTCACTTTGATAGTTCTCCTTGCTGCCCTCTCTCAGCCTTGGTGAGGTTCTGACCAGTGAGACGACCAGAGTCTGTGTGGAGGAGCGAAGACTGCGTGCTGACCGGCTGTGTAATCATCCCCCAGATAACCTTTCTGAGGGCAGAGTGACAGGGCACTTGTGTCTGCCTTTGCTCTTGTTGGGGTTTAAAGCCAGCCATCCCTGCCGAAAGAGTGGTCCAGGGAAGTCAACCAGACAAGCCTTTGCTTCCAGGTTTCTGAAGAGAAACCTGTGATATACCATCTGGGGGTATTATTTAAATGTTTCTTTGCTCCAGTTCCTATTTAGTTAAATGCTTTGAAATGAAAAGCTGTGTTTTGTTTCTACTTCTTTACCACTCGGTCTCTAACATCGCAGTGTTTGCTGGTTAAATAAGAGAAAACTTTAAGAAGGCATTGCTTCCTCAGGTCGGCTTACCTTCTGTACTATTATGACATCTACCTGAAAGTGCAGCAGGAGCTCCCACATCTTCCTCAGTCTGAGATCAATAAGAAGATCAGCGAAAGTTGGAGGCTTCTCAGCGTGGCTGAGAGGAGTTACTATTTGGAGAAAGCCAAGCTAGAGAAAGAAGGTTTGGATCCTGTGAGTATGTTTTTTTCCAGCTGATTTTTGCATTGGTGTACTGGTGGAGGCCTTGGGGAGACCAACCCCTCTGTTCTCCTCTTTCCCTTTCTTGGGAAAACTTTGAATTGACTCATTTTTCTCTCTTTGAGTCCCATATTGCATGGTTCAATTTTGATGCTGCCCTGTATGTACTCTTTTGCCCTTGTTGGTTGCAGCAGTACGAGGAGCTGACATTTTTCTGAGTTATCTGCAGCGAGCCTTAGATTCCTTTTCTGAACTTTAGCCTATCTCGGAGCCCCTATGTTCTTGTGCATAGTTAGTATAATTTTTTTTAATATAGTAGCTTACACAGGGGTGGGCAAAAGTGGGTTTACAGTTTGTGTGGAAAAATAAATGGTACAAGAATAAATTCCGTGCTTTGGATACTTGTGGTGATGCACTTACTTTTGCTTTCACCATATAGGCACTTCTCCTGCATCACGAGTGTTCGTGTTATAAACCGAGTGTAGTGTAATTAATTTGTGTTGTGCTGACTACTGCCAGGGGTAGCGATCAGCAGCTAGGCTCTGTGTTTAGAGATACATACAGTTGCTTTGTAAAATACCGGCCACTGGTGGTTGTGAACTGTGCTAGAAGCAGACATGCAAGATTAAAGCAGAAGATGATGGAGGAGATGGGGGCTTTGAGCTCACCGATTAAAGCAGGGGTCCTCAACCCCCAGACCGGGGACCTGTACCAGTCCGTGGCCTGTTTTAGGGCCCAGGCTGCACGGCAGGAGGTAAGCAGCAGGTGAACAAGCAAAGCTTCCCTGGAGTCACTGCCTGAGCTCCATGAAAAATTACCATGAAACCGGTCCCTGGTACTGAAAAGGTTGGGGACGGCTCGCTAGATTAAAGAATCAGCGAGGAAGCGTTGGGTTTGTGTCTCTCAGCCATTTTGGATGCCCTGAGCATGATCGACACTGCTGTACTTTTTCAAACTAAAATTCCTGTGGGAAAATAATAACCCTGGTATTGCAAGCTGAAACCTTTTAATCTTGACTCCATTTTTTTTTCAATTGAAACAATTGTGCCTTAAGTTCTTTTTTTTTTTTAGATTTTATTTATTTACTTTTAGAGAGAGGTAAAGGGAGGGAGAAAGAGAGGGAAAGAAACAATGATGTGTTTTTGCCTCTCACACACCCCCAACTGGGGTCCTAACCTGCAACCCAGCCATGTGTCCTGACTGGGAATCGAACTGGCAACCTTTTGTATCACAGGCCAGTACTCAGTCCACTGAGCCACACTAGCCAGGGCTAACTCCTTTTTTGATAAGGTAGAGGAGAGGTTCCTCAGGAATGTAACTATGTTATAGCAGAACAGGCTCTATTTTTCCCTTAGTGGAGCCTGTCTGCCACTGCCATTTGGATACTTTGTCCTTACTGGCTTGGCACTCCTCTTCCAGGAACAGCTTTGTGTTACCTGCAGTCCTAGAGAGGCCGCTGTGTACTCCCTCCTCCCCGTGATTTGTTTACAGACCGTGCGCCTGGGAAGCAGTCCCTGTGCGGGGAGAGGAGGCCTGACCTGGAGTCCCAACTGTACTACTTACAGATTTTGTGTTTTGAGAAAGTTTACCTCCTTAAACTTCAATTTCTTCATTGTCAAATGGAAATAATAACAGTATCTAACTTAATAGTGTGTTTTTAAAGTCAGGAAATACTTTCTGAACTTGAGGATCCTAGGTTAGTGTTACATTCTTTTCACTCATCCCCAATATATTTAGGCCCTGGTCAGAATACGCCCTAAATGTACATTTTTTCATGAAGTCGCCTTAGCTTCATGATCCCTTCATCCTCTTTGTAAGTCTGGAAGAAACCCATAATGTTTGAATTCTTGCTGTCTTAAGTTCCGACTTGGCCTGTTGACTTGTAATTCAGGCTTTTTGGGTTTTTTTTTATTGTACATTATAAATTCTGGTATGGCAGTCTTCTGCTTCTGTAGGATCCTAAAGTATTAGAGCCAGAAAGGAACTCATAAATAGCCGGATTCAGCTCCCTCATTTTATAGTTCCAGCAGCTAGTCCGAAAAAGGGGAACGATTTGCTCTAGACTATGCCACACCTGTGGTTCCCATTCACAGTTTCAGGTGCCAAGGTCAGTGCCCTTTGCAGAGTCTAATCCATGTTATCTGTCTTCTGTGTGAATGAGTGAGGAAACTTCATTGGCTAGAGTGTGATTCAAATGAAGATGACATTGCTGTTACAGAGGGTGACCTTATTTAAGTCTTAGGTTAAGAGAGTAGAGTCTTTCTGGTCCTTTTTGCAGGAAAAAAACAAAAGCTCAGAAGTGTATATCCGTGTGGCCTGACTCCATTTATCTTTGCTCATCTCCCCTTTCCTGGCTTCCTCACCTTCAGAACTCAAAGCTCTCTACACTGACCGCTGTGGTTCCGGACATCCCCGGTTTCCGCAAGATCCTCCCCCGCTCGGATTACATCATCATCCCCAAGAGCAGCCTGCAGGAGGATCGGGGCTGCCCTCAGCTAGAGCTGTGTGTGGCCCAGAACCAGACGTCCCCTAAAGGACCGTCTCTTGTATCCAACTCTGCCCTGGAGATGGCGCCCAGCCACCCGGGTGTGGCAGAGCAGTGCCTGGCTGTGGAGGCCCTAGCGGAGGAGGTAGGAGCCCTTGCCCAGCCGGGTGCTGTGCAGGAGATCGCCACCTCGGAGATCCTCGGCCCGGATGTGCTCCTGGAAGAGGCTTCCCTGGAGGTAGGGGAGCACCACCAACCTTACCAGACAAGCCTGGTGATCGAAGAGACCTTGGTGAACGGCTCGCCGGACCTCCCCGCTGCAGGCCTCGCTGTGCCTCAGCCCCAGGTTGGGGAGAGCCTGTCAGTGGTAACAGTCATGAGGGTAAGTGGCTTTGGTACCGATGTCTCTAACTTTCTCTAGAATTACTGAAAAGGCAGCTGGCACCATGCAGTGTGATTCTGGAGCAGTGGTAATGACGAGCGCTGCTGGCGTGGCACCTCCAGTAGGGTGGTGGTCCTCTTCAACCTTTTTGCCCCTGACCTTGATCCGAAGTTGTTCTCTTTCTCAGGCACCGTCACTGGCTCCTGTGGCCCCCCCAGCACCGCTGGGGTTTTCTTCCTATGAGGTAGTATATAATGCATTATTAGCAGGCGAATAGAAATGATATTTGAGTTGTCCATGGGTTAAAGCCAGGATCCATCAGGGTATTAATATCGGTCAGGATTTTATGTTCCCCGAAGGTTGTTTTAACGAACACAGTGGCACCTTGAACGATGTAGGAGAATTTTTAAATGGTCTTCAGGGGCACAGGGCCAGTAGGAAGAAGGAAGTTCTCTCCAGGTTGATGGGACTAATAGCTGAGGAGGAAGAGGCAGTTCTCTCTCCAGAGCTTAAGTGTCATGCCCAGTGGAGGGGAAAGAGCAGTTTCAGTGATCGCACAGCCTCATCCCCTGGGAGGAAGAAGCTGCCACCCCGCCCGCTATTGCACTCGGTAGGATGGCGTCCTCGGAGAGGACCACCATGCTGTGGCCCCTCTGTCCTGTATAGGTGAGAACAGGTACCCCTGCAGAAGAATCCCTGTCGAGCCCAATTCACTGTATTGTTTGTCGCCCGAGTGCCACTTACGATGCCGAAGCACTCCTCTGGCTGGGTGAAGGCAGGCTGACACGGCACGGAGAACGTTCGGCGGGTCGGGAGGGTCGGGTCTTGCACTGGCTGCTTCATGTGATCGTAGGAACCCTACGCCTCTTAGAACCCGAGTTTTCTTCTCTGTAAAGTGAGGATAGCACATTCCCTGTGGTAATGTTTTTTTCCTGTATTATTTTTATTTTGAGATAGTTGTAGATTCATTTTTTAAAAAATAAGCACACTGTGGTTATCGGACTTGCTCTGCTCCTCCGGTGTTCGGGGCGGCCCTCGGCGTGGTTTTCCCTCCGTCTCAGAGAACTCTCTCCTCTCGCTGTGCCCGCAGGACCCTGGTGAGAGCAGCTCCTCCACGCCGGCCACACAGTTCATCATGTTGCCTCTTCCTGCCTACTCTGTTGTGGAAAACCCCACCTCTATCAAACTGGTCAGTGTGGGGGGAATGGGTGGAGATTAGGGCTTCCTAAGAATCCTCCCCCAGGTAGCTTTCTAGACACCTTAGATCTTAGGACACGGGACTGGCAGAGTGCTCAGAGCTTATGGTCCAGGCGTTCTCAACTAGGAGAGGGGTGGGTGAGTCTGTGGGTGGAGCTCCACAGCATCCCTGGGCTCCTCAGGCTACAAACTTTCTCCTTGAGAGCATCTTCCTGGAATAGGTCCCATGGATTTATCAAATTTTCTGAAGCATACATTATTTAGAAAAACTGAGTAGCCACTGATCTAATTCAGTTCTGGTATTTTACAGATTAGGAAAAAGGCCCAGAAAATATTTTACGTGAGATAATTCACAAGCACATTGTAGTTTTAGATATTTCTTCCTCTAGTACTATTAGTTTTTTGTCATATATTTTGACTCTGTTATTAAGGATATAAACATTTAGGGTTGTTATGGCTTCTAGATAGAGTGACCCCTTTCTCATGACGAAACGGCCTTCTTTATCTCTGGCAGTATTCTCTCCTACGGAACCTACTGTGTTCCATGGCCAGCTTTCTTTTAGCAGGGTGTGTCTCTCTTATCCTCCTACTTTTAACCTATTTATATCTTTGTATTCAAAGGGGTGTTTTTGTAGGTAGAATATAGTATGCATCTTAACAGTAAGACCCACCTGACAATCTCTGCCTTTTAATTTTGGTGTTAGGACATCTTTATTTAATGTAATTATTGATGTGGTCAGGTTTAAATTTGCCGCCTTAGTATTTGTCTTCCTTTTTTCCTTTTTTTAAATGTTTTCTTTTGTATTATTTTAATATTTCATGAGTTCTTTGTATCTCCTTTATTGGCTGATTAGCTGTTAACTTTGTTTTAATTATTTTTGTGGGTCTTCAAGAGCTACATTTGTAACTTATCATGGTCTATCTTCTAAAACCGCTCTATGGATAAACAGTGTATTCTTATGTAAGAAGTGGTAGTGTCTTAAAATAGGACCTGCAGACTGATTCATGGATAAACTACTCATTTCTCCTGAGCCTTCATTCTCCTGGAAATTACTATTCTTTCCTGGTCTAGTAAGTGTGAGTCAGACTCTTCTGGCAAAGTGATACTTGAGAATGAAACATCAACCTTGAACACCAGCATTTTTTTCTAAAGTCATTTTTATAAGCTGCTATTTGGGAGTACTTCCAAGTTCCTGGTAATTTATTTATAGAGCTAACCTAGCTTAAATTTTTATTCTGCTTTCTGGGAGTATTCAGAGTGACTATTCTATATAGGGCCACTGTCTGAGAAAACATAAGAGATATTTTGTATCTCATTATTACAGTCCTTCACATACCTGTAGAATCTTTTACAATTTAGTAAGTGACACATTTTCTCATTTCTTTATTTGTTCCTAAAGATATATTAATGGTATAGGAAAAACAGATGATTTTACAGAGGAGGAAACCCAGCTAAGGCGACATTTTCCCAGGTCATTCTGTGTGTCCATGGCAAAGCTGGAATCCAAGGCCAGGTCTTTTTCCCTGGTGCCACGCCACTTTACACTCCTTCTTGGCCTGTTACCACTATCATAGTCACCTTTTCCTAGGTGTCCTGAAAGGGATAGCCAGGTGGCAGCTTACTGTTTTCTCAGTAAGGGAGGTTCTTGCTTATTGGCCAGACCAGGAAGCTGGGATGAGTAGTGGAGTACACATTCATAAATGACAGAACAGATCCAGTGGGGAAATGGTTCATTTCCAGCATTAATCTAGAAATGGATCGTGGTTAATTTCTATTTGTAACTGAAATGCAGGAACCCACTATGATCTGTTCTGTTGAGAGGGAACTCAGCAGAGGTGGTAAGAGCCACTGGCTAAATATATTCATGTGCAAATACAGTTGGACCCTGGAACAGCAAGGGGACAGGGGCACCAGCCACCTGCACAGTTGAAAACCGGGGTATAACTTAAAGAAGCCTGCCTTCTGCAGACTTGGACTGCCAACAGAATCAGAATGGCAATTAAATGCTGTTGTGTCAAAGAACCTGGTTTCTTCTGGAGTTCCCTCTCATTTTCTGGTGACCATGGTCTACTTTTATATCTGTGAACTCCAGGTTCTTTGATTTTTTACTTAAACGAATGAAGGTGAAGCACATTCTTCGGAGTAGTCAGAGCCGTGGTGTGGAGCTGGGTGTGTGGAAAGAGTCTTGGACTAAGAATCAGAGATCTGGTTTCTGGGTCAGCTCTGCCACTGAGTCAGTGCACCGCGGTTTGAGGCAAAGCGTTTAACCACCCCGAACCTCAGTCGTAGTAATGCTACTTCATGGTATTGCTGAGAGCGTTAAAGGAGATGTCGTGTGAAGTGTTCAGTACTATATAGTTAATCGCTCAATTAATAGCCGCTACTGTCATCACAAGAAAAAGTTCATAATTATGTAAGATAATGCATGTTACAGACTTATGGTTACAGTTATTTTGCAACATATACAAATATTGATCATTACGTTGGACACCTGGAACTAATATAATGTTATATGTCAGTTATATCTCATTTGTAAAATAGCTATTACTATTTTTATTCTTCTGGTGCCTAACTGTAACCTTGGACAGCTGTCTTTTCTCACTTGAATTCAGTGTGTCCATTTCTGAAAAGGGCACTAAGTGTATCATAGGCCCTCACAACTCTGACCGTTTACAGCATGAACTGCCTGGCCTTCTGCGCACTAGTACCTTCCTCGCATGCAGGAAGGTGATGCAGGTCCTCAGATCTGGGGGGGTGGACGGTGGTGTTGACTCTGACCCGCTCTCTGTTTACAGACCACCACATACACCCGCCGGGGCCATGGGACGTGCACCAGCCCAGGCTGCTCCTTCACATATGTCACCAGGCACAAACCACCCAAGTGCCCTACCTGTGGTAACTTCCTAGGAGGGAAGTGGATCCCAAAGGTAAGGTCTGTTGGCCATCGCTGCTTTGGAAGTCCACAAAGCAGGTTTCCCTTAGGAATAGATATCTTTAGCCCTGACTGGTGTGGATTGAGTGTCTGACTGCGAAGCAAGGGGTCACTGGTTCGATTCCCAGTCAGGGTACATGCCTTGGTTGCAGGCCAGGTCCCCAGTAGGGGACGTGCGAGAGACAACCACACACTGATATTTCTTTCCCTCCCTCTTCCCTTCCTTTCTGAAAATAAGTAAATAAAATCTTTAAAAAACAACTTTAAAAATTAATATTTATTTTTACTTTCTGACCATATAAGTAAGTCAGTTTCATTGTAGACTGTTTTAAAAAGAATAAAATGTTATCCATAATTTTATGCCATCTAGAGAAAAGCCATTATTAACATTTTGGTCTTCTCTGAGTCTACAAGTTCTGTGTCTTGCTTTTTTCCTTTTTTTTTTTTAAGATTTTATTTATATATTTTTAGAGAGATGGGAAGGGAGGGAGGGAGGGAAACACTGATGTGTGAGAGATACACCCGCTGGTTACCTTTGCCCACAACACTGATGTGTGAGAGATACACCCGCTGGTTACCTTTGCCCACAACCCAGCATGTTCCCTGGCTGAGAATTGAATAGGCGATCTTATGGTTCACAGGCTGGTGCTCAGTGGACTGAGCCACAACCAGCCAGGGCTATATCTTGCCTTTGTCCATTTAACATATCATGCCATTACATATTCTTCAAAAACATTATCTGTAATCGCCTTATGATTTCCCATGGATGACTAAACTGTGTTAATTTACTCACTTCCTGTTAGGGTTAAATTTTTAACAGTTCATCCTTGACACTGACTGCTTTGTGATTCAAATGTATAGCTCCATCTTCTCACTCCTTAGCTCAATGTCTTTTCTGTCTCCTAGGCTCCTATTAAAAGTGGAGGTTCTGCCCTGGCTGGTATGGCTCAGTGGATTGAGTGTGGGCCTGCGAACCAAAGGATCAAGGTTCGATTCCCAGTCAGGGCACATGCCTGGGCTGCAGGCCATTTCCCAGCAGGGGACGCACGAGAGGCAACCGTACATTGATATTTCTCTCCCTTTCTCCTTCCCTTCCCCTCTAAAGATAAATAAATAAAATCTTTTTTTTAAAAAGTGGAGGTTCTTAACCTAATAATCAAGATCTTTCATAGTCTAACTTTCTAAATATATGCCTCTGTCTCTCTAAATAATTGATGCTCAGTAAATAAATGAGCACTAGAGCTGTGCCCCTGTGAAGTTCAGTCCAACACATGTATTTTGTTACCTGTTCTGTGCTTGGTACTTACTGTGTAAATCATACGTACTTACCACATTTTTTATTTTAGCCTATGAACTATGCAGGGCCAGAAAGACCAGGGATGGTATTACAGAGTAGATGGTCTTGACAGATCAGTAGAATCTGAGTAGCTAGAAAACGAAAGAGGGCATCGCTTTTGTGAAAACGACTTAGGCTGGGATCGTGTTGGTAACACGTTTCCCTCAGCATGGCCCACATTTATTCAGAGACAGAAAGTACGACAAACTCACATAGCAGTGCGCCTAATCGGTTTCTCTGTGGCAGTCTCCACAGAGCAGCTCCGTGAGAAACTGGGGTGGTGGCTTCTGCCCTCTGGCTGAGTGTCGGAGTTCAGGGCAGGACTGGCTCCAGGAGACGGAGCAGGATGACAGTTAGGAACACGATTCTTCCTCAGTTAGCTTCCTCAGTTCAGGCTCCTGCTTCCCAAGATTCTATCTAGGTGATCTTCAGTAATCTTCTGTCATTTTGTGTCTTTATTCTTGATTCAGGTTTCCTGTCCTTTGTGATGGGAAGTTAACAGCACTACTGAAATCTTTGGGGTTGTTGCCGTGTAAAGCGGATGACACATTCAGTCCTCAGTGAGGCTTCACTTCTGTCATTCTTAGCAGCAATATAATTATCGTCTCCATTGTAGCTGTTAACAGTGGTCACTTTGAGGGGCAGGAAGGATCTAGCGCTAGTGTCTCTCAGGGGATTTTGTCGAGTTTCTTGTGCCTGTCTCTGATGGGCCTCTGTGGGTCCATTCACTTCATTCCCACCCTGATTCTTCTCCCCTAAACGTACTTCCCCAGCTGCAGTGGGGAGATTCAGTGGGGTGGTAGTCAGACCCTCCCTGACCCTCCTTCACTCCTGCACAGCAGGTCTAATCTGTTGGCCTTATTTCCTGTGCTTTTCTGTGGCAGAGTCTTACTGGCCCTGTGGCCTGGACTTCTTTCAGATTATGTTTTACTTTGGCTTTCTTTTCTTTTTTGTTTGATGTCTTTTTTCCCCACCTTTGATTGAAATAACTTTTTTTAACTTTATTTTCATAAAATATTTCACATTAGAAAATCTCACAGTGGGAAAACAATTTATTACTGAAATCTTTGTATTTGTGGACATTTCAGAACACATGAAATAAATACATTTGAGGATTAAGTCTCAGTTTAGAATTGGTAACATTTTGATAGAAGGGGCCTCTTCACTACATGGAACTTCTCTACATTCAGAAGCTCTCCAGGCTCTTTTTTCCAGAATTTAAAGATTAGTAATGTGAAATATCAGCACTCACTGACTTTAAAGATTCTCACCATCAAGGACTAGTAGCAACTGAACAAAGGAGCGGGGGGGTTTCCAACAGTAAGTGCTGCCCAACTTTCTATAGTCTTTGCTTATGAATTAGTGGTTTTCCCTTTCTCTATCATCCCAGGGCAGATGGAGAAGTTTGATCAGGGATTGACAGTAGTAAAGCAAAGCACCCTTTAAGAGTTTGATAAGTTAAAATGCAAAGGCTCATATATACTGTTCAGTTACACCGTGCGTTTTGTGGGGCGCGGGAAGACAGCCTCAGTGACTCACTGGAATGTGGACATCAGTCTCACAATTGCTTGGGTACGATTCCTCTTAGACCTTTGTGTCATAGATTAAATTCCAAAACCAGGTGATTAGAAAGGGTTTATCTCACCAGTGGACTTACATGTTATTTCCTCCTGATTGTGAGGTGTGACAGAGCAATGAGGTGTACAGTTAGTTCTCAAGGTCGGCGCTTTCACAGCATGGCCATGGCTTTGCAGATGCCCACATCACAATAGCTGAAGTGATGAAGCCCAGCAAAGGTGACAGCCGAGAGCGCCAAAAGGCCTGCCTTGCAGCTTTGCAGTGCATCCATCTGAACATAGTAACAGCTTGTCCAAGGCCCTGGTGACCACGGAAAGTGAGGACTGCAGCCAGGGAGTAGTCTATCCTAGAGGAAGGATTCAAATAAGCCACTGGGCGTAGGCCCACGAACAAAACACTGACAGCCCTCTCTTACCGCTCCAGTGGAGAGACGCAGCCTCAGAACCAGATGGCGGCTGGGCAGCAGGTGAATGTGCTGTGTCCCACACCGTCCTGGTGCGGGCTGGTCCTGGGGAAATGCCGAGATTTGTGCAGGCCTGACCGCTGGGGTCCGGAGGAGGAGGCTCAGCCTCCGTGGCACCACAGAGGACACCTGGCCTCCAGATACTTGCCGTCTCACTCCTTAAGGCTCAGCGTTGTCCAGCAACCTGGGGTGATCGAAATAACTTTTGAGCCATGGTTCTCTTTGTTAAGTCAAACTCACGACATGAAAACAATATTTGTTTTAGCTACTTGTCCCCTATCATGACTTGCTAAGTCAGATTTTTTCCCCAGAGGTTTTTGCAAGAATTGCTATGTAAAGAGTAGATTCTACAATTTCTAAATCTCATAAGAACAGAGTATAAGATGAAAAAGTAACATTTTAGCATTAATGTGCTCAGAATTTTAGAGATAAAATTGATTTGTGTATCAGCTAGTTCAACTCCAAGTCTCCAGCTGAGGAAAAATAGATTCAAGGGAAGTGACTTTTTAAGTTCACTAATTACGCCAGCACCTTTTCCACTAACCCACTTTTCAAGCATTGCTAAAATTTTTTTAGTTCTGATTTTTGAAGTGAGTGTAGTTTCTAAAAGCTCCCAATGTGTTCATGCCAGCTGGAAATGACTCACCTTTTCTCGTGTTGTTCTGGAGCTCACACTGGCTAAAATTGGCCAGAGCCCGTAGCACAGTTCCCACTGAGCTGGATGAACAAAGGATGGCAGGGAAGCCTCCGTAGCTCAGGCCTCACTCCTGTAGGCTCTCTGATAGTGGCGAGTGAGGTCTCTCTGAGTGGGCACCTGGTGGTATGTGCCTTTCATCTTGAAAGAAAGGTGACATCTGAAAAAAAAGGGTAGGCTGAGTCAAGGAAATGGGAGAGCACCAGCTAGAATGTTTTGCTCTTATCACTTCAATTATCTAGTCCTCCTGCAAAGAATTTTTGTTCTAAAATAACCTCCTTAAGTGGGCAGTGTTTGGCTCAAAGATTTCATCTCAGAGGTTTAGCTTAACTTGTGTCCTGTTTTTCTGTCGAATTTTTCCTCTTTAGTAGTCAGAAGCCCTGCGTGGCTTACTTGGAATTTTTCTGTGTTTTTACTTATCCTCATGGGCTAGTGGGTGTTAGAGTCTGAGAATGCTTTATGGAGATTTTTTTAAAGGTCAGCTGTAATAGTTTTTAACTAGAGGCAGCATGCTGCGTGGGGAGCTTTGGCAAGGTGAGGGCTCTTGGTAGTCAGTGACTGGAAGATGGTAGTGAAATTTAATGACGGCCACAGATGCTAGTGGGGCAGCAGGGCTCTGCTTCGCTTGGGTCGCCCGAAAGGCTGTCTTGCTGCTGTTGACAAACACTGAGAGGCCAGCTCTTACTTACAATGGGGAGACGAGGGTTCAGAGGAAGCTCGCCTTGGGTCACTTAAGTAATTAGGGGTGAAGCTGAGCCTAGATAGAATCCAGCTTTTATGTTTATGTCTCCTAGTTCACAGTGCCTTTCACCATACACATGAAAGAGAAAACCTTTCTGAGACCTTTCCTGGAGACAGCCATTATTAAAAATGTGTTAAGGTGTGTGCATGTATATAAGTAAAGGGTCGGGCAAAAGCAGGATTACAGTGTAAGTATGTGAAAAATGACTTATTCCTGTATTATTACTTACTGATTACTGTGTTACTTTCCATGCAAACAACCGTAAACCCACTTTGCCCCACGTTGTATACACGTGTGTATATATGTGCTGATTGGATAAAAGCTAAAGCCCTAAAGGAATTGTTTAAAGTAGGTCTATCTGAGGTAGCAGCTGGTATTTTTAGTGATTTTGAGTATTTTCTGGCACATAACTAACATGTATGAGTTAAACTAACCCAGGGAGAAGTTTGCGACAAGCGTGTCAGTCAGCTTTATGACTTACCTGAAAGAATCTGGGACAAGAGGTAGACTTTTCCCCAAGAGAATTAATTAGAAGCTTGAGTATATTCCTGTGAGATCATGACCACATTGGAATGAACTGAGTCTCGTAAAGGGACCACCAAGATAAGGAATTTAGGACACCTAGGCCCAGTGTGGCAGCATGCCAGCCTTTTTCTAGACATGTGAGAGGTAGGCTTTGAACAACCAAAGGTCAAGGTAAAAAATGCCAGAGTTTATTGGCGGAAGCCTTAAGAGGAGTGCCAATAAGAAGTTGGTGAAGAGGAGAACAGCTTTACCCTAACTCAGGCGTTGAGTCCTGTCATGGAAGGGGCCTGGAGTCAGAAGACTTAGGGTCAGACCAGTTTTCTACTTGGAACTTTATGCCTCTTCCTCTCACTGGGCCTCAGCTTCCTTCTCTGTGGCCCATACATCATTGTTATGCAGATCAAATGAGAGACTGTTTGTGAATGTGTTGTCAGTTGTAAAATGCCATGTGCACACAAGGTATTCTTGTTTTTTCTAGGAAAAGCCAGCCAAAGTCAAAGTGGAATTGGCTTCTGGTGTCTCCTCCAAAGGCTGTGTGGTTAAAAGAAATCAGCAGCCTGCCATCACCGAGCAAAACTCCTCTAAGGAAAACACCTCCAAACTGACCCTGGAGAACTCGGAAGCTGTAAGCCAGCTCTTAAGTGTAGCTCCTCCAAGAGAAGTGGGTGAGGAGAACGAATGGGAAGAAGTGGTCATCTCGGATGCCCATGTTTTGGTCAAGGAATCTCCTGAGAATCCTGGCACAGCAGTCACCAAGATGTCAATGGTCAAGAGTGGTGTGCAGCCTGAGGTCTCTCTGAGGACAGCTGAGAATGACAGTCCTAGCCCAGACAACCCACCACCTGCCGAGGGGACCAGCACCTCCAGTTCACTTCCTGCTCCTAAAAAACCTACAGGGTAAACTAATGGGTTTATATATTATAGCATTCCATTTAGAATAGCGGCTTGGGAAATGTCTCGTGTGTGTTTTGTCCTGTGTGCTTAACAGCATTCCTGAGAAGCTGCCAAGCCATTAATACCTCCTGTTTTAGAGATAGAGAGACCAAGGCCTAGAAACATGGAATGGTTTACCTTACTCCCATGGTCTGCTGTCCATGACCTGCTGTTAGCGTCTTCATACGTCTCTTCCTGTAAGTCTCACTAAAGCAGTTATCATGGTCTTGCTGGAACAGGCTGGGGCCATATTATAAGCTATTGTTCAATCCTGACATTAGATTTGGAAACAGAAGCTCTACTACAGCACCTTATAGAAAGATTCCTGTTCATGGTGGTCAGAGAATTCAGTTCTGTTTGTGACTCTGTCCCTGGCTTCCATTTGACCTTGGGCATAGTCACTTCATGCCTCTTGTCTCCTCTGAAAACTCTTGAGTATTGAAAAAATTCTTATCTTCATTGGCTGACCATACAGATTGGAAAAGATTGTGTGCCTTGCAGGTAGGAGGAGGTCCATAAGTGTGAGCTAATTTTTTCCCTCTTTCAAGGCTTAACTGATTCCCCACCTAGCTCTTTCCCAGAGGCAGTTGTGGTCTTACAACTGATGGCCCATGCTTGTTTATGTCACAGTGGGGAACAATGTTGCCTTGCAGGGGACGTTGTTGCAATATTCCAAGGTATTGTGGTTGTTATAACTGGGTTGGGGTGGAGCTTACTACTGGCACCTAGTGGGCAGAGGCCAGGAATGCTGCTACATATCCTACAAAGCCCAATACAGTCCTTGGGACAAAGGATTTTCGGACTCATAATGTTAATAATGACGATGTTTAGAAATTCTGCTTTATTACTATAATTAAAATTTTTTATTGTTGAGTAGGACACCTAATTCACGTGGTTAAAACTCAGAAGGTATAAGGAATGTAGACTGAAAGAATCTCCCTTCTGCCCCTTCTTCAGTCATCCATTTCCATTTCCCAGAAGCAGTCAGCGTTCCCCACATCCTGTTTCTAGAGCTGACTTGAAGCATATTCAGATATATGTGTCTGTACCATTATGTGTGCATGTGTTTTTTAACAGTATACTTTGGTTCCGCATCCTTGGAGAATGAAGCTGTATACTTTGGACATTCCATCTGGGCAAGTGAGCCACTTCAGCACCTGTGTGCGGAGGTCCCCGTGGTGCAGGCTCCGTGCCACGTGGGGGCTGCAGATGAAAAGCAGGCTGTTCTCTTGGGCGGCTTACCCACTCTTATGTTGGAGACTGACACACTTTAAATACATGCTCTAATTGGAAGCAGATTTGATGTTAAACTACCGACATTGCTCTCTGTAGGCAGTTTTGCATTTTCTTATCTGCATAATGACCCCAGGAAGTACATATAATTACTATCCCATTTTACATATCAGGAACTGGAGGTTGCCAGAAAAGTGAAACTGCTTGCCCAGGGCCACACAGCTGCTTAAAGGTTTTAGATGGACCCCATCTCTCTAAAGCCTAACAGTCTAACCACTACATGGTCTCTCCAGTAAAGTGCCATTTGGAGATTGTACTTTTTCTTCCCCTTGGTCCTGAATTTACCCCTTATTGGTTTTGTTTGTTTGTTTGTTTGTTTGTTTGTTTGTTTTTTCCAGACTGGACCTGCTCACCCCTGGTCCCAGAGCCCCAGAGATTAAAAGCAGAGCACGGGGCAAGCCTTCATTACTGGCCGCGGCAAGACCCATGAGAGCAATCCTCCCGGCCCCAGCCAATGTGGGCCGAGGCAGCAGTGTGGGACTGCCCAGGGCCAGGCAGGCCTTTCCCCTGAGCGGTAAGGACTGGGACAGACTGGAGGAGGGGCTGGCTGATGGGGAGGGGACAGGAGTGGGGGCTTGTGAGTAGAGATGAGAAACTTGGGGAGACTGAATGCACGTAAGTTACCAGTTTGGCCCCTGGATCTCTCAGATAAGACTTCCTCTGTGAGGACCTGTGGCCTGAAGCCGAGCACGCTGAAGCAGCTGGGCCAGTCTGTCCAACAGCCGCCCCACACTGGAGAGGTGAAGGTAAGATGCCTCCCCTTCCCTGAGGAGGAGCCGTCTGCTCTAAGCACGAGTGCTCCGTGAGTGTCCCAGAGCCACAGGCAGAAAGCAGGCCCTTGTTCTTACACTTGGTGGGCCTTGGGAGGACGTTTATATGAACCCACTGTCTTTTTCTAGTTAATTAATTTTCTTACTGTTAAAAGAAATGCGCATTTTTAAACTATTTAGAAATAATTTAAGACTTAGGAAAACAGTTGCAAGAGTAAAAATTAGCAAAAACAGTGAGCACCCATGTGCTCATGTGTGTCCTCCTCATCTATGTATGTGTATGTGTATAAAATACACATAAGGCTACCCAGCCTTTTGCTTTTTAGTGCTTTTGTGTGTGTTTCCTAGGAATAGGGGAATTCTGCTGCTGAAACATTGATGCCTTTTGTATCCCAGTTCTGTCAGTTTCAGCCAGTTATGTTCTTTATAGCATTTCCCACTTCAGTATAGAGTCCAGTCTGAAATTAGCTATTGTTTAGTTGCCATGTCTCTTTAGCCTCCTTTAACAAAAAATGAATGCATTCTTGTTCCAAAAATACAGAAAATTTATTTCTGTATTTGTGTGTGTGTGTGTGTGTGTAAACCTGGCCCTCTACATACTGGTTCAGTTTAAGAATATAGTTATCTAAGATTTCCAAGATGTCAAAATTCCATGTACTCAAGCACGTTTATTCTTAGATGCTTTTTTTTTAGTTCTTTTGCCATATGTGACTGGAATGGTTACAGTCAAAATTTCCTAAATTAGCATTGTTCCCTAGACTGCTTTTTTTTTGACCAAGACCCTCAATAGGAAACACATTTTTATATCACAGCCCAGTAAACATACACATTAAAAGTTTAATGAGGCAGTCCCTTATTGTATGCAGTCACTTTGGTATTTTCCATTTCTTTTTTCAAAGTACTCCTTTCGGCCTGTTAAATTAATTTCACGACCCCTCAGTGGATTGCGGCTTGTAGTTTGGAAGCCCTTTCAGGGACCAAATTGGAACAGGAAAACTGGTCTGCACATCCCTTGCCACGTGCACTGTGGCAGGTCATTTCCTTTGATTGACAGTCCTAAATTTACACAGCAGGAGTGAACCAGCTTTCGCTCCGAAGGCTGATCTGCTGTCCACCCGGACGCTGTGTCAGCGCCAGGCGCCCGCTTCTCCGTGGGCTCCCAGCCCTCAGGCCGCGCCCCGAACTCGGGGAAACTCCGTCTTCTCCGCGGTTTCCTCCGGTTTAAAACTGGGTGTGTGTTCAGATGAGCCCTTTTGCTAGTCTGAAACCTGTTAAGTACGTGAAGTCTTGGATTTTTGTAAATCAACTTAAATTCAGTATTACAGAATACTTTTAGAATGCCGTTATCATCTTTTTAAAAATTTTGTAAGTAATATCTACATTCTGTATAGAGTGTTTGAAATTTTATAGGTAGTGGTAAAGGGGGAAACAGTTATGACCTGCCCATGCTCAGAGCACCTTAGCGAATAATCTTCAGACGTTCTGTGCCAGCAGTGTCGTTCGGCCACGTGTCTGTGTGCGTCACTGTTACGTGCCTTTTCCCCTTGACAGTCGTCATGAATCTGATTCATGGTATTTCTAATATGCAGTGTCAGGAGCTGCACGGAAAGGTGTGGCAACCTGGGGACTGGAAAGCAGCACTGACCCTTTGGTGGCTGCTGGCTGCTGACCAGCATCCCGAGGGCCTCACCTGGAGCATGGCCGTACAAATTCCCTGGGAAGCTGTTTTGTCAATCTGTTTCTGAACACAGGACCTAAGAGTCTGAGGGTCACACACACTAAATAATTTCTTCTGATCCACAGCTACCAAATGGCTCAGCCAACAAGACGTCGCAGTTGAAAGTTGTAGAGGTCAAGCCTGACGTGTTCCCTCCATATAAGTACAGCTGCACTGTCACACTGGTAAGTGCAGCCAGGTGATGTGTTGACACAGGAGCGGTTGGATTTTGTGGTCGAGGGAGAGAGGAGTCTGCGGTGGGTGGGGAGCGGTAGTTAGGAGCGAAATAGGGTCAGGAATACATCATTGATATGACGATCTCACCACTAATATAAATGATAGCTACTGGGTGTATCAGCTAGAGTCATTTTTTTCCCTAGGAGAAATCTGTAAAGCTGAGATCGGGACATTTTTACTAGAAGTAGTTGGAGAGGAGAATCTATTCCAGCTTTAGCATTCAATAGTCTTTGGACCTTTTAGCCTCAAAGGTGTGTTTCATAGACAAGTTTGGGAAATGTTGTATTTTTCCTCCCCAAAACAGAGTCACATTTAATACTAGTTTCTTAAAAGGTTTGAGAACTACTTTATTAGTAAAGCAACATACCTTGTTTAGCCTGGTGTTTCCCACCAAGGTTTTCCCTCTTCCTTCCTTTTATTTTTAACATAACACATATTAAGAGCCCAGTAACCAAATGTGTGACTCTGGGATCATCCTTTTGAAGGGCAGGCATCATGGAACAGTGGAATAAACACCAGATGTCAAAAAAAAAGCCTAGTCCAGAAGTGGATCTGGCTCTGTGACTTTGGGCAAGGCTCTTTCCTTCTCAGTTGCTCGGTGTTTATTGTCTGTAACATGCTGCATTGGTTTGGCCAAGTGAAGCCACGTCGGGTCTTCCAGCCAGATACCCTTTGACAGGTACTCTGGCTGGGTTGAGTAAGATGCATAGATTTTGAGAGAGCAGGATGATTATATTATTTTACTTTTTAAAAGATTTTCTTTTCAGAGAGAGAGGAAAGAAGGGAGAAAGAGGGAAACGTCGATATGTGACAGAATATTGATCAGTCGCCTTTCATGTGCCCCTGACTGGGGACCTGGCTTATCACCCAGGCACACGCCCTGACTGGAAATTGAACTCAGGACCTTTTGGTTCACAGGCCAGTGCTCAATCTACTGAGCCACACCAGCCAGGTAGCAGCTAGATTTTTAGAGATTCTTATCTGATAAAGGCAGTAATTCATTTTAAACATGCACATACGTGCGCGCGTGCACACACACACACACAAAGATTTATTTGAACACCTATTCTATGCCAGGCCTCATTCTGGAGATTCAAAGTGAACAGCACTGCACAGTATGGTGGGTTAGTACCCAGTCTGGCCTGGTCCTTAAGGAGAATGTGTCTCTTATCCTGAGATCTGATCAGGTTTCTTTTTTCAAAGACTGAATTACTACCTTCTGCATGCCATACATATTCTCACAACCCCCTCCCTTTGGCTGCAGAATGCTAGATGACTACCATCTGGTGGAACCTGCCCAGGACCTTCTCTTTGGCTGATCAGACGACAGCTTGTCATAGAAGAGCAAATGCCAGAGCCTTCAATTTATAGTTCAGAAGTTAAAATTTGTGTTTAGGCAGGGCTTGAAGTCTTTAGTTCACTGCATTGTTTTGGCACTCTTCATTAGAATAGGCCTGCTTCATTCCGCCAATGGTCTGACCCCTGGGAGGCATTTGAATCCCTGACCTTTGACACTTGTTTCACAGGTGTGTGTGAAGGGCTTGCCAAAATTACACAGGCTGTATTAGGATTAAAGCGGGTAACTGCAGGGAATGGGTCTTGATTCAAGGCTCTTTGGAAGTTAATCTAAATAAGGTTTTGCATTTACCGCCTTCTTTTTTGATTCACTGATAGCTGGTTCTTGGCTCTGTCCAGGTATACTTCAACTTTTGAAGAATTGAACATTGATATTACTTTTTTAGGATTTGGGCCTGGCTACCTCAAGAGGCCGGGGAAAATGCAAGAATCCATCTTGTAGCTATGTCTACACCAACCGCCATAAACCACGGATTTGTCCCAGCTGTGGTTTCAACCTTGCCAAAGACCGAACTGAGAAAACCACCAAGGTTCTTGTGAGTTCCTTCCCCAAACACACTCCTTGGCCTTGGGTCAGGTGCTGTTAGTGAACCTGTGTTAGTGGAAATAAAAGAATTTCTTAGTATATGACAGTAGGTGGAGCACCAAAACTGGAGCCAGGTTATAGTTTCTGAACCTGGTCCAGTACCTTCTTCTGTCTGCACCTCCTTGTCATCATTGCCAGGGTGAGGGGCTGACCAGATACTGTATTTTGCCATGTATAATGTGCATTTTTTTGCCCAAATTTTTGAGGGGAAAATAAGGATGCACATTATACATGGGTATAATTATGTGCCATGGGTACAGTAATGGGCATAATAATCCCATGTATAATGCGCACAAAAATATGGGAGCGAGTGCATTTTACAAGGCACAATATAGTTCTTTGATCTCTGAGACCTTTCTGGCCCAGTGAACTGAGAGTTCGTTTACTAAAGAGAATGGCAGCATACCTTAAATTGAACTCAGAAGAGATCACATCCTGCATCTCTGAGGTCTGGTAGAGGACCTGCCTATGGTATTCTGGTGAATAGAAAATGCCAACCCCAAGACCGTGATTAGATCACTACTCACATTCCTAGCGGAACTTTTGGCTAATCACAAAGCTTTTACTTCTATCTTGGCAAGCTGCATTCTGAAGTTGGACCAAACTATTTGAATAGTAGAACACATTCGGCCTGGCTCCTTTGGGCTCATTTTTATTATTAGAAACAGGAAAAATGGGCTTTTTCAGGGGTCCTCTGAATTTTCACATGTGAGGTTTTTTAAGTGAACAGACAACGACAGCATCGTGAGGCAGTGAGTGGAATGACTCGGATGAGAGTAAGGAAAGGAATGTCAGCTGATCTGCCTGCAGGGAAAGGAAGGCCCTCCATCAGGATCCGAGGTGTAGCCTGGACACTCCAGATCTAAGCTGGATCTTGGAAATGGGCAGGATTTGGAAGGAAGGGGAAGGCATGCTGTACTCAAGGACAAGCATGAACAAAAGTGTGGAGACAGGCAGTCGATGGGTGTTCACCTGGCCCGAGGAAAGCGGGTACGGGGAGGAGGAGTACAGAAAATAGGCTTGAAAGGCACATCGGGGCTGCGTCATGGAAGATCTCATGCTAGACCGGACAGTTTCTCTTCTAGTCACGGGGGTCCCACTGAATGTCCTTGAGTCAGAGAGAGGCCCGGAAGAAGGTTACATGAAGAGGGAGACTCAGGTTTGAGAGTGGATGGGCCTGAGATGTGGACAGAGCTGCCTCAGGCTTCGAGGTTTCTTTGCGTATGGGAAGGGGCCTTTCTAGAAGATGGATCTCATCTCTGGTCCCCAGGTCTGTGCCAGTCCTTGGGGTGGTATTCTGAGGTCATCATCTTGGTGAGAAAGGGAAGTGGACCAACCTAAAGTGTGTGGGCATTGACGGCTTAGTGGAAAAAACCCTGGGACTCAGAATTGAGAGACCTGGCTGGAAGTGACCCTGACCATCAGTGAAACAAGGCAGCAAGGTAGATTAGACCTGGGCATTTTATTCTCAGGGCGTGAGCCCTGACGCAGAATCAAGCTCCAAGCCACCTGTATACCCGGACATTGTATGTGAATGGGTCCATAGCTTTTATCACGTTTTGTAGTTCTACTGGGTGCCCTCTGCTGGCAGTGAGCTCTCTTCCTGAGTTGTCCATGTGGTTAATTGCCTCTCTTCACTAGCATTAACCGCACACTGTCTTGACTCCCTCTTTTTGTTCCCTGTGAGACCATAATCTCTTTTAGGGCAGATGCGTCTGTTTCCCCTGCACCTTCTAAAGCTGGAGCTTGCATACACAGTACAGTGTGTTGGTCAGTGACTATGGGATGAATTGCATTCTGTGTGGGTAGATGCTCTGAACATTCCTTTCTCTTTTTGTAGTTGTTTGTTTGCAGCATGGAAGTGGGTGTTGGTCTCTAGATCTTGGATGATGAGGTCACTTAATTTTTCAGGTCAGGCAGGAATTGTCCAGAAACCTCTTGTCAATTGATTTCAAATCCCACCCTTAATTCTATTCTTTTGTCTTGGGCTGGCTCACTGGTAGCTGACTACCCCAAGAACCCTCTTCTTTAGACATTGCCTTGCCCTCCAATCTCTTTAATTTGAGGGGAAATAAAAGGTCATCCCGGTTTTCCACAAAATAAAACACAGGCCAGAAACCCAGGGATCTTAGCGTGCATTGCTCTTCAGAGCCTCCAGGCGGCTATACATTCCCCATGCAGTTTGTCTTCGGCAGCCGTAATTAAGATTGTAACATCTTAGGGCTGGAACAGTCCTCATTCCTTTCCATCTTTCAGCTGTGGCTCAGAGCCAAAAGAGAGTATTCCTGCCAACTTATCTCACAGCCCATGGTTCAATATAGTAACGACAGGGAACACACAGCCTCCCAGAGCAACTCAATTCTAGTGTCACTCAGCTCTTCATTCTGTCTTCCAGCGGCATGTATTGAATGCCTGCTGTGGGTCAGGCTGTTGGAGATACAAAGATGAGTAGGACATGCCCCTTCCCTTGAGGAGCTTACAGTCTAGCGGTGGAGAGAAAGACAAGTCACCGAACTCTTAGAGACAGCAAGACAAGAGTTGTGATAGGATGCAGAGTTGATAGAAAGCCTCTTGTTATTAAGCATACAACTTCTACAATGCAATGTGTATGTCCAGTAACTGTGAATTGGCATCGTTCGAGTGCACCAGCCTCATGCCAGCGTCGGGACTTAGTAAATAAGCAGAGACCCTATACTCACTGTGGAGGGAGGGACAGTGGTTTACCAACTGTGAGTCAACGAATTCTACAGTAAAGGAATGGACTCCAGGAGCACAAAGAAGGGAGTAATTTGGGCTGCATTTGCACAAGGGGCCACCATTGAAAAGGGACCCACCTGAGACTCAGGACCTATTTTTAATGAGAATTTCAGAACCTTGTTCCTGGAAGCCTTTGGCTAGTATAGTATATAAAGTCCCCATTTCCTAGAATCCACAAAGCATTAAAGATAAATACTTTAATTAGTATAGGTATTTATTTATATATCAAAACCCCCATTCAATAGAGTTTTCATTGCAACCCAGGCACTATGCGAAGTTTTTTACTTAAAATATCTTGTTTGCTTTGTACAACTATTCTAGGAGATGACTAGTATTTTGATCCTCCATTTCATAGGCAAGGAAGTTGAGGCTCAGAAAGATTAAGTAAATTGCTTTGGGTCACACATGTACAGTTGTTAAGTGGCATATCTAGACCTGAAATCCAGGTCTGTTACCCTCTAAATCCCCTACCTGGTGAATGGGAGCTGACACTTGAATCCATTACTAAGAGGTGTGTATAGTCCTCTCAGTTAATTAATAGAGAAACTTAGTGCCTTAGGGAGAAAGCACCTGTCAAAGTCACAAAGTGAGTGACTTGTTGGCTGAGCTAGTTAGGAACCTAGGTTTCCTACCTCTCAGGCCCATCCCTCTGTGACTCACAGCCTCTCATGGTACACCCCGAGGTGGCTTTTCATGTCCTGGGTGCTAGGTCATCCATCCATCCACTCTCTTTCCAGGAGGCAAGCTCACCACTCCCAGATGGGCTGAGTGTCACAGAACCGCTGAGCGTGGCCCAGAGGGAGATCCAGCGCCAGTCCACGTTGCAGCTGCTACGAAAAGTCCTGCAGATTCCTGAGAATGAGTCTGAGCTGGCCGAGGTCTTCGCCCTGATTCACGAACTCAACAGCTCTCGACTCATCCTGTCCAACGTGAGTGAGGAGACAGTCACCATCGAGCAGACCTCTTGGTCGAATTATTATGAGTCTCCGTCCACACAGTGCCTTCTCTGTAGCAGCCCATTATTTAAAGGGGGACAAAAGTAAGCAGCCCTTTCTCATTGTTTGCCCCTAACTGCCCCTTCTCACTTGACCCATACTGCCCCTTTCTTCAAACACCTTTCAAGCTGTAACTTTTCAAGATGTTATTCTCTGCTTTTCTTAGGTTTTCTTTACTTTTCCAATTGCTAATTAATCATAATAATTAGTAATCATCTATTATTTCCAGTGAAAATGCCTCAAAATTATGTTACCACTTAAAGATTTAGTTTATATCTGGACTGCCCGGCATTATGAGCAATTTGGGAGTTCAGTTCAGTGGGATTGGTTAAGTAGGTAACAAATTGAGAGTTGTTAAATGTGGGAATGGTTCCCCAAAGCAGGTCCAACAAAGTGGGAACCTAGAAAATTTGGGGCACAAGTTCCAGCACCTTCATCGTCCTACTGTGGTAAAGTCTTAGGAATTTTGCTATTCATCACTGTGCCCTGGAGGTTGATTAAGTATTGAGAGGTTGATATCCCTTCTGTTTTTGTTGCTGATGTTTTGGGTACTAGCTCCCTGGCTGGGCCCCAGGAGTGCTGGCTGCTGACAGCCAACCGGCTGCAGGTGGTGACTGCCCAGGTGAAGATGTGTCTGAATCCCCATTGTCTGGCCCTGCATAGCTTCATGGACATCTACACAGGTGGGTGCCGGCCCTTCTTCTCTCAGCGAGCCCCCAGAGCAGGGTCGAGAACAGCCTCTGTGGGTCAGACCTCTGGGCCTGTGAGCACTGGACCGTCTTTCAGATGCGGCTTCTGAGGGAGAGAGGTTTTTCCTCCTGGATGTCTCAGCCCCGGGCACTCAAGTGTGGAGGTTATCCGGGGTCTTTAAACAAAGTTACTTTTTAAAATTTATTTTTCTTTTTAATCCTTACCTGAGGACATTCTTGTTGATTAGAGAAGAGGGGAAGGGAGGGAGAGAGACATCAGTGTGAGAGAGAAACATTGATCCGTTCCCTCTCGTAATGCACCCCAACGAGAGACCGAATTCACAGCCTAGGCCTGTGCCCTGACCGGGAGTCAAACTCGTGACCTTTGGTTTACAGGACAGCAATCCAACTGAGCCACACCAGGCCCTGGCTAAACAGAGTTACTTTTAAAATACCATCTTGATTGTAGAAAAACCGGAAAATGCTGACAAGTAGAAAGAGAAAACTGAAAGTCAGTAGTAATCCCGCCCTGAGATAAACATGTAATGTTGTGTCCTCTAATCCCAGGCGGGTTGTTTATCACTATAGAATATAAGAAAGTGTGGAGGGAGATCCAGGTTTATAGCTTTTCTTTCAACAAAAATGGGGTTATGCTGCAGGTTGTTTTGGAATGTGCATTTTGAAATTTAGCAGTGTATCTCGGGCATCTTCCTATGCCAGCAAGTGGAGAGAAATACACGACCAGCTTTAAGAAGTAAGTGGCACTCCATTTTAGAGTCTTCTTTATAATCAGATCTTTGTGTACAGCCTTAATTATTTATTTCCTTTGGACAAATGCTCAGAAGCATTTGCTGTGTATTGCTGCACATTCACCCACTTCCCGTCCATTCGTCAGTGTCAAACATTTATTGAATATTCACCATGTACCGTCCTTTGTGAGAATTTGAATCGTGAGTTTTATGTGTAGAATTGGGTGCTGAAGGTTAAAGAGTGTATGGTGCCCTATTCTGAACTCATGCTCTCAGCGTCTCGTGTTGCCAGACTGAGTTTGTACTGCTTTAGGCTCTTGCCGACAGGCAGTGGAATGCCGTTGCCCTGCATTCCGTCCAGGCTGGTAGTACCTTAGGGTTTTTATATATAACATATATTTTTTTAACTTCATTTTTAAATTCACACAGAGTCACATTTGCTTTGTCGTTGCATGGTAATGAGTCCCGGCAGAGGCACTGAAGCGTGTGCCACCACCACAGTTAGTGTCTAGAGCAGTTGCATCATCCCAAAACTGCCTCTTTTTGATCACGCCCACCCTTGACCCCAACCTCTAGCCACCAGTGTATCTGCTCTTCATTTCTATAGTTTTCTTTCCAGAATATCACAAATCCAGTCATAGCATTTTTAAGTCTGGTTTCTAGCCATAATTAATGCCTTACAAAGTCACTCATATTTTTTAGTATATCAATAATTTTTTCCTTTTTATCATTGAGTACTTTTGCATTGAATGGGGTACCACAATTTGTTTATCTTTCATTCATTGAAGCTGAAGGATGTTTGGATTGTTACCAGTTTTTGGAAGTTATGAATAAAGCTGCAGTAAGCATTCATGTGCAAGCTTTTCTGTGAACATAAATTTTCATTTCTTTTTGTTGAGTACCTAGGAGTCACATTATTGCTGGACTATATTGGTAAGCGTATGTTTAATTTTATAAGAACTTGCCAAACCGTTTACCTAAGTATCTGTACCATTTCGCATTCCCTCCCACAATGGCTGAGAGTTCTGGTTTGCACCACTGGCTAGCACTTGGTATGTTCTGTTTTTCCTTTTTGTATTTTAGCCATTCTAATAAGTAGGTGAGTGGTATCTCATTGTGGTTTTAATTTGTATTTCTTTGATGACTTAAGATGGTGAGCATATTTTCTTGGGGTTCACCATCTGTCTGTCTTCGGTGAAGTATCTGTTCAGTCTTTAGCCCATTGAGGCTGGTTGTTTTCTCACTGTTGAGTTTTGGAAGTTCTTTGTGTATTCTGGATACAAGTCCTTTGTCAGATAAGTGATTTGCAGATATTTTCTTAGGGTCTGTGGTTTGTCTTTTCAGTGTGTTAACAGAATCTTTCACAGAACACACATTCTTAATCATGATAAAGACTAGTTTGTCGGTTTTCTTTTTTTAATTTCATCACTTTTTCCTTTAAGGAATGTGCTTTGGTGCTCTAAGATCTTTACCTGGGTAGCCCAAGTCATTAATATTTTCTTAGGTTTTCTTCTAAAAGTTTTATAATTTTAAGGTTTACATTTAGATCTGTGAATTAATTTTTATATAAAGTGTGAGGCTCAGGTCAAGTTCATTTTTTGTTTTTGCCTGTTGACCTCTAATTGTTGTACTGTCATTTTGAAAAGTAGTTCTTTCTTCAGTGAACTGCCTCCATTTCTTTTGAAGTCAGTACATCACACGTGTGGGTCTGTTTCTGCCTTCTGTTCCGTTCCACGTGTTCCTGTTGTCTGTTCTTTTGTCAGTGTCACACTGTCTTGTTCACCGCACCTTTATGGCGGGTCTTACAGTTAGGTAGCAGTGAGTCTTCCACCCTCACATTTGCATGAATTGTTTCCTGAATTGTTTTGTCTCTATTCGTTCCTTTGCATGTCAGTATAAATTTTAAGAATCAGCTCATCACTGTCTGCACAATCCTGCTGTAATTGCATTAAATCTGTAGATCAGTTTTGGGAAGTTTGACCTGCTTAAAAATACCAAGTTGTCCTGTCAAGGAACATGGTTTGTCTTTTCATTTTATTAGGTTTTCTTTTATTTCTTTCATCAGTATTTTATGCTTTTCAGCATGTAGGTCTTGTGCATATTTTGTTATATTCATGCCTAAATATTTTTGTAGATTAGTACTATAAGTTTTTAAACCTTATCAATTTGATAGGTAATAATAACTGGTATATCATTTCTTAATTTTTGTATTTCTTTGATTACTAAGAGATTGACTATCTTTTGTGTGTTTTTTCTACTTCATGAATTAATCTTATGAATACTTCTATTCTTCTTTGGGGTTATTTTGTTGACAGAGTTCTTCCCCAGTTTATTAGTTGTGCTTTAAATTTGTGATTTTTGGGGGGGTGGGACACAAAGGGAGGGGTTTTGCTTTTCATTTAATTTTTATGTACCATATTTTGCTGTGTTTTATGCGCTCCCATGTATAATGCACATCCATGTTTTTGGCCAAAATTCCAGAAAAAACATCTTTCGTTTTAATTTTTTAATTCAATTTTTTATTGAATTAAAAGTTCAACAAAACTGATTATTGTGCTGTCCAGGGTATTATTTTGAATATGGATATCATTATTGCTTTTAGCACATAAAAGCAATAAACTTTTAGCACATAAGCATAAGTAAAAATGAAAGACATGTGTGTGTATATGAGAGTAGTACCACCCATGTATAATGCACATGCTTATTTTTCCCTCAAAAATTTGGGTAAAAAAGTGTGCATTATACACAGCAAAATACAGTAAATCATTTTGATCTTCTCCTTTACGGCTTCAGAATGTATCATACTTAGAAAGGTTTTACCTCTCCCTTATAGCCTCTTTTAATGGGAACACATATCCCATAATATGCTTTTGTGCAAATTAGTGCATTATTTGTCCTAAACTGACTACATTTAAATTTCTCTGAGTCCTTTTTCCCAAAATTTGGTAGAGGGGGGATTTTATGGCCATTGTCCCATTTCTTACGCATTCCTGGGCTAAAGGGTACTCCTGGTCTTTCCTTACAGTACAACTGTGAGTGGTCATGAGGACTGAGCTGGGTGCTGGGAGACAGTTCCTTTTTTATATTAAAAAAATTATGCCCTGGCTGGCATGGCTCAGTGGTTTGAGTGCTGGCCTGAGAGACAAAGGGTCACCATCCAAATGGTGATGGTCAGGATTCCTGGTCAGGGCACACGTGTGGGTTGGGAGCCAGACATGTAGGGGGCACTTGAGAGGCAACCAACCACACATTGATGTTTCTCTCTCTTTCTCCCTCTTTTTCCTCTCTCTAAAAATAAATAAATAAAATGTTTCCAAAAATTCTATACATATTTTATTATTTGCTCTTTTCATTTAATAATGTACTATGAACAAGTCCACGCCAGAGCATGTCGGTCTACCTTATTTTTTGTAGTGATGCATAGCTTGCTATTTTATGAATGCACCATAATTTATTTAACTGTTCCTCTATTGAGCATTTACTTTGTTCCCAATTTTTGCCATTGTATATGATGTTATAGTGAATTTCCCTTTTGCCTCTTCTTAACCTGCAGGTCTCTTTAATGTGGGGAACAAGCTGCTCGTGAGCCTGGACTTGCTTTTTGCAATCCGAAACCAGATCAAGCTGGGAGAGGACCCTAGAGTGTCCGTCAGCGTTGTTCTGAAGTCGGTGCAGGAGCAGACAGGTACAGGCCGGCTCCCTCCCTTTCCAAGGGTAGTCCTAAGCTCCCTGGAAATTTTCAGCAACAGGCTTTGTTTAAAAGAGTCGTCTTCGGGGGGAACATTCAATATTTTGAAAAGGAGAAATTCTTTGTCCCCAAACACACTTCTCTTCTTGAATTTTACAAGTGCCACACTAACTTTGGAAGGCGTTAGTCTGTCCACACATCCAGAGACCCTCAGGAGGAGGTTAAACTGACTTTTAGAAGCTCGTCCTTTGGCTGTAGGCGGACTCGGCTTTGCTGCATGTTATCAGACTCATTTCGACTCATATGCAGCTTCCAGAGGTTGGCTATGCGTTCCAAGGCTCACGCTGAGGAAACCAGCCTCCTTATCGTTAGAAGTTGTTTTGCCCTTGCTCTCCTTACTTACTTCTGTTTGTGCTTTTTCCATCCCATTCTTACAGACTCCAGTCCCCCTGCACCTTCCCTGCTATGAGGTTGGATGGACTAGAGCAGAAGTTCCAGAGTCAGACCACCCTGTGCTTGAGTCTTGGCTCTGCCACTGAGTGGAGAGTGATTTTGAGCAAGTTATTCTCTGTGCCTCAGTTTCCCCAGTTATAAATTGAGGAAAATGATAGCTTATGGTTCATAAAGACATGAGTTAAATGAGGTAATTTGAAGCTCTTGACACAGCATCTGGTGCCTAGTAGGTACTTAGTACAGGCAGGTATAACTCTGATTAGAATTGTCCTCTGGGTTGCCACCCCAGCACGTGAAGGCCAGGGTGCTTGACCCTGGAGTGGTTTGTAGTCTTGGGTGTTCTTAGGAGAGAAGTCATGTCGCAGAATCGCCGTTCTTGCTGGCCAATGGCTTATCCCCAGTGGCCTCAGAGTCTTAATCTATGACTGGCTCAGAGCTCTTGCTCTTCTTCCAGAGAAGTCATTGACCTCAGAGGAGCTGAGCCAGCTGCAGGAGCTGCTCTGCAATGGCTATTGGGCTTTTGAGTGCCTCACTGTCCGAGACTACAATGACATGATCTGTGGCATCTGCGGCGTGGCCCCCAAAGTGGAAATAGCCCAGAGGAATGAAGAAAACGTGCTGGCATTGAAGAGTGTGGAGGTAAGTGCCCCTTAGTCACCATGGGCAGCCTTTAGAACTGTCCACGCATTTCGCTGCCACCCTCCTGCATGCTATGTCCCCGGAGGCAGATGGCTCTAGTCATCCTGTGTGAGAAGAGTGACTTTTTCTTGCCACTGCTTAGGTTTTCATCTAAGGAGGGTCAGGTGGAAATAGAGGCATTGATTATTCATTCAACAATTCATTAAGCATGATCTAGTGTACTTTTTAGGCACTTGAGAAGTGAGAATAAAAAAAAACCCAGAAAGTTTTTCAGCTCATGGAGCTCACATTCTGGTTTGGGGAAATAGGAGACAATAATTTGATATTTTAATTTAATACTTCCATGTATATAAAATAAATGACAAGAAACATATCAGTGTGGTAGGAAGAGGAACTCCTGTTTTATGGAGGGTAGTCAGGGTGGCTCTCAGGTGCAGGGGGAGGAATAGAGATTGAAGTCCGCGCTCCTCTGGGAGAGGAACATGCCCGCGGAGGGAGCAGCAAGGAAAGGGGCTGAGGTGGGTTTGCTGGACAGGGCTGAGGAGCCGCAGCAAGGAGGCCCTGGTGGCCGGAGTGTGCGAGCGGCGGGGAGAGTGGCAGGGCCCGTGAGGTTTAGAAGGCAGGACTCTACGTGGGGTCACATGGGCCACTGTAAGGATTTACAGTGAGGGAGATGGAGGGACTCTGAAGGGTTTTGAGGATCTGATCTGATGTAGGTTCTTAATGAAAAAATGTTTGCACAAAGGTAACACCAGAGTCAGATAGCTGGATATTAAGTCTAACAGATCTCTAAGAAACATATGATCTTGGTCCTGACCAATGTGGCTTAGTTGATTGGGTATCATTCCACAAAGTGAAAGGTTGCCAGTTGGATTCCAGGTCAGGGCACATGCCTGGGTTGCAGGTTCGGTCCCCTGTTGGGGCATGTACAAGAGGCAACCAATCAATGTTTCTTTCTGTCATCGATATTTCTCTCTCTTTCTTTCTCCCTCCTTTCCCCTCTCTCTCCAAAATATAAATAAGTAAAATATTTTTTAAAAACCCATGATTCTAATTATAGAAGAATAGCAAATATACAACTCATTGTATTGTAAGGCCATGTAACTTTGAAAACAAAACCAGACATTTAGTATAATAGGAAAAATTGGAATTGGTTATACTAATGGATATAGATGTTGATGTCCTGAATAAGATAATAGCAAATCAACTCTAATAATAAAGTAATCCATTGTGACTAACTTTATCCTTATCAAGACTGCTTCAACTTAGAAAATAATGTGATTCACTACTTAACAGATGAAAGGAGTAAAGCTGTATGATTATTTCATTGGATGTGAAAGAGACTTTCAATATTATTCAATACCCATTTAATGATAACTCTCTTAGCAAACAGGGAATAATAGGGAAGCTTCCTTAATTTGGTACAGGGGTTTTTAAAGATTCCACAAGTTGATTAACTCTCCAGTGACCCTGTGCCTGGCCCCTGGCTGTAGCGTCCAGGGACTGGGACAGGAAGTGACTTCAGGCACCAGACATGCGGCTCACTTGGTCACCACCAGGGGAGGTGTGGAGCCTTTGGAAAAAAGTTTTAGTCCAGCCAGCTGGGCATATCAGAGATTTGATTCATATTCTCTCTTTCTTCTCAATTAAAAAAAGTACACATTTTAATTAAATATATACATTTAAAGAATGGTGGTATACAATAAGACATAGGAAAATAAACATACTGCTTCCTGGATCTTTCTAAGTATTCCTTGTAGATAAAATGAACTGTAAAAAATTTTGCTTTTTTTGTATTACTTCACCAAGAGGCTATTCTAGACTCATTCTAATCTGTTTGCCTAATGTAATATTAACAGTAATGCAGCTATGATTATTAAGCATTTTATTGCATATGCCAAGTTCTTACAGTCCGCTCAGTGCTTTACTGTATGACTCACTTCCCACCCCAACTCTGAGATTCGTACAGATGAAGGGACTGAAGCCTGCAGGACCTTGTCCGTGCTCATTCAGCCAGGAAGGGGCAGAGCGGGGACTGGACCTCAGTCTGGTTTCCTGACTCGGGGGTCTGAGCTCATTCATATGTGCTTTCCCAAACCTCCTGGGTTTCTGAGCTCTGGTTTTCTGAACACATCTGACTGCTCCGACTTCTGGTCTCCAGGGTGGACAGAAGCCCACTCCCTGCAAAGCTCACATCTCCTAGTCCTGCCGGGACTCTTCTTTTTGTTCTCAGTGTGCAGGCCTTCCCTTTTGTGCTACTGCATGTTTCTTTCTAGAGACCAGGACTTACTTTATATTCTGCCTTTTGTGTGTGTAGAGTGGGTGGTACGTATGGGGAGAAGAAGGTGGGAATTACCCTGAAGTCTATGAAATAAAACAGGAAGTGACTGAAGAAAATTAAATATGCATTTGTCTGTGAGGAGACTCTCTGGTTGGCCCCTCCCTTGAGGGGCTGTATAGAGGAGACCCCTCCAGACTGACCACAGCAGTCATGTCAGCTGTACGCACCGCATACTCTTTGCATTTCCTGTCCCTGTTCAGTGTGGAGGGTGGGCTCAGTACCTTGTGAAGGTGTGGTGGGAGACTGTCATTTATGTGCAGCGTGTGCTCATGCCCTGTGAGTTGGGGAAGGAAAAGGAGTGAGATGGGGGAGGTAGTGGTCCTCAGACTTGGTGGGCATAAGAATTCTTCTGGGCAGTGGTTCTCAATCTGTCTAGTGTGGATGGCTACCTCAGCCTCACCCACAGGGTTTCTGATTCAGTAGGTCTACAGTGGGGCTGAGAATTGCAATTCTAACAAGTTCCTGGCTGATTGAGGCTCACACTGCTGGTCAATGTAGGGGCCACACTTCAAGAATTGCACACACGGGGAGCCTTTTTCTTTTTGGTTTTAGAGAGGGAGGAGTGGGGAGAGAGAAATATCAATGTTGTTCCACTTAGTTATACATTATTGGATGATTCTCGTATGTGCTGTGATTGGGGATCCAACCGGCAACCTTGGCATATTGGGATGATGCTCTAACCAGCTGAGCTACCTGGCCAGGGCCTACATAAGGAACTTGTTAAAATGGAAACTTAGAAATTTAGTTCACACATAATGACATGCGGCTCAAGTATCAGCATTGCTAAGTAACGCAAATGACTCTGCTGTAAGTAATAGGATTAGGGTCATACCTTGAGGACCATGTAAGGGGGATACCAGGAGAAAAACTGAATAGCACAACCACTGGGTGCCTACAATATAGAAGTGAATGCTGCGTGAGGTAGAGGAGATAGCTGTCTGCTGGCAGGCCTGGGAGGCCTTCCTGGAGGAGGTCAGGAAGCAGCAAGGCCTTGGAAGTAGGTGGAATGCCACCGAATTGTATTCTGTTGATTCCTGCCAGCCAATAGAGGGACTAGGGTATGGGCTTTGAAACTAGACTGTATTACTCCAGTGGTCTCACTCAGACACTGCCAGGCTTGTGTGTGGCCAAAAGACAGGTATGGAGGTGTCAGATTTGGGGGTGCCCCAGCAGTGCATGGATGTCGTACCGAACTCCCTGCCCCCCAGCCTTGGTTGCCCTGAGTGTATCAAGAAGGTAGGCAATTGTGTTGCTAATATTCTGTGGCTCCTACCTACAGTTTGACCTTTTTTATCCTGACCTTTTAGTTCACCTGGCCTGAGTTCTTGGGCTCTAGTGAGGTAAACATGGAGGACTTTTGGGCCACGATGGAGACAGAGGTGATTGAGCAGGTGGCCTTCCCTGCCAGCATCCCTATCACCAAGTTTGATGCCTCTGTTATTGCCCCCTTCTTCCCACCACTCATGAGAGGAGCTGTGGTCGTCAACACTGAGAAAGACAAAAACCTGGATGTACGGCCAGTACCTGGTAAGGCCACCTGGTGGCTGGCTGGGGTCAGGGAAGGGCCCAGTCAAGAGTCTAGAACATTGCCCATGGCAGGGTGTGCAAATGGCGGAGTGGGGGCCAGGCCCACCTGAAGGGCTGGCTCCTTCTGGGAAGATATGACAACCTGTGGCAGAGTCCCCTGGAGATTATAAAGTCATGGTGCCAGTTTTGAAGCGCTGCCAGCTGAATTCTATAGGACTGACCCCCACAGCCCCCCGTCAGCCCTTTGGGGTGTGCTGCACTGAACAGTGGGAGCCCTCTGAGAAATGCTGATGATAAGGCTACAACCCCAAAGATTCTCACCGATGAACAGGGGGGCCAGGGAGTCTGCCTTCTAAAGTCTTTTAGGTGCTTCTGCAGATGCTCTGTGGATATACATTGAGACACCCTGGATTAGCTGTTGAGAGCATAGGTTTCCGACAGCCTGAGTCTGAGTGCCACTGTGCCACTCAGTGTGAGTAGCTATGTGACCTCCACCAGTTCCATTCATTGCCCTGAGCCTCTTGCTTCATTCACAAAAGGGGCATGATGTGGTTACCCACCTCCTGGGCTGTGAGGAAGACAAAGTGATCTAATTACTTAGCGTGATGGCCTTCTACTTTTTTCTTTTCTTTCTTTTTTGTTTTTTTTAACTACAATTCATAGTAAGAAATAGGTTCTGCATCATGACCCAACATGATCCTTATAGTAGTACATGTGTGTGTCCGTAACTGAAACAAAACTTTCATAAAACGGTATTTTTCTTACCAAGTGCAGTATACTCTATTTCCTGTTTTATTTTATTTTTAAAATTCTGGATATGACCCACTAAATTGGTTTTTCTAAGTATTTAGTATGTTGTGACCCTCTGGTTCTCAGGCAGTGCTTCCTGGCATTAGGTCCTGGGCCCACCTCCTGTTTGTTGTTGGCTGGGCCCAGGAATTGCTGGGGGTTTTAAGGTCCCCACACGTTTCTGTGGATTAGTCGGATTCAGGAACATAGTGTATAAAGAACCTTTTTAAATGGGAGCTGCTGCTTCTCATTTCTATAGTTGTGGAAGCATCTGAGATCTTGGTTCTGAACAACGTTAAAAGGTGAAAATCTGACCCATGTGGGAGTTATTTGCAAGGGCACTCTGCTGGATACATTCCCTAGCTGTTCAAGGGTGCAGAACCAGCGCTGAGAAATTACAGGTCTCTGCAGAACTCAGAGACCTGCCTTGAGTCCACTGTCCCTAGCACCCAGGGCAGCGCTCGGGGCAGAGCCTACTTCCACTCCTTGCCGTACTGCAGGCCTCAGCCCTTGTTGTCACCCTCGTGCACGAGGGACCGCCTGTGACCTCTGTGGGCTGGTGGCAGTGCCCTCCGCTCAGCACGGCCGTCTCTTGCAGGCAGCGGCAGTGCCTTGGTGAGGCTGCTCCAGGAGGGCACCTGCAGGCTTGAAGAGATGGGCTCCTACAGCGAGGAGGAGCTGCAGTACCTGCTGAGGCGGTGTGGCATCCCCTTCGGGGCAGGAGACTCCAAGGTGAGTGGCGGGGGTAGCCGTAGAGACGGGTGTGGGGAGTGGGCCAGTGGTCCATTTTTCTGGGCAGGACTATAGTATGGGTACCTGCGCCTGGGCACCCACGTTGGGTAAAAGGTGCTGGCAGGCAGGGTGGCTGGGGAAGTGGTTAGCAGCCAGGTCAGGGCATGTGTGTGAGGCTTCCCCTCCAGTCGGTCCCTCTGTTGGAGGTATCGGGTTCAGAACCTGACGTAGGGAGTCCTGCTCTCCTGCTCACCATTTGTGACCTTGGATAGATAGATATTTAAAGATTTTTAAAATTTATCTATTTATTGTGAAAGGGGAAAGGAGGGAAAAAAGAGAAAGAGAAATTTCAATTGGTTGCTTCTTGAACACACCCTGACCTGCAGCCCAGTCATGTGCCCTGATCGGGAATTGAACCAACCATCTTTCCCTTTATGGAACGATGCCCAGCTGAGCCACTGTGATCAGGGCAGCAGCACCTGATACTTCTGAGCATTGTTTTCTCATTTTGCAAAGTAGAAATGACTGAAATACTGACCTCACAAGACTGTTGTCAGAGGCACTCCTCGGTGTGTGCTTGCACCTGTCCGGGGTCTCAGGAAATGCGTGTGTGACAGTCCGTGGAGGGTGCGGGGAGTGTTGTCTTCATGTGTTGTTCGCTCTTCATACTGACACAGCTGTTGGACTTGGATGTTTCCTTCAACTTCAGACTCAGATGTCCGCTGTCTTTGAAGCTTTCCCTGCCCTGTAAAAAGCAGGAGGAATACAGGCCTCCAGGTGGCCCGGACAGAGGGGCAGCATGTTCTGTCCGGCTGGCTCTGTCCTGTGACCTGATCCTTTCAGGGCCTCAGGGTCCCCGAATGTCCTAGAGGATGTTGGGCTAGTGAGGCTTCAAGGTCCACTTTGGCTTTGACAGGTTATTCTTCCACTTTGGGTAATGACGTGAGCATTCGATGCTGTGCACAGGCCTGGTCCTTTAGGATTCACCGCTTTTTTTTTTAATCTTGACCTTCTGCTCCAGGACCAGCTCTGCCTTTCCTTGTTGGCCCTCTATAAATCTGTACAGAATGGAGCCAGAACTAGACAGCCCCCACCTCATCTCACAGGGGGTAAAATCTACAAGGTGTGCCCCCATCAGGTAAGACCGTAACAGAAACGTGGGGCGGGTTTGCTCACGTCATTGTCCGCAGTCAGATGGGCCTGGTTCACACTTGCAGGGGCTGGCACCTAGCTCAGCGAGCCATGCTCGGGCGGGCAGGGAGTCTGGTTGTCATCAGGGAGTATTCGCTGAGCGCCCTATTGCGTGCTGGCCCCTTTGTCAGCTACTGAAAGTACGTAGGTGAGCAGCAGTGTCTTTCCTTCCTAGGGGACCTCATTTTAGTGGGACACAAAGTCACACAGATTGTCATACGGGCCTGAGGTAGGCAGTGACAGTGAGGGGCCTGCTGTCCGTGGGCAGCCAGAGAAGGCTGCAAGGCCTGGTGATGAACCAGGGAAGGAAGGTTCTAGCAGAGGAAGAGCAACCCCTAAGCCCTCAGTGGGAGAGCCTAGCGGGCCAAGAGGAGGGGGGTTGCAGGGTCAGCAGAGGCCAGATCGTGTAAGGTCTTGCAGGCCAAGGGACACGATGGGTGAAGATGAATGGGAAGTGGGATAGACATGGTCTGATTTTGGTTTTAGGAAGATCACTGTGTCTGTAGAGGGTGTGGACAGGGTGGCCATCAGGATCCCTCCAGAAAGGTCATGCCGTATGACAGAGGAGGCCCAGGAAGACACTAGAGTGTATGCCACCCCATGCACAAGTACTGGATTGGGCAGGGAGATGTGTACGTGGGCAGGGCAGCCTGGCTGTCAAAAAGAGAACCAGGTCGTCAGCTCCTTTAACAAAAGCTGTGTCTGAGGAGATACTGGGTGCTCTGCCCTGGCAGATCAGAGCCCGCTCAGAGAGTTGTGTTCATGTGACTGCAGCCATCTCATGACAACAGAGGGACAGATGTGGGAGTTAGAAATCTCAGGGCTGTGATGGGAGAGCCGTACCACCTGGAGGTGACACCTAGGCCTGCTGGGGTGTGCAGGTGCAAGGTGGAGGCGGAGGCAGAATTCTCCAGTGTGCACGCAGCTGCCTGGCAGTGGGGTGACACGTAGGGATCCTGGCAGTGGAGGTGTTCGCTAAACTGTGTCCAGGTCTGGTGGGGAGCCGCTTAGAATGCCCCCACCCCAGAGGCTTCTTTAGGTCTGAGGTAGGGCCCAGGAGCCTCCATTTTTAACCAGCTCTTAAGCTGCCAGTGCTGTGCAGCCGGGATCAGGAATGACTGGATGGGACGGTGGTACTAGGTAGTGTTAGGTGGCAGGGGTGGCCGTGTTGGAACCCATGACCTGGGGGGTTTTCAGCCTCTGTTAAAGTTTGGATGCTCCCTCCTCTTCGTGGAAGCAGTCAGGGACGAGCTGGCGACTTCCTTTATGGACAGAAGTAGGAGGGAAGCAGAACGTTCAGGGCTCTGGAAAGATGTCTGCAGCTTCAGTTACGAAACCTGATTGTTCATCTTCCTGGGAAGAAGCGTGTCTGCAGATGAGCTTCTTAGCCACATGCTGTGCCCTCCGACTCTGCCTCTAGGTGATCTGCGGCTCCAAGTACCTTGTGCGGGGCGAGAGCGCCCGTGACCATGTGGATCTGCTTGCCTCTTCTCGCCATTGGCCACCTGTCTACATGGTAGACATGGCCACACCAGTGGCCCTGTGTGCTGACCTCTGCTACCCAGAGCTGACCAAACAGATGTGGGGGAAGAACCAGGGCTGTTTTTCTAGCCCCATGGAGCCGCCCGTGGTGAGTTTTCTTCTGAGGACCTGGAATAGATTCTGCAGGCCAACCAGGACCAGCCCCTGGTTCTTCAGGAAAGCCTTGTCTCCAGCATCTGTTCTCCCTCAGTATTTTGTCCTCATGCTCTGGAACCAGCATTTATTCCACACATTTTACTGACCAAGCCCTGTGTGTATGCAGTCAAACCCTCTGCAGCAAGAAACGGCAGCCGTACCCTCCAGCTGTTCCCCTATGGTAGTAGGGGGAAAGGGTCATCGTTGTCATCACTGGCTCTGTGAGCGTGTGCCCAGCGCTGCAGGAGGCGTTGAGCCTCGGGGAGCCGCCGCTCCCCACTGCCCTGCGGCCCTTCCTCAGTTGCCCAAGCACAGCAGTAAACGATGGCCAGCAGCTCAGTTAGTCTGACACGTGGTCTGGTTACTGTCCCATTCTCATGAGAGGAAATCGAGGCGCAGAGAGGGAGAAGAGGGGACTTGCCCCAGGGGATAAGCTACGTGTTGCTATGAGGATTAAATAGTGCTAATGACCCACAGCCTTCACTCTCTCCCACCACACAGGGCCCACTGTCATCATTCTGTCACGTCAAAGTGGCTTCTTCTCTTTCAGAGCGTGTCCTGCCCGGAGCTCTTGGATCAGCATTACACTGTGGACATGATGGAGGCTGAGCCCTCTGTCCAGCACCCAGTCACCAAGACTGCCACGCGGCGCATCGTACACGCAGGCACGGCGCCCAGTCCTGGCGACTGCAGTGCTGGGCACCGCTCTTTGACCCTGTGTCCTGAGTTGGCACCCTACACAGCTATCCTGGCCTCTCTCGCAGAGAGCAGACCGAACGGCGTCCGCCAGCGGCCCATCGCCTTTGACAGTGCCACCCACTATTACCTCTACAACCGCCTCGTGGACTTCCTCACTAGCCGCGACATTGTCAACCGGCAGATCCACGAGGTTGTGCAGAGCTGCCAGCCCGGCGAGGTGGTCATCCGCGACACCCTGTACCGCCTGGGCATCGCTCAGATCAAGACAGAGACAGAGGAGGAGGGTGAGGAAGAGGAGGTGGCCGCAGTGGCAGAATAAGCCAGGCTCTGGTACAAGGACTGCACCGTCTCTCTCAAGCCATAGCGAAGCCCTTCCCCGAGGCAGGCGCACCCGGGGGACCGGGAGTGCGCACCTGTGGGGAGGGCCTCTGAGGCCGGCACTGACCAAAGAGCTCCCGTTTTCTGAGCACGGTGGGGCCCAGGGTCTTTGGTTCTCAACGTCCCAGGGGTCGGGAAAGGTACAGTACATTCCTTACCAGCTCCGAGAAAGCACTTGGAGAACATTGTATGTTCAATAGAGAAGGGAGGCTGAGGGAAGGCTGGTGGCTCCCCTGGGGCCTGCTGCGGGTCAGGTGGGGAAGGTGGAGTCCGGCACTAGGTGGGCAGACTGCTGAGGTAGCCCTTCTGGTCCCAGGGAACACTTCCTTCCCTACAGCCGCAGGAGCTCTTAGCCTGTTGCCTTTGACTCAGGGCCTTGGGGGCTTCTTTAGCTCTGGGGGCCCTTTTGGGCTCTCCCAGAGGAGGGGTGCACTTCCCTCCTGCTTTTCCTACACCCTAATCTGGGGAAAACTGAGAAGGGAGACCCAGTCGGCACAGCCCCCCTCCAGGCCTGTCCTCGTTGCCAGCGCTGTGAGAAAGAGGACCACCTTCCTCTTTTCCCTGGCCGCTGCTGCTGCACTCTACATCCTCTGTGGGTCTCTCTGGACCCTCACCACAGAGGGGATGTGGCCCATGGCGTAACATAACCTGGCAGCAGTAGGAAAAACTCCCTTCCGTGAAGGGGAAGCAGACTGGGCCGCGCAGAAACAGTGAGACTGGCTCAAGTGCCCAGGGTTTGCTTAGGGCACGGGAATTGGCCGTGTGTTACTTAATTTATTCAGAGGGGTGGAGTAGGTGGCTTTTTTCCCCTCCGTCTTCCTCAGCAAGAATAAAGTTTATTAAATTATCTTGTTTGGGTGAAGCAAGAGTCAGTTCCACGTTCACTGTGTGGAGCAGCGTGGTTGAGCGCCGTGGTGCTGAGCTGGTCATTTGATGTGAGGGACAGGTGGCAGAAAGCCCCGGCAACCCACAGGCCTTCGCGAGAGGCAAAGAACCAGAGACCAGCTGTGTTAATGCTGTTAGTTTAATGCTGACAGAGACATATCCCGCAGCGTGACTGTTAGTTATGATGAGTCAGCTTGGGGAAGTGCGTGCTGCTTGCTTGGTGTGGCCAGCCACACGGGTGACGGGGCACAGGGTAGAATACCCCAGACTTTTAGCTGCCACCTGGCTCATTATAGCAGTACCAGGTCCAGGGTGGGATGGGGCTGTGGAGAGAAAACCAGAGAGCACAGACTAGGAGGTGCCATTGGATGTTTACAAGGAGCCGCCCTGGTCCAAAGGTCTCAGCCCCGTGCTGCCTCCGAGCACCTGTCCACTCTCGCTGCTCCGTGTGGCTGTGGGGGAGGGGTGGTTCCCGCTACTCTCAGGCCTAGGAGTGTCGTTTTCTTAATGTTGGGACAGCTCCTGGGGGCTTCACGGGTGTGAAACCAGTCCATTGACACTAGGAGAGACAAGGAGTGGGGGGGAGGGTTCCTGGAAGTGGGAACAAGGGTAAGAGGCTGTGCTGGGGGTTCTCCGAGTTGGCGTGGCGAGTGTGCAGCCACAGCCTTGAGAACAGTGGGGGGGAGGGGCTCAGCCCCAGCCCCTGACTGGCAGTGATTGATGGCCCAGGCCCTGGAAGTGGGGTCCTCTGGGATCTCTCGTGCGTCCCACATCCTGGGTTTCAGAGCTGGGCTGGGCTGTTGAGTGAAATGACAACGGCAGAGTCCGTGTTCTCCCCGTGGGGCCCCGTCCACAGAGGAGGTGACACTCAGAGGAGGGACGGACAGTGCTGCGCTGCCGTCACCTCAGCAGAACTGGTAGTTGTTAGGCTGCAGCAAGGGCTGGGCCATGTCCCCCTGCTCGCAGCAGGCCGGCGGCTCGCCAGAGCTCTCCTGCTCACTGCCGCCACCACTGCCACTGTTGCTGCCAGTGCTGTTGCCACTGCCGCCGGAGAGGTTAGCATAGTCCTGAAGGAAGGAGAGGCCAGGATGGTCAGTCCCGATTGGTCAGGACCAGCCGGGCCTGCCATAGGCACCTTTCCACCCCAAATCTGGCCGTTCCCACCTGCGCCCTGCCATCCACTTGGGCCTGTTCCTGAAGGAGGAGGCAGATCTGCTGGAAGGTGGGTCTGTGGGTGGGCTCCAGGGACCAGCATGCCTGCATGATGCTGTATCTGCGATGGGACAGAGGTCGCCGTGGGTCTGGGGGTCCCTTCACGTGCCCATCCCCTATGGAGTCCTGCCCAGCAGAGGTCCCAAAACCCAGTCAAGGTGAGCTCAGCACAAGGCTTGGCTGAGCCCTTGGCACGTGTTCTCTCACTTCATCTTCCCAGTAGCCCTTGGAGAAAGGTTCTCGTCACACCTGTTGTGACAGCTGTGGGGAGAAACTCAGAGATGCTGTCTTGCTCAAGCTCCTAAAATAAGAGCTGGTACTATTGCTACCTGCAGGCAGGTTTGACAGGTGGGCTGAGTGAGCAACAGACTGGCTGTGGCAGAAGACTATAGTGGCGAGTGGGCTGAAGGGCTGGAGAGCCAGCTGGGCGGCCCCCCTCCCCCAGCCAGTGACAGCCTGGGTGGGCACAGGGGGAGGCTGTGTTGAGAGGGGCTGGAGAAAAGCAGTGGGTGACGTTGTGGCCTGCTGGCCTGAGGAAAGACGGGAAGGCAGGGGTCCGTGAGCAGCTCGCTCGTGGCAGGCGGGCTGCAGTGAGCTGTCTGGCTGACACCAGAGAGCACCAGGACAGGAGAAGCGAGGCCCCTCCTTGAGGTCACAACAGTCTGAGTTAAAGATCTGTCATCCAAGTTAGGGCTTGCCCAATTAGAACCCTCTTCTCCGAGAACATCCCCTTCGCTGCCTGCTAAACTGAGGTAACTCCGGTAATGGGGGCTTGTTATATAGGCCAGTGTCAGGGAGATGAAGCCCTGCCCTTAACACTGTGGGTAGGGGAAGGTGGTCACATACTTTTCCATCCCCTTAAACCAAAGTCAGGGTGTCCTCCCTCCCTGGGGCCCTTACATGTTCTTTGTAGCAAATGCAGGCTGGGCCATTTGATATCCATCCTTGACCAGTTTGTAGAACTTGCTGTTCACCAGGATGCCAGGGTAGGGGTTCAGGCCTGCAAAAGCCGAGGTGATAGCATGCTCAATGCTCCCTTCCCCATCCCCACCCCACACACATCCTGGCAAGGCCGGGGTTCCACAGTAGAACAGCAGCTCCTCTTAGTAAGTGCTGGCTGTGTACTGGGCCCTACGGAAGGGTTAGGTTCTAGGAAACGGAGAGCCATCCCACGGCCTCATCATGCCACACAGTTCTATCCCGGGCTTTGGAATAAGGGGTTCTCAGAGGAACGCACTGAAGGTCCTATTAGCCCAGGTCCCTGCACCTAGCACTCCAGAGGTAGGAGCCGCATCCTCAAGGATACACGTGTTTCGGACAACGAGGGGAAACGGCATTCCAGGGAGTAGCAACTGCACAAGCAGACAGGTGAGGGAGCCGCTGAGGGAGTGCCTGCTGGGGGCGGGCTCTGCCCTGCCCATGCTGGAGCTGTGACACTTGGTTTAAGACATTCCACGTATCCCTCCATTCTCACCAGCCCTCGCTCTGTCCTGGGCACCAAACATCTATGACTTAGCATCCTCCTTGAGTTATAAGACACCGAAGGTGACCAAACACAAGTCGGCCCCCAGGCTGAGCCTGCACCAGGCCAGCCACTCACCAAGTGAGAAGATCTCCCAGAGGAGGATGCCATAGGACCAAACGTCACTCTGAACTGTGTAGACGCAGTCGAAGATGCTCTCTGGAGCCATCCACTTCACGGGCAGGCGGGCCTGGCAGAGTAGACCCCAGTCATCTTGGTCCCTAGTTCTCCATCCTCTTCCCCAGCCTGCCCATGCCCTCCCAGCACTCACGTTGCCCTTGACAATGTAATTGGAGTCATTCATGATGTCTCTGGCCAGCCCGAAGTCCCCAATCTTGGCCACACGGCCGCTGGTCAGCAGCACATTCCGGGCTGCCACGTCTCGGTGAATGCACTGAGGGGAAGCAGGTCAGGGTTAGTCCAGCCCCTCCCCTGCCTGAGCCCAAAGTTCAGAAGCAGCGGCCAGGGCCCTAGAAGGCCTCAGAAGTCCTTTGTGAGGGAGTGGGCATCAGTTCTGAACCTGACTCCTGTCCCTGCCTTCTACCAGGGCCCAGGACAATTCAATATCTAGAAACCCCCCTCCTGGCTCTTCAGCCCCAGCAACAGCTGGTTTAGAGCAGGTGCTCTGCTCGGGCCCAGAGGTGGGGAGCTCTGGTGCAGCAGCCATCGAGGGCCCACAATCAGCTTCTAACAGTGGTAGCTACCACAGCAGGGCCCTGCCACGCCAGGCCCTTCCCTGAGCATCTGCGCACATTCCGACCCTGTTTTGCCCACAAAACAGGTGTGATGGTGCCCACGTGTATCAGTGCAGAGACTAAGGCTTGGAGAATTTCAAAAGTGCTCAAAATCATGCAGCAAGTGACAGAAGCAGCAATCAAACTTGCCCCCTAAGTTGCGTGCGAAGGACAGTCACCAATCCAGCTCCTGAGTGTATCATACACATCACCTTACAACTAAGGGAGGCCCCATCATCCCCATGAGACCGTGTGCTTCACACCATCGACACAACTTGTCTTGTTCACACGGCCTGCTGCACTCTGGGGCCCTCCTGGCGGGGCTCATGCCGCTTCCTCCCACCCCCTCCTGAAGCTCTTTGACACTGCAGCCTGTTGGCTTCCTGGCACTCTGGCTCTGCTCTTGCCCCTTCCTGCTCCCTTTCCTCCCCTTCATCCTTCTTCCTCCAGCCTCATGGGGGTTCAGCAGACCCCCACCCCTCCAGGTGACTACATGAGGGACCTGGTTCTTGACTCACATTCTTAGAAGCGAGGAAGGCCATGCCCTGGGCCACCTGGCTCGAGAAGTGAAGCAGGTCCTGCAGCTCCAGTGGCCACTCGTCCTTGTCCAAATCTGGTGTGAGGAGAGGCATCAGGGCAGCCTGCCACACCCTGCCTTGCCCTTCCCAGCCCCCAGCAGCCCCTCTCCACTCCCCCTACCTCCTCACCTTGCTCAGAGGAGTGATTTGAAGAAGTGGAGACAGGCCTCATCTCCACGTAGGTGTCCAGTCCCTGGCTGGAGAAGCCACTGTCCCTACATAGAGAGGCCCAAGGGCCAGTCAGTCCCCACCACTGCCCAGCTCAGGCCTTGGCCTCCAGCCACTCGGCAGGGAAGGGAGGGAATTTGGAGTCAACTCGGACATCTTTTTGACAAGAAACCCCCTGCCACCTTTGGTCCGAGTGACCATTAATCTCTGGCCATCCAGCAAGGGAGCTGACAACCTGCTCTCTTGGGGCAGCTCTGCCTGTTAGGAAGTTATTCACGATCTGTGACGCCAGCTTGCCCCCAGGTTTTCCTCCCCCTGGTCCTTGCTCTGCCCTTGAGGGCCGCATAGAAGTGGGCTCCCTGCTCCCCATAACATCCCTGCAGAGATCTAAACATATTCTAGGGCCCCTTCTTCCAGCCCTCTCTTGTCTGGACAGTGGCGCTTACTCCTGGCTTCACACTAACATCATCTGAGGAGCTTTAAACATGCCACATGCCCAGACCACTTCAGAAACTCAAGGGGCAGAACTCAGTCCTCCGATGTTTCGTTCTCTGCAGGCAGGCAGTTCCAGTGTGTGGCCGGGGGGAGACCCATTGGTCTAAGAAGTGCTTCTGGAACTTTAATTCACGTGCATACACTCACCTGGGGAATCTTACGTACATGCAGTTTGATTCGGTAGGTCTGGGTGGCCCTGAGGCTGTGTGTGCATTTCTAACAGCTCTCTTGTGATGCCTGTGAGCCCATGCTTTGGGTGGCAGGCAGG